AAAAAAAAAGGATATCTGTCGGATACTGTCTTGTATAAATATATTTCAGGTTCTTTGGTTAATAACCTAGGTATCAGTAAGTATATCACTTTAAGTTATTAATACTAAGAAAAGATATTTAATAATATATAAATTCATGGATCAAGTAATAATTATAAAACCATTTTAATGGTTTATTTATTATTTATATTTATTTGAATATCGATACTAAATCTTGTTCTCTCTCTGACTTTTTTCCGCTGAGTGTTGAATGGATAATGCACTTGTGAAGGAAGGGGGCCGCAGGAAAGGAGCTAAATCAGTGCAGTGCAATGCGGAAACGGAAGTCACGGCAGGGCAGCGGCAGCGGCAGCAGCAGCAGCACGGATGCCAACGGATGTCAAACATAAAACATTTTCAGGGCGAAAAAGAAAAGAAAGTAACGCGGGGTTGGCGTCGGCAGCTAAACACATTTTTTTCTAACATATACATATATTTTATGGAAATCCGACAACAAATATTTTTTTAGGCCTTCCCCCGCCACTCACAAGGTGAACTGTGATTTCTCCTAGGCCCATATACATTATATTGCAAATCTGTTTAAGGGTTTTCCTGATACCATTTGATTGATTGGCCAGCCAGCCCAGCACAGAGTGTTACTTTCGGTCGTTCCGGCTCCCAAAGAGAGACTCTTTTCTCCAGAACCTCTTACACTTCATTAACTTTTTGAGTAATAAAAGTAGAAAAACGGCAACGACACTGCAATAAAGTAAATCAACTCTCAGGGACGTAAACTCTATAGAGATTTTGTATATAAGAAAACAAGAAAGGAAGCTTATTTCGGCCAGCAAGATTCGTCTTTTGATGCTGATCAAGAATATATGTATATGATTTATAGGGTTTGAAAAGGTTTCTTCACTGCTTTTTACAAACTTCTGACTAAAATTATAATACCCTGCAAGGATTAAAAAAATATACATCACAAGAGTTCTTAAATCAAATAAATCCATTGGGAATTAATTTATTAAATTGAATAAAAGCAAGAATATGGTACATTTCTGGGAACTTAGTCTCAGTTCTTAGCAAGTATTCTGGATCTGTTCAACATTCTTGGCTTAATTACTTGTAGATGCACAGTGTATATACCATCTTATTTACGATTTGTCATATATTAAATATGCGCAAAGTGAAATTAAAAATTTGCGCCCAAAGAGCCTGAAGAAAGTCGAACGAAATGTGGAGCAGCAGCAGGCTGGGATGTGAAAATGTGCAAATTGGAATGGGAACAACAGTCAGCGTTAAAAGTCAACTGCCAGCAGCATTCTATACATATTTATATATGCCAGTGTGTCTGCTTCTTTTTATTTATTTTATGTTAACGGCGCCCGTCAGCTTGGACTTTTTATACCCTCGATAAGAGGTATCTTGGTCGCTCTACACTGAGTGCGTAAGTCAGCTGAAACTCAACCTATAAGCTTATAGGTTGCTGCTGTGACTAGATCTTGGCTTAGAGGTGTTAATTTCACTTGAAAAGCAAACTAATTTGCATAATTTATAATGTATTTATATTATTTGTATTATTATAGAAATAGCACTGAATTTGGGAATCTTTTGAAAATGTGCCTAAATGTATGTTTACAGTCTAGATAAATTTTAAGATTTTTAACTAAATTTCGGGAAGACTTAATTAATATTTAAGGGTATTTTTTTTGCCGGCTTTTGCAGTGGTTTTTTGTTGTTGTGGTTACTGGTACATTTTTAATGCTTTGGCTCTTTTCATTTGGCACACACATACCACTCACACACTCGAAGCTACACATGCGTGACAAAATTGTTGGGCTCTTCTTGTAAATTTCGTTGTTCTTTATTTATTCTTTTTTTTTTTTTTTGTGGGTTTTCTCGCGTTTCCTTGGTCGAAGTTGGGGTTCTTTGGAGGGGGGAGGAACTTGCTAAAGATTTACTCGGCATTTGTGTTGGTGCCATTTGGCATTGTTTGCATACTTCTCGGGGGGAGGACTTCCGCAGGAGACAACGGAACCATTCAATTTCACGTTCCTTATCTTCCTCACTGTCTTTATTTCTCTCTCTTTCTACACTTGCCTTCATCGCTCTCCTCCTTGCACCACCTCCGTTTGCCCTGGCAATTGCTTTAAATATTTAAGTAGTTTTCTTCATTTCCCGTGACTCACTGTGTACATGTGCGTGGGTGTAAAGGGCATCAATATCAATCTTGTGTGGATGTCAACTAACCCGACACCGCCCGCCACCCCAACTCCCACCTTGAATCCCCCCTTTCGGCAACCACACACAGGTGCTCCTGTGTCTTCACCCTTTAATCCCGTGTACAGTGCAGCCTCAAATAACCCGATCGTTTTGGACTTGTTGTTTTTATACATTTTAGACTCTTTTTAAAATATAAAAAATACAATGATTTTAGCTTTATTACTTAGAAAAACAACACATATTTTAAATTGAATTCAAGTTATAACAATGAAAACCCTAAATATTCAAGAAATCAAAGTGCATAGACTTTTATTTGCTTTATATAAGTACCTTTTTTAAGAATTTTAAAACTTTGGTGATGCATATATACCTTGAGCTGACTTTAAGTATGTTTGCTTTGAAGTTTGAAGCTTCAAACTGTTGCTGTGGCTGTCAAACTGTACGTATTGCGGTTAACACTTATGCAACCGCAAAGTGCGCCGGTGAGTGTGTGTTGCACTCAAAAAGCAAACAATAGTAGTTTTTTATCCACTTACTGACATAATTGCGGTCTCAAAAGTTGTTAAGCTGACATACATTACGCAAAAAACAAATAATAATGAATAAAAGTAAGAAAAACCTCCGTTATGGCCCTAGTAATAAACACATAAAAATAATAATAAAATGTTTGGCAACACGCGAATTATACTAAAGTATCTTTCTGTATTTTACCTTTAATAAATAGTTGATTCCATAGCCAAACAGCAATAAATATTTTCTTGCTGTTTACTAACATTGGTTTGTGTTAATTATTCTGTTATAATTAATAACAAAACGAGAACATCAAAAGTAAATTGCTATCTTTTTTCTGTTTTCTTTGCAACTCATTATTATTCTATAAACAATCATGTGAATATGCGGCGAAAATATTAAGAGAACTAAAACTATACTGAACTATACTGAAAAAGAAATAACTAACTAAACAAAGTTAGTTGACTTAATTTCCATTTCCTTTTTCAACTTACTACTCCTCCTGCCTCTTTTCCTTTTACTTATTCTTATCCTTCTTCTACGCTGGTAAACTTTGCTTGGCGTGCCGTCGTCCCTTTTGCTCCTGCGAGCAACGGGTAATGGCGCGGCAGAGGCGCCGGCAGAGCGACAGTAGACAAATTTGTCGATAATTTATAATTATAATTTATAATATGTAAGTACATATTTATTGTTGCTTACCTTTTGTTGCTGGTTTGTTGTTTGTTGCTTTTTGATTGCTTTAGGTTTTGGTTTTCTTTTGTATTTTATATATTTCTTTTGTATTCCTTTGACTCTCTTGGATGATTCTTTCGTGATTCTTCCGCCGTAAATTCTTCGTCTCTTCACTGTGTTTTGCTCTTGATTAATTATTATTTATTTTTGTAATCTTTTATTTTTTCTTAATTTTCATATTTCTTATAATTTTCTCAACGCGATGATCTCCGCATTTCACTTTTTTGCACTGTGGAAAGTGTGAAGGTGGACGAGAGGAGAATGGGAAAACATTAACAGGACACGGAACGAGAAGCACACAACAAACAAGAAAGAAACAAGGCAGCGTGCAACAATTGCCGACTGCGACGCCAACATCAACTGCGACACGTGCGCCCCCTATTTCTCTCTCCGCCCACCACCGCTGCCACTCTTGGTAATTCGCATAAAAAAAATTGAACAAAGAAAATTAAATTAAAAAAAAACAGAAACAGAGGAAAAACACACAGAAATGTTGGATTTTTTTGCGCCTTCTTCTCTTTTCAAACTGAGAACTCCGGGTTTCGACGGACGCGAGAGTTGCGCGACTACGCACCTAAAAGTCGACTACAAAATTTGGTCGCCGACTCCGGCAACGAACTACGACCCGATTCCTCGTCTCGCTTTCTTCTCGGCGAAAGTTCTGCGAAAGTTCCGGCAGCGCTGCCAGTTTAGCTTACTTCAAGCTAAATCTAGGATATCTGGGAAGGGAAAAGCTTATGAATGTCGCCTTTTCATTTCATTTTATTTTGCAAATTCTAGCAAATAATTGAATTCGTGACATCAACGATTCATTATAAAAGATAAATAAATATATATGTATTTTAATTAAAAGATTAAAATTCAATCTGAATTTATTTTTGTACTAAGCTAAATAATCGATAACACGTCGTATGTGGTATCGTATCGATAGCCATCATCGTCGATAGTAAACTTAAATTAATAAACATGCGGTTAAAAACCACCACCAAACAGAAAACAATAATAAATAAAAAGGTATGACATTTTTATGTCTTCAGTGTTTCAAGTTAAATTTTTTGAATTGAAATAAAATATTTCATTGCCGTCACGAATACATTTATTGCAAGAATATGCTATACAAATATTTTATATATCATATTTAAAAAATATTTTAATTTTTTATATGTGCAAAGTTTATAGGATTTTCTATTTATGGATCTAGCCTAAAATAAACTAAATTTGCAACACTGATGTGCCAGCGAAAATATCGATGTTCTTATGGGTTTTAAGTTGTTAAAAAATATTAAGGCGATATGTCGTAACATGAGTGCGCGGCGAATTAAATTTAAAAAGCAATACATTTCTAAATGTTAAACATTTTTAATTGTTATTTTTATAAATAATTAAATTTTAATCGTTTTCGGGCGGTCACGTCGTTTGAATACATTTTTGTTCAGCAAAGTTACCCACCTTTGTCATCCAAATCATCCACCTGGGCAGGGTCGCATTTTCGCTATCGCACACATATCGGCAAATGCATGTGCATCGACGAGTAGCAACTCGTCACAGCATGTTACTCGCTACTTCGGCACACACGCGTTTTTCCCAAATCGTGCTTTTTTTTTAAATTAATTAATTAATTTCGTTTATACCATTTCGGCCAGCGTTATGATTGCAAAACTAGCTCCCAAGTAGATTGAGAACCGGTCCCCGCGTTCGGATGTGAAAACCGCTGGGAGACAGTGTTTTTTAAAGCAAATTGGTACGAATGCCAGAGTTCGGTTCGTGTCGCTGCGCGCGTGTATGTGTGTAGAGCGAAGAGGAGAAGCGAAGAATTGCGAAAGCAGAAAGAAGAGTGCAAAAGAGGAAGCACAAAGACAAAAGGAAGGCGATAAAAAGCGGACAGCGGCAGTCCGGCGATCAAACGAACGGCGGGACGGACGGCATGCAGCAGTCAGGAGGAGTGCGGTAAGGCGGCGGCGAAACCCAGTGGAACGGCGGCGGCGCTGAAGCAACAGCGGCGTCAGTGGCGGCGGGGGTCTCAAAATAAAATCCGATCGCATTGCCCGTATTTGGTGGCATTAAAACCGGATTCCGTTCTCAAATCCTTTTCCCGCGTTTCCATTCCAGTGTCATCGTGCAACCATATCTATCAATTCCCCTTACCCGTCAGTTGTGGCGCCAAACACAGCTCAGTTTAGTTTTTATAAAATCGCCGCGTGTGTGAAATCTCAGCAGATAGAAAAAAAATCCGAAAAGTAAAAAAAAACCACGGCGGCGTGCGTAAGCGCTCATACATACACTCGCTCATATAGCACAGACAGAGCGTGCACACACACACGCACAGACATTTACTCGCAGTGCTCCCGTTATTTGTAAAAATTTTTTTTAGTTGAGTTTTGTTGTTGTGTGTGCTGCGCTTCCTTTCGGTTGGTGTCTCTCTTTTGTGCCGTTGCTTCGCCGGCAAAAGAGCGAGAGGGACCTGAAGAGTGGAAGATTGGAAGAGTCCAGAACCCGAAACCAAATTAAAACCACATAATGTCAGACCCTGAGGATGGTCAAAAAGTGCAGCGCGGTCCTGGGACCAAAGCTAGACCGGCACCCTTGCAAGCGGCGACGCCAAACCAGTTGCATCCCTTGACGCCGTTGAAGGAGGTGCACGAACAGGAGGAAGAGGAGGAGGAGACCGCGGGAGCCAGCAACAACAACGTAAGTACAGTCGCTCACCGCTCACTCCAGAGATACCCCTTCATCCATTCGCCCCCTGCTTGAATCCGTCTTTGCAGACCATCATGGGCAAGATGAAGAAGCGTTTGAGCATTCTGCCCGCCGCGCTAAGCGGTTGGTTCTCACCCTCATCGAAACCGGATGCTGCAGCCTCCTCCCCGCAACAGGAGCTGCACCGCCAACCCAACGGATGCACCAAACGAAAACGCGGTCGCCGTCGCATCGTCCTGGCCGAGGCAGATGCTGAGGCCGACGACGTGGACGATGGCAGCGATGCCAGGGGCCTCAACTACGAAGAGGTGGCTCTGGCCGATAATATAACCGAACATGACCTGGCCGCCGAGGATGAGCAGACGCGGCGAAGCGAGTACAATGTGTTTCTGCTACGCAGACAGCGGGATGCTCTCGCTGCGACTGGCGGCGAGGAGGATGATGTGGAGGAGGACGATGTCGAGGAAGATGTGGAGGAGGAGGAATGCGACGAGGAGGACGAAGACGATGTACATGGACAGGTGGCGAAGCGTCAACGTCTGAAGGTAAGAGAGACGCCTTCATCTATTTTCAAGCTCTTTCCAAACGTTTGCTTATCCTTTTGTTTCCTGCAGATGGAGACCACTGTCAGCTTACCTCAAATGCGTCGCATGCCCTTGAGTTCATCCACGCCCGCTGCTTCTCTGGTGCCCGCATCCGTGTCTGTGGGTGGCGCTCGGAGCAATAACAACCAGTTAGCTCCACACCGTCGCACCCACCTAAATTTATATCAAAATCAGCGAAACCGCGAACCAGCATTTAACTTCTTCACCGGCAACGAAGCTGCCGCCGAGGGGACTACCGGCGATTTGCCTCAAAGGTGGGTAAAACCCTAGAACACCTTTATCTCTGAAGATTCGGATACATGTTAAAATTATATAGCCTCTGTATTGACTTTTCCATTAAGAGTAACTTTCATTTGCCCTTGCAGTAACCGGCGTTCACTGAACATACCTTTTGGGATCGTCGCCGGCGGCGGCGGCGGCGGCAGTACCATCAGCAGCGCCACTAGCCGCAACAACAGCAGCTTATCCCTCTCCAGCCTGCCCAATCACAAGCGACCTCCGCTGATGATGGGCAAACGTCCTGAGCTTCGTGACCGGAACCTTATCAATTCTAGTGGCGATCGTCAGCACGATCTCATTATAAACAACAACAATAATGTGGAGAAGCCAAGCAGACAAATTGATTTGGGTTCTGGTGGCACAACCGCCCCTAGCGGCGGAGGAGACTCAAACTCCGAGAGCGATCACGTTGAACTTAACTTCCACGACAACGGGGATGCTCACCACAACCACAACAACAGCCACTTGGAGTTTTACGGTAACCTGCAGAGTACTAAATCTCTATTCAATAGAACCAACGCCCAGCCCACTCTGCACAATTCCACGTGGTCCCTGAATTCACTGAGCAATCGGCGGACATTCAACGCATCGATATACGGCAGCACCTCGGCCCTGAGCGACAGTCGCCTGCTAAGTCACAGGGGCTCAGCAGCATCCTCCGCCAGTTCATCAAGCTCACCCTTTTACCAAGGACCCACTGCCTTTGGCGGCAACTCGGCAAATAATCGCTTCTTTAATCGCAGTTCATCGGCCGCCCCCTCCTCCAACTCCAACTCCCTGCTGGGTAACAATTCTCGCTTCAGTATGCCGGGCATCGGATCTGGTAGTATTGGCATGAAGCCAACAGAAATGCGCTTTAATAATCCTGCAGAGACAAGTGGTAGTAGCTCCGCCATATCGAAAACCACGCATCGCATCCTTCACCTGCTGGACAGGTACTCCACGCCGCTGATTGATGTCAAGCGCATGGGCAGTGTCCTCAAGGAGCACCAGAGCAGTCGCAAGATGCGCAATAGTGCGCCAGCAGGCAGTCCCTATTCTCTGCCTCGCAATTCGACGAGTATAACTGGATCCTTGCAGAGTCCTGTTGCCGATTTGGCGGAGCTGCGCTCGAACAAATTACTATTGCCCACAATGCAGCAGCTGCTGGAACGCCGGTGTCTGAACCGGGTGACTACCAACACGCGCAATTTGATGCAGATGCCCAAACAGAGTGTCCCAGTAGCGGAGGGCACTGACACAGTGGTAAAGGCTGCAACAAAAACGGTGCCATCATCGGTGTCCGCGGCGACGCCGGTTGTGGATCAACCGTCCAGCCATAGTCATCGTTCGTACAAGATGCGTTCAAAGCTCTCACACCAGGCGCAGGGGCGAAGCAAGGAGGTGCGCGAGGAGGAGGCCCCTCCACCTCCGCTGGATCTTCCCCAGATCAGTTTCCCGGACATGGCCAGTACGCCCAAGTTCGATCTGGTTATTGGGAAGACCCCCGGATCCCACAAGGCCGACGTCCCAACGACAACGGTAAGCAAGGACAACAACAGTAATACCAACAACACCTTAAAAAAGACCAACTTTCTGGTCAATCCGCAACCGATAAACGATGTTAGCCTTGCAGCGAATGGAGCAAGTGTCACGGCAGCCAAACGTAGCTTTACCTTCGAAACACCAACGCCACTATCGTTCAACTCGCAGAATACCTCTGCGGCCCAGCTTAATGTTATTAAACGTGGCTTTGTCTTCTCAGCGCCGATTCCTCTTGATGCCGAATCAAAGCAAGTAAAGGCGGCGATGAATGGCCTACCACCGCAGGGCTTCGGTGAACAATTCAAGAAATCGGGCAAAGAATGGGACTGTGATGTGTGTATGGTGCGTAATAAGGCCGAGGCTGGCAAGTGTGTGGCCTGCGAGACGTCTAAACCGGGTGGGGTCAAGGCTTCTCCAGCGGCAACAACTACTCTCTTTGAACAATTCAAGAAATCGAGCAAGGAATGGGACTGCGAGGTGTGTATGGTGCGTAACAAGGTCGAGGTTGGGAAGTGCGTGGCCTGCGAGACGCCCAAACCAAAAGCAACTGCTCTGGCAGCTCCATCTCCCTTGCCTCCGATTGTGCCCATTGGTGGAGGCTTTGGAGATCGTTTTAAGAAGTCGTCGACTGCCTGGGAGTGCGAGGCCTGCATGGTCACCAATAATGAGGCGGACAGCAAGTGCATTGCTTGCATGACTCCACGGAAGGCGGCGATGCCAACAACGAAGATTAACAATTTCCCAATGACATCGGTGTCCGGTGTTGGTTTTGGGGATGCCTTTAAGCTCAAGACCGGTCAGTGGGAGTGCCAGACTTGCATGGTGATGAATGAATCAACTGCCTTGGAGTGCGTGGCCTGCCAGACTGCAAATCCCCGTCTTGGCAGCTCTGAGCCATCCTCGAGCTCATCCTCATCTTCGTCTTCCTCGGCGTCCTCTTCAACGGCGTCGGCACCAGCCTCACCGCGCGCCGCCAACAGTGTCACCTCCAGCACCAGTTTTAAGTTTGGCTTCACCCCTGGAACTGTTGCTGCTGTTGCGCCCAAGCAGGATGCTGGTTTCCAGCAGCTGGTGGCTGCCCAAAAGACCGCCAGTTGGAATTGCGATGCATGCTTGGCCCAGAACGAAATGTCGCGCAACAAGTGCCTCTGTTGTGAGCAGCTTAAGCCCGGCAGCAGTCCCACCAGTACTACCAGTACCAAGAGCAGCGGCCTGACGGTTCCTGGAGGCGGCAGTTCGGTACCAAAGTTTACTTTTGGATTTGCCCCTGTCCAGCCATCAAAAACTGGCTTCACCAAGGAGGAAACAAAGGCAACGACGGCCACTTCAAGCACAGAGGAAACGGATGCAGCAGCAGCTCCAGCTCCGGCATCAGCTCTAACCCAGCCGTTTGCATTTGGAGCGCCACCTACTTTAAGCTCTGCCAGCTCAAGCACCGCCACGACCACCACCGCCACCATTAGCAGCACTCCGGCTTTAGGTGGCTTTAGCTTTGGTGCTCCATCTTCCTCCTCCTCGACGGTGTCCAGCTCTAGCGCCAACTCAATGCCTGTTGCCAAGCCCATGTTCAGCTTATCGGGAGCGGGAGGAACTGCTAGCGCCGTGAGCAGCACCAGTAGTAGCCAGCAGCCGGCATCCAAGACAGAGGCTTTTGGCTTTGGTGTCAGCAATGCCATAACGACGACCACCACCTCATCGACAGGCTTTTCCCTAAAGCCATCAGCAACCCCAGCGACAGCCCTACAGTTTGCTGTCATTCCAGCATCTGCTGCGGATCCAGCTCCAGCACCAGCTGCAGCTGCAGCTGTAGCTCCTAGCTTTAGCTTTGGCAATCCACCGAAAACAGTGTCAACTCCAGCCGCCGCCGGTACCTTCTTCTTTGGCCAGCCACTGGCGAGCACTTCAGCGCCACCCGCAGTCAATGCCGGCGTCAGCTCAATTTTCGGATCAACAGCAGCAGTCAGCACCAGCATCAGCACAGCAGCCGCCAGCTCAGTCAGCCCCAATAGTACTGCCGTCGTGGCCCCATCTAATCCACAGCCGTTTAGCTTTGGAACAGCTACTAAGAAACCCGAGGAGACGACAACGGCAAAGCCCTTTGTCTTTGGCTCCGGCGGATTGGGAGCAACAACGACGACGACGACGACAATGCCTAGCTTTGGCTGGCCCAGTAATGGAGCCACGGGGATGAACAGCAGCACCAGCAGCGGCGGCAGCAGTGCAGTCACCAGCACAGCGGCGGTGTCATCCTCACAGGGTATTATGATGACCCAGCCTATATTTGCCAGCAGCAGTGCTATGTTTGGAGCTCCCAGCAGCATTACCAGCAGCAGCAGCAGCAGCTCACTATTCGGTTCGACGGCCACAACAGCGGCAGCCACTCCGGCGGCTGTTAGCTTGGGTGGAAACGGAGGTCTTGCCACCGTCTTTGGAAATGTGGGTAACTCCATGGTGGCGCCCGTAGCCACACCAGCTGCAACGCTTGCGACTGCTGCCTCGGGGCCGCTGGCCAATATCTTTGGCAATCCCACGGCCATTGCCGCGCCAGCTTCATCATCATCATCGTCAACATCGGCGTTTGGAAGCGGCAGTGGAGGATTTGGACAAGGCGCTGCTGCAGCCACGACCCCGGCATTGGGCCAGGGAGGAGGATCAACGAAGCCTGCATTTAACTTTGGAGGAGCAGTAGCTGCCACGGCAACTGTAAGTATTGAATATACAATTCTAATTAGACCGAGTCCAAGCTATAATTCCATTGTGTCAGCAGTCCTCCGGTGCTCCATTCAACTTTGGCTCCAGCACTGCGGCAGCCGCCAAGCCAACATTCAATTTTACGGGTTCGGTAACGACGGCCTCTACACCGCAGGCGGGCGCATTTACCTTCACGGCAAATCCAACGGCCGGTCCTCTAGCAGCCGGCGATGTAAGTACAAAAGATATATAGATAATTGATGATGCCAAGGAACTGTACCCAGAACCCCTCCTGACCCTCTGACAAATTCCCAAAGAGGTGATCGATAGGAGCAAAGCACGACGATGTGATGCAACGAAACACCTTCATAATTCCATCCATGCAAATCTGTTAACGGTTGTTGTAGTGTCTCCTAGCTTCTCCGTCATATATTTCCTTTTGATTTTCCGTCTTGCATGCCACAAATCCATTCTAGAGTTATAGCGATAGCAATAACGATTGCGAATAACAGTCGATCAGTTCTCCTAACACACCGACAATAATTATATATTTTATATGAGCTGGTATTAAGTCAATGTTAACATCGATTATATCGATTTTTTCATCTTTTTTGGTCGATGCATTTTGTTTTAAAACAATCGATTTATCTAAAACTGTAAATAAGACCGTCTTTTTTCCAGTAAAAACCAGTAGTTAATGATACTTTTTATGATAATATTGTTATTGACACTTTATTTTTTCTTTTTTTTAATTTATAGAAATGTATTTTGTTTGTTTTTTTATTGATCTCATTGAACTTAAAAATAAATAAATGGGTTTTTGGTTTATTCGATGTTATTTTTTAAAAGATCGAAGAAAAAAATCGATGCATTGAGAATAGACTTTTTCCCAGCTCTAATATTATATTAATATTTACCTGACTGACTTTGCCTACCTTATTATTTACGTACGTATTTCGTATATTTATTTATTTGTATTTTTCTTCTTTCCTTTTCTTTTTATCTTTTTCCCCAACAACCCCAAAAACTCCCCCACGACAACGAACAAATTTCAAATCGTGCGTGTTTAAAATGTAATTTATGTATACTCCCTACTACGCAACTCCATAAATCTGTAATAACTGTACCTGTACCCTCCCTGTACTGAAAACCCCCCTATGGGCACGGGCACGACCAACTTTACTACCATCCATCCTACTACCACTATATTATGATTACCACCACGATTTCGATATGTTTATTACGATTACGATACCCGAAACCCGATACCGATACCGAATTTAAAGGCCCAGGGTATCTTTCGGTTTGGTGCTCCATCAGCGGCGGCGGAAATAGGAGGAGCGGGATTAGCGGGACCGGGAGAAGCCGCTGCCTCCACCTCCTCCTTTGCAATTGGCGGTGTGCCGCCGATGTTCAATTTAAGCTACGCAACGCCGCAAACAGAGATGCAGGTAATGCGAATTCATGGCGAGAGTTGGTCGTCGACTCGAAATACACGATATACCCGATTGCTAAGTTCTCGTATCACAAAATGCAACGATTAGTGTTGAATATACTTTGTACATTCATCATACCAGGGCGTGTCACAGAAATTTCTGTAATCTAGGCCGTATTTCAAACAGATAGTTACTTGTTTTGGGATTTTCCAAGTATAACCCAGGTGTGCCACTGAAATCGCATTTAAAGTCTTTGTAAATTCTTACTTAATCACACAGTAATTTTGGTGGTATTTCCCTGTATATTTGAAATTCCCAAAATGAAGTCAAAAACTGTATTTGCAGTTTTCTTACATTTCCATAGTTTAAGGATAAGTTTTTAAAATATCCAAAAATATTCGATTTCTTTTGCTATCTCGGTATACAAATTTCTGTGGCACCCTTGCCCAAAATGTAGAATAATATATATCATAATTATCGTGCTTTAATAGTCATTTTCCATTAAATCTACACATTATCTTCAATTCTAACTGTAACCGTAGCTGTTGATCGTACGATATTTGCATGATTGTAGCTGTAGATCGTAGATATTTCCTTGCTTACGTACATGTATGTAGTATGTAGGTGTAGTGCTTGTCAAACCTATACTCTGGCTTCCAATATTTTGCACACTTACAAAACAGTTTTGCATGCTTCTTACCAAAATATATGAATGTGTATTTTGACGAGCACTCACACACAACACAGACACACGACACCCACACACCCACAGTAATAAATTCCAATTGACACTACGAACTTATGTAGCAACTGTTGCTACCGTTCATCCTTGCGTTTCATTCACCATTCGATCAGACAGAAGATTATCTCAGTGTAAATAACCTATACACCATAGACCATTCCTAAACACCACCTATGCCCCATCACGCACAAACCACCAACTACCAACATCATCATCGGGAACCTTGAAAAAAATTTACATATATTTAAAAAAGGGCTTATGAAATTACACTTGCAAAGATAAATCAATTTTACCAAAGGCAAACAAACCAAAAATGTTTTTTTTGCAGTCCACATCGAATGCCAATGCACCGTTCCAATTTGGTGGTGCCCCAGCGCCAGCCAATATATTTGCGTAAGTAAGACAGGGATGGCGAGAGAGACACACGAGCAGGCCGGTGCGTGCGAACGAGATAGCAGACATCGAGGATCCAGGCATCGTTCTCGTTACTTTTTTTTTGTTTCTCCCTCTCTCTCTTCCACATTGAATTGGCCGAATTCAAAATCGCAATCAGACACACACACACACACAACACACACAAACAACACAGCTGCATTCTTAACCGTTATAATTGCTTTTTAAAATTAAGTAATTTGTAAGGCATTTGTTTGTTTTCGTTTATATGTTTAGTTTTGTTTTCGTTTTGTCCCCAATACAATGATCTCAAATCGAACATCAAACACACACACACACACACACACACAAACCGCGTACGACCTGTTTGATTTTTATATTATGTTAAACTCTAAATATTTTCAGCAATAAAAAAAAATTAGTGCAGAAAATGTTTGAAATTTGAATACAATATAAATATCGAATCGGAGCCAGTGGTTTTAATCAAGTTTAGATTACAAAATCCGCAGCACTCACACAGTCCACACATTGGAAATGTTCACACTTAATTGGAAGTTTATGCGCTTCCATTGTTCTTCCATATGTAAATGTTGTACTTGCAGGTCCTGGAAGTGGGAGTCCATCGACCATGTCTGAATGTCATTTCCATTCCCAATTGTCATTGTCCAAAAGTTTTGTATTTGGTATTTCTGTGTTTGCACTTTCCATTTCGTTGCCATATTACAATTATTTATTATTTTGTTCATGATTTGTGTGTGTTTGATGGCCAAAAGAGTTTGAAAAACAACAACAGAGTAGATAGAGCAGTGCACCTGCTCCGTAGTCACTCGTCCGCCCGCAGCAGATGACGTCTTCTCGAGCTCTCGAGATCTTTTGCCCAGTACCAGACTAATTAACAATTGATTCATCCACAGCTTCAATCAGCCAGCCGGCCAGTCTGCCCAAAATTCGCAGATGGTTCGTCGCAAGGTGCGTACTCCTATGCGCCGCCTGCCGCCCCGGTAGAAATGGCATCGCAATCGGCCGCCAAGGTAGCTGCTGTTCAGGCCGCCATAAAAATAAAATTGTCGAATGCGATGAAGAGGAAGGTGGAGGAGGAGAAGGAGCGAGGGCCGCAGCTGCTGGAGATGGAGCGGCTTCGAAAGCAGAGTCTGATTAACAAGTACCGTTATGTGCGGGGAGTAAAAAGTGCAGCAGCAGCAGCAGCAGCAGCACCAAGACCACCACCACCACCAGAAGTAGTCAAAACAGCAGTAGCCTCCGCATCAGCATCCCAGGTGACAGGTGTTCGACTTCCTTTTTTCAATAGGAACATCAGCATCAGAAACAACAACAACCGAAGCCAAGATGCTCCCCAGAATATCAGCTGGGAAGACAGCAACAACCGGGTGGCATCGGCCACACAACCGCAGTGGACGGGAAGTGGAACTGCCCCCGCTACTGGAGCCAATCGACGCAGTCTCTTCAAGTATGTGCGATGCGACACTAAAGCGACGACGGGAAGACGCTTCTCAACTGACTGAAACACACACACACCAGAGCCTCGATGATGTGTAACGACTTCTTGACTTGACCGGGCCACAAGGAGGAGAATAGACGTAGCCGTAAACACACTGTAAAACGTATATACACACAGCGCCACATACATATATATATATATAGTCTCTACTAATTCCTAATGATTTTTTCTTGGATAGTTCACCGTTTATGTTTAATTAATGAATATATTATAAATGTTTAAAACTCATATTTTTTTTTTTTTTTGTTGATGCTATAACCTGCTATAATTCTGTATTGTATCTATATATCTTCACATATATATACATATATATTTATATACATATATATTTATATACATATATATTTATATATATATATATGGTGTAAGGAGAACCACGCGGATGACCGGCTTTAAATTCATCCGCAAGGCTTACCATGTGTAAATTGTAATCTAATTTTATCCTTGTAGTTATTGTCATTGCAAATTATTTGTGGTTCTCCCAGGCATATACATACAGAAACACACTTTTATATGTATATATTTATATATATAAATACATGGGTATACAGTTATTGTAGTAGTCTTAATTTAACGATAATTATGTAATAATTATTTTGTGAAAATGTAAAGAAAAATAAGCGAATCGGCAAGCAAGAGTTGTTGCAAAGAGCAAGAGAGAAAATAGCGCAAAAAGTAAACTATATTATATTATATATATAAATATGTATACATATATATGTATATTTATATATATATTAAAGTGGGTAATCCTGTTTAGACAATGACAGCGAGGCGGAGGCAGGGCAGGACTTGAGGTTTAGCTGTAAGAGTTGCATTAAGTCTTAGTTCTGTTATTGATTTTAGAATTACAAAAAAAGGAAAACCCAACAGCAGCAACAACAAACAGTAATGCAAACCAACAACTATCTAGCAACGTAAACAAACAAATGAAACCTATAGCTACTGATAAGGAGAGCGAGCGAGGAGCTCGGCCAGGTGGCGACCGAACAGCGATGATGTGCATGTCCCTCACATCCACACACATATGTACACATGGCCGCGAGACACACATTGAATAAATATATATATATAAATTATAATTTTAAATTGATCATTAAGTATATAATAGAAATGGAAATCAGAAGATCAGTCTTAGAGTCGAGTAAAAGTTATCATAATGTAAATAAGTAAATATATATGCGGTATGATAATTTAAAAACAAATACACATGTGAGATGAATTAATAGCGCGGCCAGTGATGGCTTTCTTTGTTTTGGTTTTTGGGTAAATACAAATTGATTGAAATCTTCTCTAGCGCACATTTTTAATGTTGGCGCGCAAGTATATGGTATTTTCAGCACTCTGAAACTGGTTATCGATATCGGTAATACGGTCACCTCTGAAATTACTGTGGCAAAGAAATCTAAAAACTTGGGCATATTCTTCAGTTTTAAGAACACAATTGATATTTTACAAAATTATATTTGCCTAATTGTAACGTTAAATAAAATATAAAATTATAAAGTGGCAGTTGATTAATCGATAGACTCAGACGCTGAACTATCGATAGCACACAATCGACGGCTTGATAGCTCCACCTCTGTTGCTATCGATTTCGGGCAATTATTTTCTTTAGTTTATTTTTTTTTCCGTTTCTCCAATTGCGCTTGTGGGGCCGTAACCCGAGAAATGTGCTGACCCCCGGAGGAAGCTAAAAGGGATTGAGTCGGACTGGGAATCGAAACCAGATTCAGATTCTGATTCGGATTCGGATTTATAGTAACCCAGAGTCGCGTCCGCTGTGCTGTTATGCGTGTGTGTGCGTGAGAGTCGTCCGTGCTCCCTTCTTGTTTGTGTGTGTGTGTGTGCGTGTGCGCGAGATCTGGAAGATCGTCGTCTTCGTTGTTGCTGTGCTTGTTACTCTTTCCCGTCTGGAAAAGGGCGGTAAAAGAGAAGTCAACAGAAGAATCCGGAGCACGGGAAAGCGGAAAACTAGGCAATAGGTGATCCATCTATTCCAGGCGCTGGGAAAATGTTCTCGAAAAAGAAGAAGAAACCGCTGATCTCGATGCCAAGCAACTTTGAGCATCGCGTGCACACGGGCTTCGACAAGCGGGAGAACAAGTACGTGGGCCTGCCCCTCCAGTGGGCCTCCATTGTGGGCAACAACCAGATCCTCAAGTCGAGCAACCGCCCGCTGCCGCTCGTCGATCCCTCGGAGATCACGCCCACGGAGATCCTTGACCTCAAGACGATAGTCCGTCCGCATCACAACAACAACAAGGCGGACACCACCTCGCTGAACAGCAGCAGCACCACCAACATGATGATGGCGTCGCATCCCATGGCGCTCGGTGGCTCCCATACCATGCCTCCAAATGCCGCCGCCACCGCTGCCGGCATGATGCACCACATGATGCCCAGCGAGGCAACACCCGGCGGTGGTATTATCCTGCCCAAAACCTCGCACGTGGCCAGGTCAAACTCCCTGCGCAGCTCCAGTCCCCCTCGCGTTCGCCGCGTGGCCAATGTGCCGCCTTCGGTGCCGGAGGAGGAGGGCCCAACGGGTCCAACCCCAGGTGGTTTTAAGCCTCCACCATCCACGATGAGCGGCCATCCTATGCTCTATCCCAGTCAGCATTCCCATGCCAATGGAGCGGCCACCGGGCCTCTGGCCGTGCGCACGGACCAGCATCAGTACCGCGGCAACATGGCGCCGCCGCCCGGCTCCATACCGCAACAGACATCGCCCGTGGGATCTGTAGCCAGTGGCACACGTTCCACGCACTCGCACACCAACAATGGCAATGGCAGCGGCGGCGCTGGTGGTTTCCCCATATATCCCACCTCCCACCAGGCCAAGGCGATCGGCGATCAGAACCAGAATCCCCTGCATCCGCATGGACATCCGCATCCACACAATCACCTGGCCAAGTCGGCGTCGCGGGCCTCTAGTTCAAGTGGCGGAGCGAGCAGCGCCACCTTGGCAGCGGCGGCGGCCGTCCAGCAGGCGCAGCCGAAACAGGAGCAACGCCTAACCCACGAGCAGTTCCGTGCCGCCCTCCAAATGGTAGTGTCAGCGGGGGATCCGCGTGAGAATCTCGATCACTTCAACAAGATCGGCGAGGGATCCACGGGCACCGTTTGCATAGCCACCGACAAGAGTACAGGTGAGCAGTCCTAGAGCATAAGCTTGAATCTAGAAACTAGACTTAATCCTCCTTCTCCTTCTCATCCACAACAGGTCGCCAGGTGGCCGTGAAGAAGATGGACCTGCGCAAACAGCAGCGACGCGAGCTGCTCTTCAACGAGGTGGTCATCATGCGCGACTACCATCATCCCAATATCGTGGAGACATACTCCAGCTTTCTGGTCAACGATGAGCTCTGGGTGGTGATGGAGTACCTCGAGGGCGGCGCCCTCACCGACATTGTCACCCATTCGCGTATGGACGAGGAGCAGATAGCCACCGTATGCAAGCAGTGCCTGAAGGCTTTGGCCTATTTGCACTCACAGGTGCGTGACCACACTGTTGTCCCCCTCCGCCCTTCTCTACCGTGTTCTCCATTATCCATTGGCCGTTGTGATGATGGCTTTTCCTCATTGTCGGGCAGACGGGCAACTGCCCTTCGCCGACGCCTCCATCTCCGCCTCCACCTCTGCCTTTGCCTTTGTACATTCGCTTCGATTCTTTGTGCCATTGCCATTTGTGGCGCTTTCTTTGCCCTCCGCTTTCGCGACGACGCTTGGGTTTCAATTTCTAAATGTTGTCACCGTCAGAGTCGTGGTCGCACGCACAGTGGGGCGACCAGTAGAATCGCACGCCCAAAAATCTGGCAAGTGAAATCGGGTCTAGCCTCGTACGTGCCTGCCCTACCCCTAAAAAAGGGCACAGAGATTGCTCAGACTAGAAGATTTTAGTTTGGATTTTATGCTTTATTTCAATTATTTATATTTGATTATAAAGCAACGTATAAACCAGTTAATTATTGATTAATACCTTAGAAAAGATAAGATATATTTTCTTGAAAAACTCGCCCAAGCATGTGGGTCTTTGGTGGGTTAACAACCACCGCCAGCCAGGTTAACTAGGTTTCTTTTGTGCAACTTGTGTCCCACGTTGGTAATGCGATAAGTGGCTGGGAGAAAGGGCCTGCGTGGGTGGAGGTGGAAAACCGCAAACTGTGAGCAAACTCTTAACCAATTTCCCTTCTCTCTCATTGTGTGTGTCTCTTAGGGCGTCATCCATCGCGACATCAAGTCGGACTCCATTCTGCTGGCCGCCGATGGACGGGTGAAGCTGTCGGACTTTGGCTTCTGCGCCCAGGTATCCCAGGAGCTGCCCAAGCGCAAGAGTTTGGTGGGCACACCGTACTGGATGTCACCGGAGGTTATATCACGTTTACCGTACGGTCCGGAAGTGGATATCTGGTCGCTGGGCATCATGGTCATCGAAATGGTGGACGGTGAGCCGCCCTTCTTCAATGAGCCACCGCTGCAGGCGATGCGACGCATACGTGACATGCAGCCACCGAATTTGAAGAATGCCCACAAGGTTTCGCCGCGTCTGCAGTCCTTCCTCGACCGAATGCTGGTCCGGGATCCGGCGCAGAGGGCCACGGCCGCCGAGCTGCTGGCCCATCCCTTCCTGCGCCAGGCGGGTCCGCCGTCGCTGCTGGTACCGCTGATGCGTAATACGCGACACCATCCATAGTTGAAGCGACCAGGAATTGGACTTGGGACTTTGGACTCTTCTAGTATTAACAATCAGTTGATGGCAACTGTACTTAAACCCACATTCCCCCGCTCGAAACGTTGTAAAGTCATTTAAGCCAGCATATACCCGCTTTTAAGCCCACTAACCAGCACCACTTGACCACTGAGCCACTGCATCATCGAGCAACGGAGCAACAGGGCCACCGAAGACGAGTTTGCCCCCAAGAATAGCCATGTGCCTTTCACACACCCAAAAGAAACTAAAAACTACAAAATTTCATAAATGATTCCATGAATATATCCTGAGAAGTGACTCGTGATCAGTTTCGGAAGTCTGAATGTACGTTTTTATATATTGAATGTTGCTCTCTTCTTGTTCGCCCTGTTTGCATTTTTTTTAAATATACAAAAAGCCCATAAAACATTGTTCGAATATATACATATATACTTATACAATATAAACGCTAAGAGAGATATGTTAAACTATATAGATATATATGTATTTACCCATATATTTTTTATAAAAACAAACCTAAACCTAAGCGAAGCGAAACAACGAAGGAATGGGAATCGAACGCGAAAGCGAAAACGAAAGAGACAGAACTCGAACGGAAGAGAGAGAGAGAGTGAGAGGACATCGAATTAAAAATACTATTTAGACTTGACTCGATATATGTATATTCAAATGAACTAAATATATATATACAAAAAACATTCCCAATTTTGAAAATTATAACTAGATCCTCCTCCGTTCTGTTTTTCGATATGTTTTTTTTAATTCGGTTTTTAACCCCGTGTAATTATAATTTAACGAATAAACAAAAATGTATTTGATTGAAAGGCGATTGCTTTGATTTTGTGATTTTTATTACTGGTTGATTGGTTGATTGATTGATTGATTGATGATTGTGAAGAATACATAATTGTGCCCAGGCAGAGATAGTGCTCCATATATCCATATATCGTGGGATATATGGGCGTATCTGATCCTGGGCATGGAGGATGGGGCTGGGATCGTGTGTGAGTGTGTGTGGGTGTATGGATTTTCAGTGTGCCTTTTGTGTGTGTGTGTGTGTTTTTTTTTTTGTTTGTTTACAACATAAAATTACAAATATATTACATACACAAAAAATCAATTGCGAACTAAAAACTAAAGGGCAGATCGGGCTGCCAAATAGCTAGCCATATGATTCAAAGGGATTAGAGGGGCAGGAGCTGGATAGCTGGGATAAGGGACGGGTTCAGTTCAGAGAACCGGGATTCAGTTGCGCTTCCGCAGGGCCAGACGGGCACCGATGGGGCGCTTGGGCTTTGTCTCCTCTTTTTGCTGCTGCTCCGACTCCTCGGCGGCGGCATCCTCCACAGGCTCCACGGGCGTCGCCTTGGCGGGCTTCGACAGCTTGCGGCGGCTCACTACAAAAAAAGGTGTACATTTTAAGTCAAAAATAATTGATATGAAAAATTTAATTAATTAAAATTTAAAAAGAAAATCGATTGTCGATTAAAATCAATATGATTTCTCTATATTTGTTTAACGCTGCTAACTAAAACTTCTATTTCTTTAATTTTTAGTACAAGTCAAGGTCTAAATAAATATTGAGAAAGTGTGCCTCAATTAACAAAAATTTTGTAACATTTTAAAAATCGATTATATCGATAAAATGTTCGTTTCTTCATGTTTTTCATCATTAAATGTTCACTAATCTTTAACAATTTATTAATCAAAGTTAAATAAATACATTTTTAAAGCTAAAAACAAAAAATCGTTGGCAATAAAAGAAAAACTAAGCATTTATGAATTATTTATCAGAAGCTATCGATTATTAAAACGATATTTTTCGATATTTGTTCAATATAAATTAAACTAAAAAATATCTCCTAAATAAATAAATACAATCTCATTACTAAACCTTGATAATATTTGCTCTAAACATAGTATATAATTTTAAAAATATTAATTCAATAAATAAATTAAACAATTTTTCCACTCACATGCCGAGTTGCCCTTGTAGCCCTTGGCGGAACTGGATGCTGGGGCAGGTGCTGGCGCGGCCGCTGGCTCCTCCTGCTCGCCAGAGGAGTTGGACTCGTCGCTCTTCTTGGCCGGCTTGCTGGGACTGGGCGGCTTCTCGGCGCGATGCTTCTTGGCGTTCGCCTGGCGACGCTTCAGCGAGTTGAGGAAATCATCGTTGGAGCGGAATGGCCGGATGACGGGGCCGACCTTTTTCGGTGCCTCCGTGGTGGTGCTGGTGGTGGAGCTGGCAGCAAATGCCGCCTCGTCACCATCCTCGCCCAGGTTGCCATGCTCGCCGGCCTCCTCATCATATTCCTCACCCTCGCCAGCACCATCGCCCTGCGCCGGTGCCGGTGTCGTCGTGGTGGTAGTCTTGGCCGCCTTGCCCACGGGTCGGCGCAATGCAGCAATTCTCTTCGCTGGCGAAACGGCACCGGCGGCTGGACCACCCTCCTCCTGGGCAGTTACCAGGCTGTAGCACAAGGTGCAGACAATGAAGAGCAGGCAGCTGGAATAAACGGAGCAGGAAATTGGTTGATAAACAAATATATATAATAGAGAGATATTTGTGGAATGTTTTCCTAATTATACCATTCTTTGCTTTACTCTAACACTTCGAGGTTGTTCTGGACGTAAGGGAGGAGCTGGTGAATCCCCGAGGCAAGGCTGCTGCTGCTACCACAGCCTTAGAGCTCCAGTCTGGTTGGACGGGTTATGCCAATACAGAACCTGAAGTCGTAAATACCCGAGGTGTGCTGAGGCCACCTCCAGAGGAAAGGAGAGGGAGGGATGCCAAGGGAAACTTATGGAAATATACTCATATCATATTTGAAACGATTATAGATGCCGCCTCAATTAATTAGACATATATTTCAGAATAAATTTTGGGTAAATAAAATCAAAATTTGATTTCCAGTTACAGATAAAAAATAAGAAATACGAAAGAGCTGAGTGCTGAATCCATAATTAAAATATATTATATATATCCATAAATTACCGTGAAAACAGCATCTTATTCAACCCTCTAGTGTAAAATTGTGCCTCAAGGCACTTTTTGGAGCCAGAGGATTAAGGAATTTTTTAGGGTATTCATTCATTAAATTTTAATTAAAATATACTTCATGAATTAAGCCAAAATCTATGAGTTTGTTGGGTTTTCCCGCTGCCTGATGCTGCTGATATTACTGCTGGGGGAGATGTGCTAACAATTATTAATGTGTAAAGGTCAGGCAAACGGGTTTGTTCACTTTCGATTTCGATTTCGATTTCGATTCGGATTTGCCTTAATGCCTTAATGCCGAATTCGAATGTTGCTCCGTTTCTGTTTCTCGATGTCTGTGACTGCCGCCTGCCTTGCCTGTTTTATTCAGTGAGCTTTATGCGGTGAGTCAATTGCTCATATTTTATGCAAAACAAAAGACTTGGGCAGCGAACTCGTTTTGAAATTCTTTCCTAGGCTTTCAGCGGCGACATGGAGACGGCGCGACACATACACACACACACACACACACACACACACACACACACTCACATGGCAACGGCATTAGAGAGACGACGCCGGGGTGGCCAAAGGAAACAGGTGCTTATGCAAAAGGCAGTCAAAGTGGCAAGCAAACTGGCAAACCAGTTGACGGCAGGCAAGGCAGAATAAATTTTGTAGTGATCGCGCACATAGCACCAAGCAGCCAGCTATCTAAGCACTAAGCACTAGTAGTTGGCTAATAACAGTAAAATCAGCTCTAAGCCCAAGTCAGGTTTTATTTTTAGCACCTATTTTGATATTTATATTCCATTTCTTTCTCTCCGGCTGCACTTCCTCCTCCTCCTCCTCCTCCTCCTCCTCCTCCGCTTAACAATTTTTGTTTTCTTTTCTTTCTTTGTTTTTGGGGTCAGGCTTTGGCGTTGGCCCAGTTAATGGTATTATGCAACCCAAGCAGCAAAGGTGAAAGGCGTGGGCTCTGGCGCACACTCCCCCGATTTTTAGTGGGTGCGTGCCTGGCATCTCCAAAGTGCCAGAGCTGGAGAGGTCCCAGCTCCAGCTCCAGCTGCAATCGAAATTCACATCACAGCTCTGCCATGATCAGGGGCGTTTACTGGGAAACGTTTTGTTCAGGGGGAGCTAAGCAGATAAATCCTTGTACATATTTTTATACCCTTGCAGGGTATTATAATTTCAGTCAGAAGTTTGCAACGCAGTGAAGGAGACGTTTCCGACCCTATAAAGTATATATATTCTTGATCAGCATCAACAGCCGAGTCGATATAGCCATGTCCGTCTGTCCGTCTGTCCGTCTGTCCGTCTGTCCGTCTGTCCATCTGTCCGTCTGTCTGTTTCTACGCAAACTAGTCCCTCAGTTTTAAAGCTATCTGAATGAAACTTGGCATATAGTCTTCTATATGCTCTCACTGCTATATATGTCGGAACGGGCCGGATCGGACGACTATATCATATAGCTGCCATACAAAGGTTCGATAAATTTTTAGAAAAAAAATTATAACTTCGGTGTTTTTTAATATTTTTGCATCATTTTTGAGATATAGCCATTTTATATTATTCCAGATTTTTGGTAAAAATTTTATGAAAATCGGACAACTATATCTTATAGCTGCCATAGGACCGATCAGGAAATTAAAGGAAAAAAAATGATAACTTTGTTGTTTTTCAACGTATTTTCATCTACTCTGAGATATAAGCTTTTTTTATTATTGTAAAATTATGGTATAAATTTCATAAAAATCGGACAACTATATCATATAGCTGCCATAGAAGCGATCGGTAGATGTAGAGAAAATGTAAGGCTGGGAATGTACAACTGTAACTGTCAAACTGTAAACATAATAAGTATAGGTAAAATGTAATGAAACTCTGTTTTGTCTGTGTTTTAAGCATTTAAATTTATAATATAAATATCAAAACCAATCTGCAAGGGTATACAAACTTCGGCGTGCCGAAGTTAGCTTCCTTTCTTGTTTTAAATTTAATTTTGATGCCACGGAATTAATTTATAAACTAATAATAATTATTTGTATAAGAAATGGAAAATGCAATACAAATTTTTAAATTTAAATTAAGACATTATTTTCATAAAAAATCATAGATATTTCCTCATTGAAAGCAAAAGCAATGCCTTGGTCATTTCAAAACTTAAAAAAATGTATTAAAATCTAATAAAATGAAACAAAAGTTTTTAAATATTTTATTTCTATTAGAATAACTTAAAAAAAGGTATTAAAATCGACTAAAATGTAACACATTTTTTTAAATATATAATTTAAATTAGAAAACACTCATTAAAAATGAAAACCAAGGTCTAAGTCATACCAAAACTTACAAAAAAATATATATTAAATGCATTTAAATCTAATAAGATGTTTTATATATTTTTTAATATTTTATTTCTATTAAACATACAATCCATTTCATAGGTAACAAACCTTAAGAAACACCCACATATCATTCTAGAATGACATGACAATGACAAACTATAGATAATAATCCTTTCCAGATGAAATTATAGTTTCCTCCCCACAGAGTCTCTGTGCCTTCAAAGGAGCCTAAGCCCAGGCATGACATTTGCCCCAAAAAAAAAAGCTTCTTCTTCGCTTCTTTGCAACCGGTTCTGGCTTGGGGATTGGGCCTTTATTGGCCAACGGGAGACGAACGCCAGTCCACACCCACAACCAGGACAGGTAGACACGCGACGATCTCTGGTAGTGGGCCTGGGGTTTGTAAGCAATCGTCTGTCAGCCGGTTATATAAGCCGGCATTAGTTGCAAATTTATGATAAGCATTGCGTCGGCGAGAATTTCGTTTTGAGGTAAGGCGGAACCACTTGCTAAAAGCCGCCTCATCATCATCATCATTATCATCATCATCATCACTATCATCCTCACCCTCCTCATTGTCTTCTTTGAGAGCTTGGTCAACAAATTGATTTGACTTTTAATTTATCGCTTTTCGCTTTTGTTTCGTTCCGACTCTAGACTTTAAAAACCACTTAAATTATTTATTTTTTTTTAATTTTTTTGCACATCTTGTTGGATCTTCTTTGGAGTTCTTCAGTCTGAATGGTATGGCGTCATTGGGCCTAGTTTGGGTCAACCAACATCCGCCAATTTAAATTGATTTGATGGCACATTTGCCTTAGAAGAGTATTTAATGTGATTTAAATTGAGGTTATAATACTTAAATTAGTTTAAATTAGTATCTGAATCAAATAAATAGAGTTTAAATGAATTTAAATTAGCTTTAAAACTAGACTAAGCTGTCTTACTTTGTTTCTTGAATATGTTTTAAAGCTCAAATTAAGCTTAGCCGAACATAATGTTTCACTCTAAGACGTGTCCTGACATGAACAGATTTATGCAAAATCATTTGCAAGAACGAACAGGAAAGGCAGGGTACGAAAGAATAACTTTTTTGAACCTAAAACCAAAAGTTTGAACATTAATATGAGAAATTGAGGAACTAAACCTTAAATACAACTCAAAATAATCTTGAGCATCGCATTTCCTGAACTTTTTACGAGACAAATCTTTGCTTAAACCATAAAAAATACAATTTGATGTTCAAAACAAATGCTAATGGCAAGTTCAAGATGATCATCCACATCAGCTTGATCTTGGCTGGAACTCTCTAGCCACTCTCTGGCCCAGTTAAGCCCGACCGGGCACGTTTACTAATTGGCCAGGTGAGTAAGTAGCAGTACATGCACCTTATGGCAGGTTTGTGTATGTCAGTTGCCACTTATTACAGGCCAAACGTGCACGAAATTGGATTCCGATTTGGACTCAGACTCGGGGAATTGGATATTCGATGGCTTTAACTGTATTTTATGGCTTGGAAAAGCACAGAGAGAGAGAGAGAGGGGGGAAAAGGCAAAGTGGCTTAAGGCAAGTGGGTTCAATAACGGTGCATTGTGTACCAAGTGGCGGACAAGTACGTGTTAGCTGCTGACTGCTGGCTGCATGCCAAGTGGAGCGAGTTCGCTGCTTAAGTCTTTTGATTACTCGAGTTCGCTGCCTAAGTCTTTCGTTTTTGCCGCGGCATGTGCTTACATTGAATTCGCTTTGGCCCATGAAGTGCATTCATCACACACATACAGTGTGTGTTTGCTGTTTTTTATTTTGCGATCTCAAAAGTCCTTGAATCTTGCGTATTTCTTCTCCTACTTGCGTACATACATATATAATTTCGTATATATAGTATCTGCCGTCTTATTTATTTTAATTTTATATATATATATATAATAATTGCATAATTCGGCGAATGAAATGGAGCGTACGTAAAGCCAAGTCAGTGATATTCGGAAAAGGCGAAACTAAACCGAAATTCCTGATTTTGCCGTCAACCTGGCGCTTGTTACCCCTACCCCTGATGCTCCCCCTTTTCCCACCGGTGATTAATTCCCGCATACAACGCAGCGATTAACACACATATTACACACCACACACACACTCGTATTTATGCAGATATTTCTCTGTGTGTGTGTGTGTGTGGTGTGCCTGTTGTCAGCTCGCATTAAAAATGCAACCGTTAATTTATAAGACAACCACAACGGCAACTACGTCTGGTAATTAATCCAATATACTTAATTTGCAGCCAAGCGGTGGTGCAGCTGCTGGCCACACCGAGAGAAATTTAGGCTAATAGGTTACTTAAACCAGTGGAAGGAAGGAAATCTATCTTAGCTGACAATGCTTTAATTTCAATGGGAAAAGCTTTTTATTATCAGCAGATTAATTTTAGAATTTTTGAAAATTTTCTAAAATTTAAAAACGAAATAATATAATAATAATATATAAAAATATATAATATATAATATAAAAATAAATAGGTGTCATTTTTTTTTTTTTTTAATTTTTGGGAAAAATTCAAATTGAAAAAATCTATAACTAAGCCAAAAATGCATTAAAATCAATTTGGAAAACAGTTTTGTGTTAGTTTTTATAAGGTTAATAAATATAAGATAACTAAATATAAAATAAAAAAAAAAAAATTATATTTTTTCCCCAATTTTTGAAAGTTTTAACAATGTAACACTTTATAAAATTTTCAAACATTTTTCGCTTGTTTTTTTTTTTTTTTTTGTTTGGACATGGCTAGATCGACTCGGCTTTCAATGCTGATCAATAATATATAAGACTTATAGGATCGGATATGACTCCTTTACTGAGTTTTAAGAACAAAATTATAAATATGTATTCATAGAGTTTGTATTTTAATTATAAAATATATATATTATAAATTATTTTAATATTTATTTAATAGTTTATTTTATTTTATTTTAATTAAAGACCATTTTTTAAATCAACATTTTTTAACGGTGTAGCAGAGACAGGAGACTGCGACTGACAGCAGAAGAATAAGAGGAGCAGCATCAGCTGGCGGCGACCTTGAAACGTCACCACCACAGATCACACATGCGAAGATCTCTGCCCCCCCCTCCCGGAGATTTCCCTCCTCAGAGATTGTAAACGAAACCACATAGATCGAAAACCGCCTGGGGAGTTAACTTTTGCCATTTCTTTGCCGGCAAAATGCCAGCTCCACATCCACAACCAAGTCCCGTGACAACTTCATCAGCGGCACAGTCATCGTCATGATGACCAAACTTTGGCATTTGCGGCTTCGCTTTTTACTAGCTCAGTTCCAGTTTGGAGCGGCTGCTGCGCCGGCGTGTTAAAGTTCAAATTGGCATTAAGCCGAAGCTTTACACCTGCACACCTGTGACTGTGCTGGTGCCCCAAAAAGGTTGCTGCCTGCCACATGCAACGCCAGCCAGGCGATTGGTTATGGTTGCTTTGAAGTGGAAAATGTCAAGCTAAAGCTGGATAAAAAGGAGAGCTTGGTAGGGAAATCCAGAAGGATCTTTTGAAGGAAAGGATTAGTAACTTATAAGTTGGAAAACAAGGAAAACTAGTGGAAACCTTGATTCAAAAATTAGCTAAGCACTCCAAACTTCTTATTCCTGGTTTAAATTTAAAAAAGGAAATGATCGCCATCAGTCTCTTTGTAGATTTCAAAAATATTTTAAAAATTAGCAAAACTCTTAATGTCACTCGAAAAAAAATAGCAGAAGTAGTAAGTTCTCTAGCAGATATATCTAAGATCATAGATGGACTCTTTTGCAGATCACTCACATGTTGAAGTACTTCATTTTGTGTGGGTTTTTTTTTTTATATTAATAATTAATTAAATTTGTGTTTAAAACGCGCGCGCTTGTTTTAAAACTTAAACTAGAAAAAAAACACTTGTTTCTTTGAAGGGAGACGACGCTGGAGGAGGGTTCGTTTTGGTTTTATTTCTTTTTGTTTCTGTTTTCTTTTTTTTTTTTTGGAACGGAAACTATTGGGAACTGGAACTGGGAACTGACTGGCCACGATCACGATCGACTTCTAGAGGCAGACTGAACGTTACTTATGCCGTGTGCACAGAGTTAACCTACGGCCATCCAATATATTTTTGTGGCAGCGACGCCGGCAGCGGCCGAGCAACAGGTTCAGACTCAGACTCAGACACAGAGACCGCCCTGCACCTCCAACCTACTCCGTTGTGGCCGCCACCTTCTCCTCCTCCTCCTCCGCCGCCGCCGCCCCCTTTGCCAGCGTCACCTCCTCCATCACCACCGCCTTCGCTCTATCTCTATCTCTCCGGCAAAGCCAAAGCCAAAGCCCCAATCTATGCTATGTGATCGAGAGTGCAGGAGCACTTCTGGTTTTTTTTTTCATTTTCGGAGCCAATTTGTCACGGGCCTGGGCTCTGGTTATGACAGGTTTTTCGAACTCCACTCCGAATCCGAGCCAGGCCCAGCCAATCCAATCGAATCGAATTGAATCCAAGCCACGTTCGCCTGCAATTTGTATATTTTATTAATTAATTTATTGATTTTGGGCCAATTGTTGTTTTGGCTCTGTGCCCGACCTGGTAAATCCCGATCCCCAAGTCCCTCCTCGATCAGGCCCTCATCTCTGTCCCGCATGTAAGCTTGGAGGAGTCCAAAAACAGAGCAGCCCCAGCTGACGGATTTCGCTTTAGATTTAGGTTTTAAACGATTTTTGGATACTCTTTCTGGCTTTCAGCGGGAAGGAAAAATCGTAATAAGTTTTAAAAAAATTATTCTGAATAAATATGAAGGCCACCGCAGCCAGTGCTCGGTAATTTAACATTAAGTTTGTATGCTAAGCTTAATTTGTTAAATATATAAATATGAACTATTTGATGTTTTATTTAAGAATGATTAAGTTTTCAATAGCAAATCTAAATATATAAGACTTAATATACCATAAAGGAAACTTAAAAAGAGCTTATAAATTATAAATTTAAATTAATTTATTTTATATGGTCATTTTTTGAGCAAAACCTTTGTATTTTAAATATTATAACAGCCAAAAATGCATTAAATTAAATTCGGAAAGTTCTGTGTTAGGTTTTATAGGGTTAATTTGTATGCATAGTGAATTTAATACGTACTTAAATACAAAATTTTGTCAATTCTAACGATATAACCCCTTGTACAATTTTGAAGAAATTTTGTAACTTGTTTTTGATTTTTTAAGAAAAAATCTATAACCAAGCTAAAAAAGCGTTAAATTCAAAAAGAAAATCTTTTCTGTGTTGGCTTTTAAAAGGTTAACAAATCTTTTTTTTTATGTTTGAAAAATAAAAAAAAAAACATTTTTAAAATCTATAACTAAGCCAAAAATGCATTAAATTTATTTAGACGGTTTATTAATCTATTAAATTAAAGTATTTTTTTACTTTCATTTTTTTTTTTTTTTTGCAATCTTTGACAATTTTAACAATTTCATAAAATTAAAAAAAAAAAAATGGAGAACATTTTTGTTTTCTTAGAAACTTAGCCAGATCGACTCGGCTGTTTATGCTGATCAAGAATACATACGATTTAAAGGGTCGGAGATGATTCCTTCCCTAAGTGGCAAGTTTCTAAATAAAATTATATTATCCTTAAAGACTGTAATATAGAGGAATTTTATGAAATAATAATAATAACATATATATTTGAAGTTTAACTCAAAAGTAATGTTTTATAGCTGAAAATTAAATGTTTCAAATGAAATTTCATTTCCATCAAAACCAGGTACAACATATTCTCTCTCAAAAGAATATGTAAATATTAAATCGTTCTACATTAAGTTATATTAAAGAGTATATATACTTTTACTTTGTGGTTGTCTCAAAAATAAAATAAATGCTTTACTTTATTTTTGAGACAACCACAAAGTAAAAGTATATATATATACTCTTTAATATATGTAACTTAATGTAGAACGATTTAATATTTATTTATAGAATTTAATAGTTTGAACAATTTAAAGAAATATGGTTACCGTTGTATTATAATTTATCATTATTATAAAATAATATTCATAATATAAAATAGTATATGCAACAATATAAGATGGATATTTTTACTTGCAGCCTTAAAAATAATATTATTAAACAAACAAATTAATCTATATTTAAAGCTCTTGCCGCAGACGAGGAAGTCTAGAAGCCACCGCTGACTCATTTCGCGAAAATCTTGGCCAAAACGGCATGATGGCTCCATCCGAACAGGTGACTGGCTGACAGCAGCGGCTATGTGATGTGGTTCACCTTGCCAGCGGACTCTTGGGCAGTTCCCTGCCATTAGCCAATGCAAGAAGTACGAATACTTGGAATCTTATCAGCTGCTGGAGCAGCAGCAGCCGCATCCATCCAAGAGATTCCGGGGGCGAAAGCCATGTGGTAGTGGTGCTGCCTGAAGCCACTTCAAGGTATATTGTTGGCTCCAATGAGATGGCACCAAATTAAAAAGCTGTAAAAACCGATAAAGCCAGAAATATTTATGCATATATTTTTGGTAGGTTCGTCTGCGGCCTTGAACTGATTAGCTATCCATGGAGCCGCCGGGTACAAGAGATGATCAGCAGATGACGGCGGTTAATAGGTGACAACGCTTATGGCCGCTAATTAATCTTCCACGCCCAGCTGCTTAACGATCGCTGTGAACTCTTTGCCTCTTGGCCTCTCTGGCAGATGTTCTGCGCGGCATTTAATGTGTGTGTGTGCCAGGTGTGGCTCTGGGCTCCGGGCTCCGGGCTCTGGGGTGTGTGCACTTGGCACTTGGCGGCGTCTGCTGGCCATGCTAATTAGCTTCGATGGACGAACACATGGGCCAACTCACCTTGAACTACAAAGTGTCAGTCAGATAAAGTGCCAAAAAAAAAAAAAAAAAAAAACTAGAGAGACTTGGACTTCATCTCTGCATGTGAAAGCGATAAACAAGAAACTTGTTAAATTATTAATAAAATATGCAGCCCTCTGCCCATTCCATTTCCAAGATTTCAGCCCCATTAAGCCATCGCCATCGCTAACGCTATGGCCATATCATCCAATCCAAATGCAAATTGTCGAAGCTATTGGAAAATCTGTTTCGCTTTTGAGGGGCCCCGAAAAAAATAAAAAGCAGACTGTGTAAACATTTCCATGCCCACCACGTATTTAGGGGCCAGATTAATGCCCCCAGATAAAAAATAAAAGCCAGTTTTTGGTTCAAGTTTCACGAACCGTTTCGGTTCTCATTTGATCTCAGACTTTTCGTTTGGAGACTTAGGCTCTATGGTTACAGATATATGTATGTATGTGTTGTTGATCCTGGGTAATAAGGCGCTTGCTTGGTCAGTCTTTCGGCTAAGAAACCAAAGAATAAAAAATGAAAATGAAAAACAAATGGGGGGCTGGGATTTTATACACATTATTACTTTATTTGCCTTAACGCTTGCAATTCCATTTGGATGCCAGTCGATAAGATTCGAGGACAAATGCAATTACAGACGTGGTTACACTAGAGAGTAATATTAAACATAAACGTAATACGAATGATCATCATAATTAATAATAGTACAAATAAAATACAAATTTGTAAAAAGCAAAAAGCAGCGCTTCAATAATGTCCATGTCGACGTCGTGTCTTCGTTTCAGTTTCGATTTCGGTTTCAACCGAGGATCAGAGTCAAAATCAAAGTCAGAACTTAACGATTGCCGATTGGCAACAACAACGATAACCGATACCTAATGTAATTGTTAAATCGCATTCAAATTAAATTTCGCCTGTTCTTTTAAATGCAATTCGCTGGCGCCTCTCACTCTCACTCGTTACTCGTCACTACTCGTTCGTCTCGTTCTCAAAATTACACAAAAACTTTGAACGTTGGGCATCGAAATCATACAATTGGTTTAAAGCAAAAATCAACATTAAAAATGGGAATACAAAATCATAATAAAAAAAAAAAATTGGAGAGTGCTTCGCTGCCTGTTGCTGCCGTTTTCCGTCTGCGCACGCCATCGAACAAAACGATACAAATAAATAATTTGTTTAGCTTACAAACTAAAACATATTGGATATTTAATACTTAGACGTAGCCTTTTACACACACACAACTCCTGTGTCCGTCATCATTTCTCTCTTTACTTTTACGTTACTTTTAATTGTAATATTGTATTTTAGTTTAGGTTACGTTTACGTTTACTCTGGTTTCGATTCATGTTTCGCTCTGTCCATGGCTAAGAGGATGTCCTCTTCCGTGTCCGCTTACGATTACGTTTCGGTTTCCCTCATTTCCGCCTCCCCAATCACCATTTCACTTTGGGAAATTATAATTAAAAGTGGAACTTGCACTCGCTCAACATCTCAGCGAGTAGTCGCTTGGAAAGAAAAGTGGAAACTGCGATAACTGCAAACGTGATCGGATCGGAGGACAGTATATGTATGTATATATATATATATTTATATATATATATTCACTTGCACCTGCAACCGCCTTTTTAAGTAACTGATTGATATTCTCGCATCTTCTCATACTACAACGCCTAAGTCTAGGTTATTTTTTTGTAAAAAAAAAAAGAATAGAATAGAGTTGTGTTTCATTAAATGGAATATACAAGTTAAAGCTTTGTAAAGTGGCTTTAACTTAGTGCTCTGCCTTGTGTGTGCTGTTAGCTAGCTTACAGGATATGCTCTCGTTGAATATATATCTGTTTCGTTATTGTTTCTCTTATTTTTACAAGCTAAGAACAATGTTTGGCCAATCGGATTCGCTACACAACAACAACAAAGTTCATATATATAAACATATATCTGTATATGTATGCATAAATGTAAATGTTTATAAAAAAAAGGTTCCTACAAGGCATCAATAAGTGGGAGAGTATCCGGCTTGAATACACTTAACTAAGGGTACAACAGCAGCTCTCGTCATCGTTGTGCTGAGCAGTATGCAGAAGGCAGCTTACAGAATGCAGAGAGAGAGAGCTTACCATGGAATAGCATAGAGTATCGCATTTATAATTATATATATAAAATATATATTGGGGTTTATCCATGGCCACTACCACTCGTTGCCACCTCTGTTTTCCATTACTTTTTGATTCTTTCCTGATCTCTCGTTACTCGCCGTTCTTTTCGATTCTTTTCTGACCTCTCGTTACTCGCCATTCTTCTCGATTCTTTCCCGATCTCTCGTTACTTTCTCAATAGGTTTTTGTTGTTAGATAAGCGTTAGACGACGTTGCATTGGCTTTACATATACTTGTAGTTTTTTTTTTCGTATTAGTTTTCCCTCTCAGTTTTTGTTTAGCTTTAAGTTTTTAGTTTTTTTTTTTTTTTAGGCTTGTAAATTGATCAAAAAATAGTTTTTAGATTACTTTAGCATGTTGTTTAGCATATATGTTGGTTTTAGAGCGTTAATTTTAGACAGTAGTTGTAGCTGCACTCGTTGCTGCTGCTCTCTCCCGCTCCCCTTGCTCTGTCAGCGGAGTAAGTAGTATCAGTTTATCAGTTTTGCACAGGCTGTTGGTCTCGCTGCTCCCGATCTGAGATCGGTTGGAGCAGGCAGGCGGGCGGCTTTCATTTTAGCGATGAGTTGGCCGGCAGCGTGGCGGAGCGTTGCACATTGACCGCATACGGCTTGTAGGAGGAGCGCGTCGATTGGCTGCCGAATACGGAAATCGGGAGATGTGGCGAGAGAGCGAGTGATTGTGGGCGAGAGAGAGTAGCGTTGTTGATGATGATAATGATGATGATGATGATGATGATGGTGATGATGGTTAGCAGCGAAATTTGGAGGAAAAAGAGAGAAAGAGAAATACCAATCGAGATTAGAGACACGGGGAACACAAAAGCCGTGGGTTCGGGAGGAGAATACAATTATTCTCAGTTAGTAGTTGGAGGAAGGATTTTGTAGGGATTTTTTGTTTGTTTGAAAAAAAAAAAAAAAACTCTATTTGAACATCTGCTTGGCTGGCTCCCTGACTGGCTTTACCTGGGCGATATCTTGCTGCCATCGGTGCTATTGTTGTTGGACGAGTTGGCCTTGTATCCACTCTTTTGGATACGCTTCAGCAGTCGCGCCACCCACAGCGACTGCTCCTCGGGCGTGGCGGCCAGCAGCAGCATGTCCCGGGCACTACGCGGATCATGATTGAGCTTGCAGGGCGCCAAAGGATCGTGCTTGTCCACATGCTCCTTGTGTATCTTGTTGCGGCATCTAGATAGAGGCAGAGGGAGAGTAAGTAACCATATCACATACATCCAGTGGAGCTCAGTCTCACCTCTTGCATTCGTAAGCCGCCGGCGGCTTGAACATGTGCCACAACGGCTTCGGGCACACCTCACAGGCCGTGGGCATGTGGTACGTAATGTGGACGAACTCGTGACCTGCGAGAAGAAGCTTTTATCATTAAACTTTCTCTTTAAGAGACTCTTTGGTGGCACACTCACCCTTGTGGACAATGGTGCCGGGGCGCTCCTCATTGCTATTGCCATGGAGGACGCTCACATCCAGCTGACTCTGCTCGTCGGGACGATGGGAGGCGCCCTCGCCGGCATACAGAAGCTGGAAGATGCGCGGAATCTCTTTGGCATCGGCGCGTATGACATCGCCCTGGGTGACGCTGCGTACGTGGTACACTTTGCTGCAGGAGGGAAGGAGTATATCTAACTATATCTAGATTTTAGTAGGGCGGAAAACACACCTGAGGTCCAGGATGAGCACGGCATCCGTGGTGTTGTGCTTGTCAATGTCCGAGTTGTAGAATATGATCTTCCGGGAGGAGACAATCACATACTGTCGCTTCCAACCGTGGCCACGCCGCCGGTTCTGCTTGTTGGGCACACTTAGCCAGCCCTCGAAGACCGAGTCCTGTGTGAGGGAGAGCAGAGAGGAGTGCTAGAGAGGCCCGGGTTGGGTTTGGGTTTGGGATTGGGTTGTTGTGGTGTTCGTGTGAGTTGTCTGTGTGTGAGTGTGTGTTGGTAATGACAATGCTCACCTGGCTATCCTCGGGATCGTTGTCCGCGGAGGACAAAGACGCCGTCTCGTTGAGCTTGCTCTGCAGATGCTCGATCTCGGTGGCCTTGCAGTCGATCTCCATGACCATTTTCTGCTTGAGCTGCTGCTCCTCGGCGCAGGTCTGCTGCAGGTCTTGATGCTTCAGCAGCAATTGGTTGTACTTTTCGCGCTCCTGCGACAGCTCCAGCTGCAGTCGTCGCATTTCCTTCTCCTTCTTGCGCAGCTCGGCGGTGGAACGGGCCTTGCTCTTTTGCTCTGTGGATAAAATCAGTGTCAGGAGGGGGGGATAGGAACTAGGACATCAAGATTATACTTACTGGGCAGGTCGGAGTCGCGGCGGTTCATCACCTCGGCCAGCTTGTTGACCGCCACCTGCTTGAGCAGCACCTCGTTCTTGCACTTCTCCTGCAGCTTGGCTATCTCCTCGTCCTTGCTGCCCCTCAGCTGGGCCAGATCCTCCTGCTGCTTCTTGTGCTGCTGCACCAGATCCTCGCACTCGACGGCCTTTTGGCCCAGCTTCTTGTGCAGCTCGGTTTCCGTTTCCTTGAGCGTGGCCAGGGTCGCCTCCTTGGCATTGATCTCGTTGCGGTGCTTCATCACAAAGTCCTTTAGCTCCAGCTCCTTGATCGTCTTCTCCTTCTCAAGATCGGCCACCGTCTCCTCGGCAATGGAGCGGGCTAGAGCCTCGGAATCGGCACGAGCCACGGCCACCTGAACCTGGTGCTTCAGCGAGACACGTTCCTCCTCGAGATCCTCGATCTTGGCCATACGCTCGGCACTCTCCTCGCGATTCTCGTTCGCCTGCGTCTTGTACAGCCGCGAGAAGCACTGCTCCGCCTCGAGCTGTGCCTGCAGCTCCCGATTGTTGGCCAGCGCCTCGTGATGGGTGCTCTTCAGCTGAGTGAGGTCCTCCTCGAAGCGTCGCTTCGCCTCGCGCTGAGCGGCCAGCTCCTTCTGCAGCTGGTTCTCGCGGGAGCGCAGGTGGGCCACCTCTGAGCTGTGCAGACTGAGCTCCGACAGCAGGGCATTGCGCTTGCTGTGCTCCTGGTCGAGCTGCGACTGCAGGGCAGCCACCTTCTCCGACTCCTGGCGGCACTCGCCCTCGAGCTTCTGCAGGCGCAGCTGGATCTGGCGGTAGTCCACCGAGAGCATGCTCAGCTGGCGCTCCTTCTCCTGCGAATGCTGGTCGGCCTTGATGCGGGCGGACTTCTCCTCGTTTAGCTTCGACTGCAGGGCCTTCACCTCCTGCAGGTTGGCCTCCTCTCGCGAGACCAGCCGGGATTTCTCCGTCTCCTGGTGGGCCTTGACCTCCTGCTGGTAGCGGCCCTGGGCCGCCTTCAGCTCAAAGTCCAGACTGGCATGGGCCTTCTCCAGGTCGCTGATCTTCTCGAGCAGCGCTCGGTTGTCGTCCTGGGCCTTCTGCTCGCGACTAATCGTCCGCTCGATATCATTGGCCAGCGTCTGCATCTTGTTCTCGGTCTCCTTCTGCAGCTCCTTGAGCTGCGAGCGCAGGTTCTTCTCCTGCACCACCTGGGCCTGCAGCTCGGCATTCTCCTGACCCAGCTCCTCCTTGTGCTTCTGCAGTGTGTCGATCATTTCGATCATGTCGCGCACCTTCTCCTCCTGCGACTTGAGCGTGAAGCCCAGCTCGGCGTTCTGCTTCTTCAGCTTCTGTGTGTGCTCCGTCTCGGTCTTGTAGCTCAGCTCCATTTCGAGCAGCTGCTTCTCCAGCGACACCACCTTGTCGTTGATATTGAGGTCACGCGCTCGCGTCTTCTGCTCGTTCTCCAGATTGCGCTGCGTCTCCACCAGCAGCGCCTCGGTCTTCTTGCGCAGCTCGATCTCCTGCTCCACCTTCTGCATGGCCACCTTGTAGTTGTGCTGCCGCAGGGCCAGATCCTTCTCGTACTCCGAGGCGATACGCTGCAGCTCGGTCTCTCGCTTCGTGCTCAGCTCGATCTGTTGCCGCAGCCCGGCGTCCTGCTGCTCCAAAGCCTCCGATCTTCCCCGCTCCCGTTCCAGCAGCGCCTCCAGACGCTTCAGCTCATTGGAATTGGATGGCCTATGGCGGTGGTTATGCCCCTGTCCATGACCAGGGCCATGGGCGTGATTGTTGCTCGCCGTTCCACTGCCACTGTTCACCGCTGCCGCAGCCTCCTTGGACTCGGCATCGACAGTGTCGCTGGACAGCAGCTGGTAGTCGCCGGTATACGTGAAGCCGATGAAGGGCAGGTGGTTGCCATCGAAGCCCTTGGGCACGGGAAACACCTCCTCCGTCTTCTCATCGCGTTCAATGTCCTCGAAATTGCGCGTATCATCGTCGGAGGAGAGCTCCGGCACCACCGGCGGCACACTCTCGCGTATGTTGTCAAATGACCAGGTGTCGTTGCGGAAAAATGGATGCTGCTTGATGTCCTCGATGCCATACCGACCCAGGCGCTGTGTCCGGTCCGTAAGGAAGGCACGGATAAGGGCCTTGGCCTGCTCGCTGATCTCCACTTCGGGCGGAAAGCTAAGCGAGTTCTTGTGGTCCATGATCTTGCCATAGGTGCCCACCAGGGAGTCCGCATAGAAGGGCGTCTCTCCGAACAGCATCTCGTAGAGAAAGATGCCCACCGACCACCAGTCACACTCCCGCCCATACTCATTGTCCACGCCCTGCGACTGCAACACCTCCGGACTGATGTAATCCGGCGTGCCCACCGCATTGCTGGACACCACCTGGCCATTGGCACCCATGCGCATGCAGGTGCCAAAGTCAGCCAGCTTCAGGTGGCCATAGCTGTCCAAGAGCATGTTGTCCGGCTTGACGTCACGGTGCACAAAGCCCATGTTATGGATGGTGTCCAGAGCCAGCACCACCTCCATTGTATAGAAGATGGCCCACTTCTCTGGTATCTCATAGTCGCCCATCAGCGACACTATGTCGCCGCCGGGCATGAAGTCCATCACCATATACAGGTATTTGGCATCCTATAAAAAGAGCAAAGGAAACTCAGTGAGTCTGGTGGGGAATACACTATGGAGTGGTTGGATCTCTCACCTGGAAGGCAAAGTGCAGCTGGACAATCCACTCGGAGTTGGCATGCGCCATGATGTGACGCTCCTCCCAGAAGAAGGCCGAGTCCGGGCGCTTCATCATCTCGAACTTGGACAGACGCTTCATGGCGTACACCTGGCTGGAGGACTTGTGCCGCACCAGTTGCACCTCACCAAAGGCGCCGGCGCCGATCAGCTTGATGAAGTCAAAGTCCTCCACGTTCATGCGCAGCTGATTGATGCGCAGGGCCAGGGGTTTGTCTGTTAATTGAATAAGTTGGATGTAAGTAAGAAAATTGGGATATTTAGAAGGTAAACTTACACTTGGCCGCATACTGCTCGATGTTCTTGAGCCGCCGCAGCGAGTCGTGGTCGCAGTCGCTGACCAAAGCCGACACCGTGTCCAGCAGGCAGTCCACATTGCAGATGCTGGTGGGATCGCGCATCTCGCGCTCGAGCGTGTTCGCCCTGTTAAGAATAGAAATTAAGGGGGGGAAAATTAGCCACCCTGTAGGGCCACTGTCATCAACGTTTCATCAAAGTTTCGTCAACTTTTCATCGACGAGCAGACGCTCTCATTCGACAATGGTGCAGGGCTGAGTTCTATCCACCTTCTAACTGGAATTAATCATATACTGCGGCAACGATTCATTGCGTTCGTTTGTTTACTTTCGATTAGTGTTTTGATGGTTCAGTTGTTCTTCCGCCGCTGCTGGTCGCCATGCAAATCGCTAGCGAAAACAAACAGAACTGTGGGGAAAGTGCGGAGATTACTCATCGCCTGCCTGGGCGATACCTACACCTACACCCAACTCTAGCTACCCCTGGCTACCTCTTCCCCTTGCTCTAAAACCTACTCCTCCTGGCCCTGCAACGCATGCTTGCAGCTCTTTAATTGTTATTATTTCAGCTTTGCCCAATTTAATTGGCCATGTCTTTGGCTATGCCTGTGCTGCCTGCTTTTGTTGGGGTATCCCCTGGAGCTGAAGAAGTTTTAATAATCTCTTAAAGAGTTTGAAGGCTTCTTTACTAATTTTCAAAGAGCCTAAGAAGTAGAGCGGGAAATAAATCAATTTTCAGTGAATCGATCTGTTTTTCTAAACAATTCTAGAGCTCGATTATAATCGATTAAAATGGAAAAATAAAATAAATTGCATTAAATATCGATTTACATAATCGATTTATAAATTTATGGTTTATATATCGATTCCGAAAATTTGTATCAATTTATTGCATAATTGAAAAAATTCGATTTATCGATTATATAATCCATTTTATTTCCAGCTTTACTAAGAGGTATAGTTTTAGACCAATTAGAAAAAAGGCTGTCCTAAGACATATTCCCCTTTAAAACAGCTTTCTAATTTATAGTTTGGGTTTCAAACTTGAAATGCTTCTCTGTACATCAATAAAACAGTTTTAATGACTTGTAAGCCATCTTAATTGATCTTAAATGTATCCTATTAATATGACCGCAACTGTGCTCGCTGTACTTGATGAATGTAAACAAAAAGAGAAGAGTGAATCGTCGAAATTTCATTGAGCGCCATCGCATTCAGTCCATTATAGGGGCAGAGAAGAGGGATTCAGAGTAGGAGACGTAGGAGGCTAAGGAGTCGTGTGCCTCTGCATCCGATAGGATGGTATACAAGGAACTGCGACAGACAGCTCCAAACAGCAGCGACATCCCGAGTTCGAAGACGAGGGCTTATCGCAATTAGAACACTGCGCTTCATTGAGAAACCTGACAGGCCTTTCCCAAAGAGGAGAAGCTAGTAAAGGAGGCCTTGACTTTATCACCGCTCTCGCAGTGTGTGTATATATTGACTTTGATAAATCCCGGGAAAAACGGAAAGCAACAAAGCAGTTGGAACAGCAGCCAGGCAGATGATGAGCCAACACCTTGGGTATCGCAAACCGAGAGCCCCTTACAAGATATGTAAGAAAGCCAAGGAAAAATCAAGACAAAGTAAAAGCAAAAGTGATAATAAACGAAAGATATAATAATACTAATAAAGTTTCTAAGCAATTGTAAAAATATATACAAGAAGCAAACAAATCTATGCAAAAATAGAAAAATAAATGAGAAAATCAACCTCCCCTCAGCCTGAGGTACATCCAAAAAGAATCATCTCCAAAGGCAAAAATAAGATCAGAATGCCATGGTACATTTGCTGAATTAATTATGCCAAAAATAAACACAAAATTAATAGGTACTTAACCGTTTAAAGCTTAGCAGACCATAAAGAAATAAAGATCAATGGGAAGAAGAGAATTCCTTCCAAATGTACAACTTTTAATTATTCAGAGACCGAAGTAAGCTCTGTGGGCCTGTCCAAGACTTTTATGCAATTAGCTGTGGCAAATATTTGCAAAAACAATACAAAAAATGAGGCGAGGAGGAGCATCCGATGCCTTGCTAGACCCGAGAGCTGTCGGCGCTTAAAAAAATTGATACTAAAAGGTGTTTGAATTGTTGTGATTTCATCATCGCCACTTACGGCTTGACAGAAAAGCCAAAAACAATAACAGCGGGGTAATAGCAGTCGAGTTGCGTTGAGTTGAGTTAAGTTGAGCGGCAACGGCGGCGGCGGCAAACAACTTGGGAAAGTGGAATTTTCAAAAAAATACAGAAAAAATAGCTACGATGAATTTTCGTAAGCTATTTGCTGTTGATTTTTTTGGTTTTGGTTTTGATTTTGATTTGGCCAAAGCGGCAAAAGTGGCAACAACAACATAATTATGAACAGCAACAAATAATAATACATAATAACAGGCAGCAGGCAGCAGCAGCAACTGCGACAACATTATCGTCACCTATAGACAATATAATTTTCAATTTAATTTATACAACGTCAACGCCAAATTTGTGTCTCTAAAGCAAAGCAGTTTTTCGTCAACCCAACAAATTGAAACCAAGGGGAGAGCATCATCTATTGGCAACATTCTGCATTGCAGAATCTCTCTTCACACCTTATTAATTCAAATGAATTTCGGAAGAGGGGAAGAAGGGTAGCAGCCACAAAGAAGCCTGGCTAGCTGACTGCTAGCTTTTATAACCATAAGTGCGCCGCAATGCAATGGGATGCGATGGGGAGGCCTTTGTTAGGAGAACTGACGTTTAAATGGGTAATAAAACTTATGAATTTATACAAACTCAAGGAGGAGGAGTGGGAGTGGGCTACAACATACCGTTCCGGCTCGCTCGAGTGCAGGGCGGCGGGTAATATCCATGGCCACATGCCCTATTTAGACTATACTCTAGTGGGTTAAACCCCAAGGGTCCTCCGACCGATGGCTGCAGCTGCTTCTCCCCAAAAAGTTGCAAGAAACAAGTGATAACAAACAAAAAAAAAAAAAAAAAAAAAACCGATGCAGCCGATGCAACGCGACGCCTGCAACTGACAACGGCAGCAGCTACAGCTACAGCAGCAGCAGCAGCAGCAGCGGTAGCCGGAGCAGCCGCAGCAGAGCTCCAGCTTAGGCCCGTTTGGGTCTGTTTTGTGCGCTTACAAATTTTAATGCGAAAATGGCAAATTTATTATAAAAGTCGCCCCCCGTTTTGTTCACTCGCTTGTCAATTTGATTGCCGCCGCGCTGTCGCTTTGAACATGAGATATGGAAGGTGTTTGCCAGGCGGTGTAATACTTTTTCATTTGTGTTTTTTTTCTGATTTTTCTTCTCTTTATGTTTTGGCTTGTGCGAGTCCAAGTCGGGGCTTTGAATCGGAGTCCGAGTCGCACGTATCTGCGCTGCTGCGGCTGCTACTGCCACTGAAGCTGACAATTAATTGAGTGGAGCAGCACACACAGTCGCTTTTGGGCCGCCATCTCGAGCAGAAGGAGGAGGATGAGGAGCACACATATACACACACCCACTCACCGTCTTTTTCGTTCCACATCCATGGCAGGTTCGCCGGTTAGCTGCTTCTTCCCGTTGCTCTGTGGGTCCTGGAACATCCAGAAAGAGGGAGAGTATGTTAATATGGAAATCAATGGGAAAAGCCACAGGTTGTTTACCTACCCTGCAGCCCTGCAGGAGGAACTGGAATATGGGAATTAGCTAAGTGTCACTCTCTCTCTCTCTCTCTCTCTGTCAGATGGGAATCAAGCCCTGGAATCTGGCTGCGATGAGGTCACTTCGGGACTCGGTTCTATTGCTTCTATCGGAGTGCCGCCAACGCCACCACATGCGGACGCACCCCGAGCACACCCGGGCCTTCCCAGGTGCGCGTTTGGCTGGTGCGTTTGCGTATGTTTGCTTGTTCCGGGCCCGGGCTGTTTACTTGTTGCTTCTGGTGCGCGCGGCGGGCTGCTCGCAGTCTTCCAGTCTTCCAAATGTTGCAGCTAAAAGAGAGATGGGCGCCGATGTTGATGATGATGTGTTTGTAAACAGAAGATCGCTGGCCTTGCCAGGACCCTGGAACGCCTTGCTCCGTTCGCACGCACACACACAAGCTCACGCACACCTCAGTCACTTTAGTTATTTAACTGTAAGCTTCTCATTTCATGAGTTTTTCCGTTCTTCGCTTGGTTTTTTTTTTGTAAATTTTGACAATACTGCTTTGCACACACACACACACTTGCTGTTGCGTGCACACACACACACACACTAGCCCAGCTAGCACTCGCACACCAGCGCCGAACGGCGAACGTAGCAAGCGCCTACAACAACAACAATAACAAGGCACACACACCGACGTGCGTCACTCGCTCGGCGACGGCAGCGGCGTCTAATGGCGGTCAGGAGGGGGGCAAGGGCGGCTGGCCGCCCAATTGCGAATGTCCAGTTTCGGCCGCGGCCAAATCGATCAAAGTGATCAAAAATTAATTAGACGCAGCGCGTTGCACTTCTTTTTCGGTTCGGTAGCAGTGTGACCGCCGTCTGTTACGCTGGAAAAACACCACAGCGGGTCGAAATTGGTTGGGAAAATACCAAAAATACTGTGTTCGCTGGTCTCGAGAATCTTGTTTATCGGTCCGGCAACGCCATTTAATGCGGGCTCACGAGGCCCTTTTGAAGATTTTCCTGCTCTTTTCCACGGAAAGTGAAATCTGCACTCCCTGAAAAAGGTAGCACAAGGATTTCTGGCCGCGAAAAACCGAAAGCGCGATAAGTTGGGTAAAAGCGACGGGTTCCCCACACAGTCTGGCAATACCAATGCCTTGAGCGGCTCGCACCTATTGGTAATATTATTGACAATAGAGTAAATAATAGTCAATATAATAGTCAATATGAAAGTTTAATGAATTTTTCTGTCGTAGGCAAAGAATAATAATACAAAAATAAACAATCCGCGGTGAGACATTCGATGTCTGAAGATAACATCGATGTATCGCCTCTTTTGGTATCGATAGCGACATCGAGTTTTTGCAGCTCTGAACCGCAGCCAACTTCGCGCGCCTTGTTCTTTTTTCCGGTTGACTTTAACGAGAAAGGTTGTGCTGAATTCTTTTCATGTGATTTACTATTTTTTTTATGTTTGAAATGGCCAAAACTCAATGAAAGTGACCGCCCAGCGCGGCGAATGAATGGCGCCAGCTAGCGATTGGCCCAAAAGTTGTGTGCTTGCATGCAAAAAGGCAGCCTGACGGAAAGTCAGCGTGGATTCCGCCAAGTTTTTGTTGTCTATCCGTGTGTCTGTGTGCAGCGCGCTCGTGTGTGTGTGTGTGCGATTCGGCGATGTGCGAACAACGTGTTTCGTTCGAGTTTTCTAATGGTTTTTGCCTTGTTTTCCGCAGATGCCAGGCGTCACAGTGAAGGATATTGACCAGCACGCGGTTACCAAGGCGGTGGCCGTCTTCCTCAAGAAGTGAGTAGCTGACGGCTGAGTGGAGTGTCTATGGACATAACCTCACACGCGTTTGTTTGTTTCCCCCCGCAGGACTGGCAAGTTGAAGGTGCCCGACCAGATGGACATCGTTAAGACTGCCAAATTCAAGGAGCTGGCCCCCTACGATCCCGACTGGTTCTACGTGCGCTGCGCCTCGATCCTGCGCCACCTGTACCATCGCAGTCCCGCTGGCGTTGGCTCGATCACCAAGATCTACGGCGGACGCAAGCGCAACGGTGTCCACCCATCGCACTTCTGCCGCGCCGCCGACGGTGCTGCCCGCAAGGCACTGCAGGCTTTGGAGCACGCCCGCCTGGTCGAGAAGCACCCGGACGGTGGACGCAAACTGAGCTCCATCGGCCAGCGCGATTTGGACCGCATTGCCAACCAGATTGTGGCCAAGCAGCGCGACGCCGCCAAGCAGACTGGCCCCCTTGTTATTTCCAAGTAATCGCCGATCGCGCCCATTCGAAATCTAAATTAGTCGCTCTTTTTTAGACTTCCTACTGTAAGCGCTTTTTGTTTGCAAGAAGAGAGATGATAAAATAAAACCCATTCACAAAAGTCTACGCAAGCGAGAGAATATACTGGAGGCGGCGGCGAGATCAACATCCGGAGATGGGCTCCATGTTAGTTGCTTGGGTGGCGGTGTCACGGGAAAACGAGTCAAGAACCTGGACTCACTGACGAATGGGTGTAACAGTAATAGGGCGCAGCCCATAAAAGCAACCTTTTTGGAGTGACCTTATTCCCTGCGTTGGCAACTACGAATTATTGTAGAATTATTATACAAGTTGGTTATTGCTTGTTATCTTTGGGATTTGCCTTAAGGTTAAGAGATCAGGCCAGGGATTAACTGAGTCACCAATGTAAGGCTTTCTTAAGCTAAACCTTTAAAAGTCTACAACTTAAAGAACTAAGCAAGTGAAAGTCTTAGAAACTAAATAAATAAGCAGCTGATTAACTTTCGTAAGATATTCACTCACTAACAATTAAGGAACTGGGCTTGGTCAGTTTTAACTATGGTTGGTCTCCTTACCTCCTTACCTTACATAGCTTACAGGCCTTATAAACCCCTTATAACTTTTATACCCTTGCAGGGTATTATAATTTCAGTCAGAAGTTTGCAACGCAGTGAAGGAGACGTTTCCGACCCTATAAAGTATATATATTCTCGATCAGCACCAACAGCCGAGTCGATCTAGCCATGTCCGTCTGTCTGTTTCGACGCAAACTAGTCCCTCAGTTTTAAAGCTATTTGAATGAAACTTTGCATATACTCTCACTGCTATATATGTCGGAACGGGCCGGATCTGACGACTATATCACTACGCCCTACTATCCTACCTAAAAACCATTCATATATCTAAATTATATAAAGATATCATAAGTTTTAATAAGTTCTCACTTGTAGAGATGATTTTTAAGGCTGAGATTGCTCAATTTCAAGCTCTTGAGTCAAGAGTTAGATGTGAGGATTGGATAACCAAGGTCTCCCAAGAACACTTTCATAAGTAAATTCATATAAAAATACTTGTTATTATCAAGTACAAGTACGATTCTAAAGCTTGGTGAGATCAGAAGATAGTTTCTTGGTTTTACTTTTACATTTTATTTCCGACTTTATATGCTTTTCTGGTGTACAGCGCTTGAATGTTTTAGGGGAGCCTTAAGACTAGACATTACGGCTAACAATTGGTGAGTGGTGACGATGTCCAGGTCCGAGGCAAGGTCTACACCCTGTCCAGAGCCTCGACCATGACGATGCTGTTGCCGCGAATTACCTGGTGGGAAAGGGAGCAATTCGAATAACTCTGTTTTGGAATGATTAGGGCGTCGTCTTACCACCATTCCGATGTTGTTCTTGGTATTGTCCTTGCACTCCTCCACCGTATCGTCCAGCACCACGTTCATGAAGGGATCGAATCCACGCAAAATGCCGGTCACTGCGCGTCCTCCATTCAGCTTCAGCATCATCCGCTTGTCCATGTACCTGCAAATATGAGCCGCCATTAAATTAGTGGTTGCGCCTTGATTAAATGGTTTAGTGCTTACTTCTTGAGCTCTGGGGGATGGGCTTTCGACATGTTTAGCTAATTCGGTCTATAAAATTGCCAATAAACGAGAAAAATGCGGCCTGCGTAAAATAGAGATGGGAAAATGTCGATAGCTGTTAAGCTAGAGATTAATAATTTTCGATGGTAGTCGATATTTTAAACTGGTATAACTGTTTGGCATATCATTATCAAATTAGTTTTAATAAAGTTAACCTACGTTCCGGATGAGAACAAAATTAGTAAATAGTTGTAATGGAAAACTACAATAAAACTAGAAATGATCGATGTTATTTACAGTGTGACCGCTTCTTAAACTGTTCTAATATGGTGTGAAACCTGACTAGGGCATGGCGGTTGACAAAAGACTGGTTTTCCTGTGAAACCCCGCTAAATTCAGTGTTTGTACCTAATTTTTGCCATACCTGGTCACACCGGCCGCAAACATATAAAAGGCACGAAGCACATCATTCCAAAAAAAAAAAATCTACAATTTTCGCCGCGGCGCGTGGACTATTTATTTTTTTTTAATTATACTGACACCGCGCTTTGTTTTCTTCGCCCAAAACAACAAACAAACACACGCCGTAAGAATATGTATCGCGAAACGTCGAAAACGAGAAAAACGCTGTGATAGATACAACAAACTCGCCTTTGAAGTGTGTTTATGCTGCGGCGACGCCACGATTTTGTGTTTGTTTGTTCGCTGCCGCTGCTGGCCAACTTACGTGATACGGGCGGAGGTGAAAATTATCTTCATTTCCCAACTCGCTTTTCCATTTTCCACTGTTTGATTTGTTTACTGGCCGCAAAGAGAGCGGAAAATGACCGAAAGAGAGGAAAAGTGAAAATCTGTGTGGTGTGTCTTCGGCGACGAAGCGAAACGCAGCGCAACGCAACGCGCGGCGAAGTCTGAAGAAGCGAGCGAAAAGAATGTTGTGCGCCTGAAAAGGGGAGATCGCGACGGATGCAGTGGAGTAAACGAGATCGGGAACGAGGCCGAGACAAGGCGAGAACTAGAAACCCTGAGAAGCTGCTTTGCAGCCTGGCTGCCATGATGGCTATCGACCGCCAGAAGATGCTGCTGCTACCCCTCCTGCTCCTCCTCCTGCTGGCTGCTACCGCGGTCAGTGGTGAGGACGCCGCCCGGCCACCGCCACCGCCGCGGGTGAAGCTCAACAAATGCTGCCACACGGGTGAATTCCTCAACGAGACAACGCGCGCCTGCAGTGCCGGCAGCTCGGAACTGTGGGTGCCCATGGTGTATCTGGTGCAGCAGCAGCGATTCTTCGATCCGCCCGGCGGCAGTCCCCGCTTCATGAAGTTCCTGCCCAACAGCCGTCCCGCCTGCCCGGAGCGTCGTCAGGAGCTCTTCCGCAGCCGCAACGGCAACGTGATGCTCTTCCCCAACGGCAGCTTGTATGTCAGGGAGCGTGCCCTCTTCGTGGATCCGGCCCAGTATTGCGTGGACCTGGAGGTGGCCCTCGTTTGCCTTGGCCAGGACAACGGGCAGACAGCCGACGCTTTGGAGGAGCCAGGCGTGGGCCTGGCGGCTGCTGCTACTGCTGCTCTTCCCGATCTCCGGCTACGCAAGTGCTGCGGCAAGTTCGGGAGCTACGATACCCAGCTGAAGAATTGCAACCTCCAGCCCGGCCTCAAGATGGACGGGCAGCTCCGGCTGGCACCACAACTGCCCCTGGGCAGCTACAGGACCTCGTACGGCCTGCCAGAGTGCTCGGAGCACGGCGGCAGCATCGGCGGCTATGCCATCGCCGGCGACTGGCAGGAGGCAAAGCTGGACCGCTCCAGCGGAAGCCTTCGACTGCCGCACACAAATCTCAGCGCCGAGCAGTACTGCCTGGAGCACACGCAGCGCGAGGGCGAGGTGAAGATCATCGCCTGCCAGCATCTGTTTACGCACGAGGATGGGAGCCAGGAGCCGGGATCGCACGAGTCGCTGGGTGAGCACAATCTACAGAAGGCCGTGCTAACCGGCGGCATACTGGTGTCCATTGTCTTCCTGGCCGCCACTCTGGTGGCCGGATTTTTGCTGCCGGCGGTGCACCATGCTCTGCACTGGCGCTGCCAGATCTGCTACGTCTTCTGCCTGCTGGTGGGCAAGGTGCTGCTGGCCATCGAGGAGCTGAGCTCCGACCTGCAGTCACGTCCCATGGCCTGCCTGGTGGTGGCCATCGGCATGCAGTTCTTCTTCCTGGCCGCCTTCTTCTGGCTAAACACAATGTGCTTCAATATTTGGTGGACATTCCGGGATCTACGGCCCACCTTGCTGGAGCGTAACCAGGAGGCGCTCCGGTTATGCCTGTACGCGCTGTACGCCTTCGGGGGACCGCTGCTCATCACCTTTGTGGCCGCCTGCATTGACCAGATGCCGGAGACAACGCTGCTGCGGCCGGGATTCGGGCAGCTCTACTGTTGGTTCGACAACCGGAATCTCTCCATCTTCGCCTACTTCTACGGGCCCATCGGGCTGCTGCTGTGCGCAAACATCGCCCTCTTTGTGTCCACCACGCATCAGTTGACCTGTGGCCTCTGGAAGCGAGATGATGCCAAGACATCCACGGAGAAATCAGCGCTGGGACGCGTATGCCTGAAGCTGGTGGTCGTCATGGGCCTCACCTGGATTGCGGAAATCCTCTCCTGGGTGGTGGGTGGACCCCATGGCGCCTGGTTCTTTACGGACCTCATCAATGCCCTGCAGGGCGTGTTCATCTTCATTGTGGTGGGCTGCCAGCCGCAGGTTTACACCGCCTGCCGGAGAATCTGCTGTCCGCGGCTGCGCCACGACATCACCAACACTACCAACGGTGTCCAGCACTCGAGCAGCTCCCAGGGCTTGCCCTGCTCGATGGCCGGCGGCGGCACAGAGGTCACACAGAACACCAGCATGCAGTGCACCATAGTGCCCAGCAGTCCTGGTGCGGACAGTGGCCTGGCAGAGGACTCGCCACCGCTGCCGGAGACGGGCATGTTGCCGGTTGCCACCACCACAGTTCCCGTTGTCGCCGCCAAAATGGAGACTGTTTGCTGAACCAACAAATGTAAGTTGAATACCCGATAGCGCCGCGATAGCATAAGTATGTTTGCATGGCAAACAGAGTGCGCCGAGTCTCGAAGTCTCGACCCTTCCTTGCCTGGCTTACCAAGCGGCTTACAACATAGGGGCCACACACTCACCTCCGGCGGTTGAGTAAGCCCGGAGCGGGCTACCTTCTCCTCCACCTCCCTCCCTCTTTGTGGGACTTATCGGCTTTAGGTGAGGAATGCCAAGCATCTCAATGGGGTTTTTGTCTGTCGTTTGTTTGCAATAGAAATAGTTAACTTTTCTCGAGGGCTTTCATTGGGTTCGGTGATCTTTCTCTTGGGCAAAGTTTACTAATAGTATTTAGTGGCATTAATTGGTTCCATTTATATTTCCGGGAAATGGGTTTCTGTATTTATTTATGCAATGGGGTGGAGCTTAGTTTTATTTTAAATATTAATTTATTAAGTATATTTCTACATTTCATATTTTTAACACCTCTTCCAAGAGCTCCTCTCTTTATGGATCCTTTCTCTCCGTCTCTGCAAAAGGTGATAATTACTCATTTCTATAGATTCAACCCAAAGCCAAGTCACAAGTTGGTAAACCCCAACTTGAGTGAGTTTCATCCACCCAAGGCCAAGGGTTTTTCTGTTTTTTTTTTCGAGTTTTTTGACTTGTTTTGTTAGTGGGGGAGAGTCATTAAGGCCGTATGTCACAACTAAGTAGTTTAATTACTTATGTACTCCCGACCACTTGGGTCGGGTTGAGTTTTACTTAATTTAAACAAGAAAATATGCATTAGTTTGAACCCAAATTAACCCCCAACTGAAACGGATTTCCTCCAGATGGATTCGAAGGAGAAAGGTTACCTGGAAGTTTTCCCAAAACGCCGGGCGCCGGGCCTTGTTTTCCTTTTTTTGCGCAGTGTGTGTGTGCGCTGTCTGTTTTATGACTCTTTTTTTTTGTTTTTGGGAAAATTCACATAGCCCAAGATGGTCATTTCCATTTGCATTTGGCCTGTCCATTTTCCCGATTGCTTTACAACATGCGCCACATTTACGATTTCGCGTGTAGCACTCGAGTTTCGAGTTCAACCGGACGGGTTCCCAGGGCGGTCCGGCCGTAAAGAGAATGCGGCCACGGTGCCGTTATGTTATTGTTTTTCATCGGAAAACTCTGACGCCGGCATAGCCGCCGGACGGGCAAACAGCGGCCAATTTCCTGTCGATTTCCACATGGCCATAAAGTAATCAGCGCAACCCTTGACACACACGCAAGCGGAGATAATGCTCCGGGATGGATGCGATGCTTTGGGATGGGATGGGATGAAATGGATGGTTGCCTTTGCTTGTGGCCTCCGTATCTGGAAACCGAAAGGGAAAATTGAGTTTAAATTGGACTCACCGGCGTCGTCGTTGTCGTTGAGCATGTGATAAGCGCCACGGTTGGTGTGTCTGTTTCTCCGTTTTTCTTTCTGTTTTTTGTTAACATTAATTTTGTTTCTGCCTCAAGTGGTTTTGACACATCGCAAATGACCCAAAGTAAACGCAGACTCAACATGGTAAATCCAGGTACAGTAGAGATCCGTCAAAAGGAAAAGACTATCTTGAAATTAGGTAAAAGAGAAGGTGAGGAAAGGTTATATTGAGAATTGTGGGTAAAATAGGTTATATTCTTTCAGTAAGCTTCTAAAGAGGCCTGTGTTAGTTTAGGAACAGTGCTTAAAGTTGTACAATAATGATCCTGGTGAAAAACCCAGGGCGTAGTCTTAAAACCTTTAAAGGATTATGTTCCTAAGGCAGTAAATCCGCTTAAACCCAAACCAGTTTTCTGTCAGAAAACCTATAGGAACTCAGTCTGATTAAGTAGTTCAGGTAAAGGAAGGTGTTTATATGGTAATATATCTAATAAGACTATAGGAAATTGGGTAATTTGATGAGTTTTGAAACAGCGAATAACTATACAAATTTTTAGAAATGTGATTAGCTACCTAAAGCTTCTAGAAATTTAAAGTGAAACTCTTTCTTCTTCAATAACTTCATATACATAGCTAAGCCAGATCCTGGCTATATATTGGTTTGACTGTAGAATCCCTCAGTCTGTTCTTTTATTGTGTTTTATTTTGCTTGCGCTCTGATCGCCGCCTGCTGCTGGCCTCACTTTTTTTGTTTCCAAACCAGATGTGCGTCGGGCCGCCAATGATGATGACTGCGTGTCCCATGTTTCGCCCAGCGAAAGAGAAAACAAAACAAACACTGGGTTTTTTGGCCCATGGGCCCATTTCGGGGGATTACGCAACCGAATTATAACACACAGTCCGAAAAAAAAAGAAATAAATGATTTTCGGTCCCGGATTCAGTGGTACCTTAGGATATAAGTGCCTCCAAAACTGCACTCTCGCAGTCAAAGCAAGCAGTCAATGTAAAACTGTGACCTGCAAGCCGTTGTGTATGTGTGTGTGTGTGTGTGTGTGGCAACTGCAGCTGCTTTGCAATTTCTTTTCTTTTGCATAATCCCAGTGCGGCGTGTCCACGTCACGCACATCTCATCACGGAGTTGCCGTGCAGGATGACGGAGCGGAAGGGGCGAGGGCTTGGAAGGGAGGAAGCGCATCGTTTGTCAACCGAATTGCACAGATGCACAATGCAATGCAAGCGAAGAAATTGCAGTCTGGATATGCGTCGTCGAGTTCTGTGGCGGTAAAGCAGGCAGGCAAAAACAGGGTCGGTTGCCTTTTGCATGTTCAGACAAGCAGTGCAGATTTGATTTTATTTAATTGATTTCATTATAAAATCGGTAATAATTGACTCTAGAAAAGGATATATTTTCCATATTAGCTTTTATATATTTATATATGTACATATATATATATTTCTAGCTTCAGACATGGAATTTAGTAATAACTTCGATTAGCTGCTGCTTTTCCTCAATAATCCTTAAATTAGCTTATTAAAACGAGCTAAAGTTTCTTAACGAGAGTGGGAAAAATGCTGCAATCAGTTTCATAATCACCAGCATGTGATGCGTAACGCAATTTTCATGAATTGAATCATTTAACTAGGTTTTAACTAGGGTTTCCCTATTTTTTTAGTGGCAAACCATTTACCAACTCTGTATTTAAATCGTTACCAGATGATTACTGGGCAACTAGCATTAATGATTACTAATTGGTGATCACTGATCCCTGTGAGCCGCTGATCGAGGGGTGTTTTTGTGAATTAAATTCCACTTGAATTAGCTCATTTACTTTTTGTTTTCCCTTTAATTTGCATACAGTACGGGTGTAAATGCTGATAATACTCGCTTATTGGCCGAACGTGATGAATACTTCCTCTGCAGTTTGGCCGTAAAAAAAGAAGCAGACTAACGACAAACCAGAGCGCTGATTGCGTGATATTAATGCCAAGTTAAGAGGGTTTAAAAGAAAGCGAAAACTATGGTCTAGTTATCACCTTTTGCATATCTTTAAGGCTTGCCTTACAAAACCAAACTATACACAACAGCTGCAGGCGTAATGAATTCCTTCCTGTGTGGGGCTGAATTCTGCAGAAATAAGCTCAAAATGTCGCCGCCTTTAGGAAAGGCTAAATACAAATTTAAATGTAGTAATCGCAATCGCAAATGCACGCACACATGCTTCGGGTTAATTGAGTTTAGCGGCAATTTTTAATTTGTACGTTCTGCAGTTTTTTTGTATAATTTTTTTTTTTTTCAAGTTATAATTGCACTGTGGCCCATTTACATTTTACGCAGGGCATTATTTTTTAATTTGCGGACTCCATCGTCGTCGCATCCAGCAAGAGAGAGTGCGAAAGAGACAGAGAGGACAAGAGGGAGATGGCAATGGGAAAAGGAGACAGTCGGCGTTATTGTACCATGCCTCAACAACGACGGGCAAAGCAATAGGTATCATTATCGCCAGCTGGTTAATAAGGGTCCATTATATCAGTTTAATTCAATTGCCTTGAAAATTCTATATACAAAGAAACATTCATATAAAATTAGGAAGTACATTTCGTGGCAGTCTGCATAAATGCTGCATTAACTGTGACAAATCAACCCATAAATTTCCTATCGACTTTGAATTTGGGTTACTTATAAAAAGGAAGGATCCTTACACTGCTTTATTTTGTTTTACATTCTTAGCTCAAAATGCCAGAAAGCAGTTCTGCATTTCTATACTTTTCAAATATCAATAACAGTCATGTTTCCAGTCTCTAATTTGGTCAACGATAACCACCTGTTCTTCGGGTTCTGCCATGACTGTAGTCCAGTTATTTTTGCGTGGGTGTTGTCATGATTAAGCAGTGCTCTTTTGATGCGTGGTTCTTGTTGTGAAGCAAATAACTACAAAGATGCTCGACCCAATTAAAGCTCAGTGCTATTATTTTGTCCTCTGCTGTCTCTGTATACTTGCAAATATCCACTGTACATACATACTTCAATATATCGTGTACTTATTTGTGCCCTTCGTTATTTTTTTTTCTTTGCTTGCAGAAAACCGAGACGAGCGACAATGCGAAAGTGAGCCCGGAACCCGCCCAAATTCCCCCTCCCGGAACCCGTCCAGGCCCCAAGTCAGCGTACCTCCCTCCCTTCCGAACGAAAATAATGGCAATACGGAGACTGGACAACAAAAGCCGCAAAAGCCGGAGTTTTTCGAGACGAGTTGAGGGCAGCAGCGACGGCGCACACTTGCGCAATAGCAACAACAAAGGCAAGCAGCAGCATTCAAGCACGCGCACTGACCAGCTAATTGTGTGCGTTTGTATCTGTGTGTGTGTGTGAGCAAGCGTGATTTTGAAATCGGCCAACAACCGCTGCTTTGGAACAAAAGTACTTGCACATACTGGTATTCAGCTTCAATTTAAGCCTCGGCACAAAAGAAACGTATTTTATGCATCGCAGTAAACACAGAAGAAGCAGTACAAAAAGGCGGCGGAATAACGGTAGCGGAGAGCAAGCAGCAGCTGTCCGTCAGGTCAGTTTAACACGTTCTAATTGGACAGTCGGTCAGTGTTGCGAAATGACTGTGGCCAAACAGGAATTCAAAAACAAAGCAAAACTATTGTTACTACTCTTTTCTTGCTCTCTTTTATCCAAAGCAGCAGCTGCAGTGTGCATGTATTTGTGTGTGTGTGAGGCAACCACAAGGAATTTATTGTTGAGGCACTTTTGTTGTTTTTGCTGCTTAGCTGCTCCGCTTTTTTTGTAGCCTCGAATCTCAAGTGTGAGAAAAACAGCAGAAGCAGCAGCAGTAGCAGCAGCCATGAGCAGAACAAACAAACACATATGCAAATGATGTGGATGTTTAACATTTAAATTAGTTGGAATCTGATTTGGATTTTCGATTCCCGATTCCCTCCCATTGACGACTGCTTGGCTTGCATTCTATTTATTCTCCAACTGCAGCCGTTGATGTGTGAGTGTGTGTGTGACATTTTGATTGCCTAATCATTTTTTTTTCTTTCTTTTTTACGATCTTCTGAGTGGATTTTTGTTTTTTGAAACTATTTTAATGTGTGTGTTTGTGCGGCGGAATCTTTTTCAATTTAAACACAATTCTTTGTGTTTTTTACCGTTTGTTTTTTTTTGCTGCAAAGAGTAAACAATCGGAATTTATTTACTGGAAGGCATAAACACACCGAAAAGGTGTGTGTTTTTCTTTTATATTTCACCCGAAAGGGCGCCCCAAAAGAGTTAATTGTAAACACACGCACACAAACACGGAAACAATCAAATTGATCATCGAAAGTTCAACGATACTGATCGATCGATCAAGGTTAAAATGGTAAAAAGCAGCAAAAAAAAAAAAGGAAAAAATAAGTGAAAAAGGAAAGCGAGCTTAATTCAACGGCGAATGAGGCAACAGCAAAATCACACTCGCACACACACCACGCACAGGGTAGATATCCCAACTTGGGCGCCAGATTCAAACTGTATTCACAAAAACCCCACCTTTTTCTTTTACATTTTTTTTTCATCGTAACCCTCAACCGTTGTGTATTTGATGTTTTTTTTTAGTTATTGAAAACGCAGAAACTACTATGCAGTACAATTATGATTTCTCATTATTTTTATTCATACGAAACCTAGTTTTTTTTTTTTTTTTTTTTATTTTAGTGTTGTTTTGTAACTAAAAGTAGTCTTAATTTATTGAGACGTAGCACTTGGTGTAAGCGAGTGCAACGCACATTGTATTATTTAGTGGAACTTCCAAAGTGGTCAGGCCAAAAGTAACTATCCCCATAAACCTATGTTTAATTGTAAATAATTAACAATGAATTAACGAGAAAATATGCTCTTATTTGTAATGCGAAAGGCAACGAATCGAATATGAAATTATATCGAATGACTGAGTTCAAAGGCAGCGAATACTTTACACTTGCAACTAGATCATATTTTTGATACTAATACTATTATTGACTTTTGTACATAAGAACCAGCGTATTGTATTGGCTTAAACATTTTATATATATACACACTTTTATATGTGAAAATCCTTGGATTCTCGAATATTGTAACCCAAACATCGAATGATTATCTTATTTAGACCGTAAGTTTTAGCTTGTAGATCGATGCTAAGTCCTTTACGAGATATAGAACCAAACTCTGTTGTGTTAACTAAGAACTAAAAACTTAAAACGAACTAAAACAAGTCTCTCTCGGCCACTTAGTCAGTCCACTGAAAGCGAATTTCAAGCGATTTTCCATCGAGAAGCAAGAGTATTTTAACGATAATTACCATATAATGTATGGGGCATTGGCATTCATAAGGAATATATCAATAATTCGCTTTCGGAGGCGTGCGCTCCCCATTCCCCTCCCTCGCAGTTAATTTATGGCACGGCCAACAGCAGCGAGAGAGGGAGCATTTTTATAGATAAACATGCGGAACAAAATTGTCTGAAATGGCAATTAAATGAAACCGAAACTGAAAACTGAACTGAAAAGGAACGGCAGAACTTGGCATGAATATGTGCAGCTACAACCATACATATTATAGAGCAATATTGAATAGATATAGACACAATAACACACCCGCAATAGTATACACAAGTCCGAATGATGATGGCAATTGTCATTGGGCAAACACAAGCAAGCCAGCAACCACTAAACTATTTATATTTAACGAACAATAAAGCTTTTTGGCAAATACAATATCAATGAAACTAAACAAACAAAGAACGCAAAGCGGAATGTCTTTTCTTGTCTCCTCTTCCCTTCCCTTGCCTGCTACCTGCTACTCCTCCTCCATCCTGGCCTGCGATGTGGTTGGCTGTGGTGGTGACCCACTTCAAGTGCGGATTCCTCCCAAGTGTCGCCGCCGCCGCCTTGGAAACCTTTCTCATCGCTCAACTGGAGGAGAAGTCCCACAGTCTTCTATTGCCGAGTTTGTCAACTCTTCTCCCGCTTTTGTATGCAAATTAACCAGCGGCACAGTGGGAAGAATTCACCTCTGAACGGTGGGAAAGTGATGAGTAAGTAAGGTAATTTATATTATTTATAGGATCTCTCGACAGTCGAGATATTAATGGTTTTTACATATAATTTTCAAAGCTATGAAGACCAATGGAGGTTGAATGTATTTATTATTTTAACCTTACATACATATATACTTTTTGCTAAGATATTCAAATCAGTCTGCTAAAATGTTTGAAAACAAATCAAAGTTTATTAATTTACAACTACATTCGCTCACCTGGCTCCACAGTGCGCAGGTGTGGCTTTTATTTACAGTTTGTGGTGCAATCAACCTTTGAGGCAATGTTGAGAGAGCAAAAACCGGTTAAATATTTCAAATACGCCGGCATTCAATAACACCGTCATCGCGTCTGCAAATAGCTGAGCAAATTAAAAGCCAAGTGTGATGAAAAAAAAATGGTCGAGTCTGCATATTGGCTATTTAACTGACCCAAAATTATGACCAAGTCCCATTAATTATTCACTGAATCACCACAAGTGACGCGCTGGGAAAATTTTACAATGAAATATTTAAACTTATAAAGACAAGCAAGTTGGCATAATTGAATTTTGGCTACAAAAATATGCAATGAAATGTTTTAAAAAAAAATATTGCTTATAAGGTTTACTTTCCTCTCTGAACCTTTCTTTAATTTTAAACGAAAATTCAAATTTAACGTCTTCGCCTAAATTACTTATCGATATCCGATTTTAAATCTGTCACGCATAGCAAAGTTCCCCATCTTTTAGCAAGGTCTTTAACCATTTTATAACAGTTGAAAACTGTGCACTGCATCACTTTCCATTTTAGCCATTCTTTTTTCCAGTTTATAATTGCATTTCTCATCGTAAATTTAAACCGCTCTGATAACATCCGTGTCGATAACATTTTTGATATTTTTTAGGGGGAAGCAAAAACATCGATGTTGGACAAAATACATCGATGTATTGCCTTTTTAAAAAACATCGATAGTATCGATAGTGCTCCGATGTCTTGCCAGCACTGGCCACACTGCGAAATAAAACCAACTCGTTCGGCTCGGCAAAAGTGGCAGCGCTTGATAGAAATTGAGTGAGAGAGCGCCGGTTTGAGTGCTGTTGCTCTCAATTTGGGAATTCCATAAGCAACCTCTGTTAGGCTCTCAATTTGGGAATTCCATAAGCAAAACCTGTTAAGCTCTCATTTTAACAGAAAATTCTGTTAACGCTGTCTGTTAGGCTCTCACTTTAACATATCAAGAAACAAGTAGATCAGTGTTCCTAGGTTAGGGGTTTTCCCCCTAGATTTAGGGGTTTTTTTTTTTTAGGGGGGAGGAATTTTTTTAAATTGTTATAATACTATGTTTTGAAAAAACATTGTAGAATTTATGATCTACCCAACAATTTCAACAATTTTTGAAACTTTTTGTGAACAAAAAGGTTTCCATGCCGAGTTTTCAGAAAATGTTATCGATGCATATGTATAAAAAAACATTAAAATTAACTAATAAAAAGATGTTTCTTCCTTATATTTATGATATTAACTGATTTTTTAAATTTAGGGTGAAAACTGTATTTTTTAGGGGGAAAATTCAACTTTTTGCGATTTTTTAGGGGGAGAGCCAAATTTTCATCTGGCAACACTGAAGTAGATATTAGTGATGCAAAAACATCGATGTTGGACAAAATACATCGATGTATCGCCTTTTTAAAAAACATCGATAGTATCGATAGTGCTCCGATGTCTTGCCAGCACTGGCCACACTGCGAAATAAAACCAACTCGTTCGGCTCGGCAAAAGTGTGATTGTGCAAAAGAATTTTAACGTCCAGCGAAATGTAAGTAAAGCCCTACTCGAGGCGCCCAACTGTGAATAGTCCATGCTAGCTCCGGCGCCAACTTTCCCGGAGGCGCTGGAAGACCTCGTGCTGCCGGTGAAGCCGCTGCCGCCCCGCGCCCCTCGCCGTTCGCCTCAGCGCAATATGGACGACGGCGTCGCTTGCAGGAAGTTGAAGCAGTGGAAGCTTCGGCGGCCACTTGTTCTTCTGGCCCGTGCTTCGCCAGTAAACTGGTGCCGGGTACGAAATAACTCGGCCACCTACCAAGCTCAAAAAAGCGAGTCGGCCCAGCGGTTCCCGGCGTCGACATCGACGTGGTCGCCGCCAGCCGCGTGCTACTCTGCTGTTTTGGGTCCGCATCCTTAGCCCTCAGCCCCAGCCAGGCGAGACGCAGGCGACGGGAGACCTACACGCAGTCGCCAAATCTCCTGGCGAGCATTCCGCAGCGAAGGTTTTCCCATGGCCATGCCATCGGCAGCGGCGACTCGCCGTCCGCATTTTGTGAGGTTAAACCTGAATCGCAAAAAAAAAAAAAAAAAAGCAACGAAATTTGCGTCATGTTTCTGGCGACGAACGGCGCTTCTGTCGGCAGCGACGCCGGCTTCTGTCCCTGCGTGCCCGTGTATGTTTGTGATTGTGTTGGTGTGCGTGCGTTAGAATTTGATTTGTTATTTAGAATTTAAGGCGCAAACATTTTTCATTTTCCGCCGGAGTGCTTTTCACGTGAACCGGGGCTGGCAATGCACTCTCTCTCGCAGTCGCACTCTCACGCTGGTCTGTGGGCATTTTTGGCGCGCTTTGCAGCGTCTGGCGTCCCACACACAAAGAGTGTGCAGCGGTGACGTCGGGTTTTGGTTTTCACTTCCAACAACTGTAAGCTGCCGGCTACGGTGGGTCCTCCTTGCATTGGAAATTGTTGGAAAGGGCATTGGGCAGCACTGGCCGGTGAATATTGGAAATATTCCATTTCGCAATGTCCGAAAGTCCAGTGACTCACAAAGCGTGGTTGTCCTTGTTTGAAAAAGGGGCAAGTTTCAAGATTTCATGAAATTCGTTCTTTTTATTCAAGAATTTGTGAAATTGTGAAATCTGGCTTAAGAACTAATGTTTTTTTTCCATATATTTTTTGTTTAAAATTAAATGTTAAATTGCCCTTAAAAATATTTAAAATATCACAAAATTGAGCAAATTTAAGTGTAATTTTCTTAAAAGTATCGTTTTTTTATTTTTAAGTGAAACCTGGAAATTATCAACATGTTCGTAATTTTTAGGAGATTTGTGTTCAATTTTTTTTTTTTTTATTAATCAAAAAGATTTTTTTATCACAAATTTATTTTCATTTAAAAAATAGGTAGCAAAATCCCTATTCCATATTTCGCGATTTCTTGATGGGTCCTGACTAGTCATTATTGTATTTTATTTATCCGCTTCTTGTTCCTTCCTTATGTACACGACATGAACTCCTTTCGGGCATTGTTGTTTGGTGGCCAAAGTGCCTCCTTTCGCCTTCCAGGGCATTTTTTCTGTTGTTGTTTTTCAACGTGAGGAATGCCAGGAATCTCGCTTACCTGCATGCCGCCTCACTTTCTGCTCGTTTTGCTCCTTATCTCCGGCTCAGCAGGAGCGGCAGCTGCAGCAGTACCCCTGCTCTCCCTCGTTCTCTCTCCTTTTCTCTCTTTCTCTCTCTTGCTCCTGTTCACCTTTCCCGTTTTGTTTTTGGCTTGGAGGGAACAGCTGTTTGCGTCCTTGGCGGGCTTTGACGCATCCTTCGTGTGCGTCACAAACGTTGCCGTCGTTGAATCCTGCGTCAGTCGCCTGGCGCTCGCCAAACCAACAGCATCGTCGTGCATTTGCAGTCCTCTCCTGTGTTCGCTCCTCCGGCAGAAATCTGGAAATAGAAAGCAGAAGCTAACTAACGCCGTATATCTCTGTATTATTGCATTGTCCAGCTCACCGTTGTTGTTGCGCCATCAAAGTAAAGCAGAAGCAGAAGGCAATGGCTCAAGAAGGACAAGATATTCCCACATTCAAGTGCGTGCTGGTCGGCGATGGCGGTACCGGAAAGACGACATTCGTCAAGCGCCACATGACCGGCGAGTTTGAGAAGAAATATGTGGCCACACTCGGCGTGGAGGTGCATCCACTGATCTTTCACACCAATCGTGGCGCAATCCGCTTCAACGTCTGGGATACCGCTGGTCAGGAGAAGTTCGGAGGACTGCGCGACGGCTATTACATCCAGGGCCAGTGTGCCGTCATCATGTTCGATGTTACATCGCGTGTCACCTACAAGAATGTGCCCAACTGGCATCGCGATCTCGTCCGCGTCTGCGAGAACATACCGATCGTTCTCTGTGGCAACAAAGTCGACATTAAGGATCGTAAAGTCAAAGCGAAGAGCATCGTCTTCCATCGCAAGAAGAATCTGCAGGTGAGTGTATTAAGATTATGAGCTTTGAGTTCTCAAAAACTAATTTATTTTCGTTTTCTTTCGGCTTCTGCAGTATTACGATATTTCTGCCAAATCGAACTACAACTTCGAGAAACCATTCCTTTGGCTGGCGCGCAAGCTGGTGGGTGATCCCAACCTGGAGTTCGTCGCGATGCCAGCCCTGCTGCCGCCGGAGGTCAAGATGGACAAGGATTGGCAGCTGCAGATCGAGCGTGACTTGCAGGAGGCCCAGGCGACCGCCCTGCCCGACGAGGATGAGGATCTATAAGCGGCCTGTATTTATAGTTAACTTGGAAGCGATGGAGCCGGCAAAACACACACACACACACACACAACACACACACAGCAACCAACTAGGTCTAGGAGAAGCAGCCTCCGCAGCAAGAACAGGAAGAGTAGTGGCAGCCACAGGAGATTGTAATTAAACTTGGTCGCTTAACTGCAAATACGTTTAAACTCCACTCCGTTTATATCAAATATATATAAACATTAACCGTTTACCGTCGGTTGATATTTTTACATATACAAAACACACGCATCCTTTAATATTCTCTCTTGATAAGTGTCGGTTGTAAATGATTATTGCTCCCTGATTTTTTTTTTTTTTGTTTCCAATGCGTTCCTCCAACTACTGAAATATTGTCCCAAACGGTAGAAAAAGAAAACAAAACAAAAAACGAAACTTAACACACACACACTAACCCGAAAACCAACAAGTGAAATAAAAAGAAATGAAAAACTTGAAATTCCTTTTGTTTTAGGAAACATTTCCAAACCAATACTTTGAACAAAAGCAAACTAGGGAAAGAAAAAGAGAAGAAGGAACCACAAATAACACTAACTAAGCACAGGCAGACTAAAAGACGAAGATGAATGCGAAGAAGAAGGCTGAGAATTATGTAAAAACGAGAGAGATGGATACAGATAGAGTCTGTGCCCGCTTGGATGTGAGCGAGAGGGAGAGAAGTAAGCGAATTTTGTAAACGGAGGCTAGGTATTTTTTTTTTATCAAAATAATCGTTTTTTGCAACGTTATATTTTATTTTGAATTTTGTAAATTGTCTTGAATTTATTAGGGGTGCATTTAGATGAATTGCATTAGCAAATCCTGAATTCAAATTTTAGAATTGACAACTACATCCTTTGCTTGTCCCTGATTCGTATTTTGGAAGATTTTTCTGATGTTCTCTCGCTTGAGTTCTGGATCTAGTATTGACAGGAGGTGTTAGTTTTGTGTTTATGTGTATGTTCCCTCACCCCGTGAACGTCGCCTGAAGGTTAATAGTTTTAAACAGTCGTTCTAGTTGTTTCAGCTAACCCTGTTCAAGGCCAGTTTTTCAAATAAATCCAACTGTGGCATTTGTCCTTTGACATCCTTGTCTTGTCCCTTTAAATTTATATGATTTTATATTAAAACAGATTTTTAGCTCATCGTGATTATTATTATTTTTTTTATCTTAAAAACAAAAAGAGATCTTTGTAAACCGAAGCCAGAGTAAAGGAGCACAGAATGCGAAAGAACTGAGTCCCAAATGATAGAAAGGAAAAGAAAAACATGAAAAAAAAATATAAAACTAAAAAAAGGAAATAAAGAAGGCCGCCGAATCCATGTCATGTTATTAATCTAAGAACAAACTAAAAATAAACTAAACAAACAATAAAAAAAAAAACATTAAGAAATTGATTTAATAAGAAAACGTATCAAAAAAGAGGTCGAAAGAATGAAAAAATAAAGAGGAAAGACAAAAAGAGAGAAATGAGTGATTTTGGTTGGTCAAAATTAATAAATAGATTTGTTTTTAATAATTTTTACTTTTTTAATGCCAAATTAAATATTTGGCACTGAGAAAAGTTTGTTAAGCTCAAGAATTAATTATATTTTTTATTTTTAATATTTCATATTCACTTTGTTGTAATAATATATATTTTAATATAATAATTTATATTTTTTAAGAGCTGAATTTTATATATTTATTTGATTTTGAAATGATTCCCTAAATTAAATCAAGTTTTAGGCATAATGTGACATGGCTTTTTGAATTAGAGTTCAATTCTTTAAAAATTATGTTTTTTTTATTCGTTGGAATTGTAATAATTTATCATATTTAACAAGTATTCCAATATAAATCAAGTTAGTTATTTTTTAACTCAACACCTTTACCCTTATTTGGAAAATAGAACCCACACGATATTGAACTTAAGGACACTTGAGACAGCAGCCGGGAAAGACGCCAGTAAAGCGATCCTTGTTGGCACAGGTGATCTTGTGCTGGGCGCAGCTGCCACAAAAAATTATATATCATTGGATTATTTACACAAACTAACTTTGATTCTTGAACAAAACGATTTACCTCTCCACAATGGTCTTGAAGGTGTCCGTGCAGATGGCCCGCTTCAGGCACTTTCCCTCCTTGCCAAAGTCAACATAGTCCTCGCCTCGCTTCAGGAGCGGCAGATACTTGAGGAATATGGTCTCATCCTCCGAGTTGCGATAGGTGCACACGGGCTCGCTGGCTACACAAACGAGAGAGGGATTAATCCTTCACGCGGGTTGAAGGTTTCTGGGTGGGGAAGCTCACCAGCATCGGCAGTCGGGAGCAGAAGGAGCGTCACAACGGACACCAGCAGGAAAACGGCGGCTATGGCGGCGGATACGTTGCGCATCATGGTAACGTGGCGATTATACTGAACCGACTGCCGGCCAACCAGTTACCTATTTATAGTTCCTAGTTGCCGTTGAGTGTTTGTTTTGTTTGCAAATTAGTAACCGCAATTTGCATTTTCCCCTTGATTGAGATGAGAACTGAGAGAGGCGGCGACGAATCTCTGGACTTCCAGATTTGAGCAGCCTCTGTGTGTGCGGGTCTCTTAATTGTATAATTGCCAGCGAGGGATTTGCTGCGTAGTTCCAGATTAAGAAGCCTTTGCTTTTCGATTTTTAAGTTTTTATTTAATTTAAAATTTTGGTGTAAGTATTTAAAACTTAATGTAAAGCTAGGCATTAACAAAAGTTTAGCTTTAATTAAAAAAAAGAAAGATAGGTACATAAAAACAAAAGAATTATAAAACTAGGGCTAATACTAGGCGGCTTATGTACAGCAACCGGATCGAATCTCATCCAGCCTAGATGTAGTTGCTCTCCGACTCCTGGCAGACCAGCTTGGGACAGCAGTCGGGATAGGTGCGTCGCATATCGGAGGCAATCTTGCATTTGTCCGTGGGCACTAGGTTGTGGCGACCGCAACTACAAGGGTTGAAATAATAGTTAGTTAAATAATAGTAATTAATATTATATAATTTAATGCTTACTAGCGTATCTCCAGGACATTGTCCGGCCGACAGTAGATGGACTGGCAGTAGCCCTCCCTGTTGATGGGCTTGTATGATTGCTTCTTGGGAATGGCCTGCTTTAGCTCCTCATAGTAGCACTGGCCAGGATAGTCTGGGAAAAAGGAATTCAAATAAAATAATAAATACAAAATATATATCCATGAATGAACCTTAACCCTATAATATCTATCTTTAGCTTCACGGGATCCATTAGATTTCATCCTCAACCAGGAGAAGCCAAAGGAAATTATACTTCCTGAGAATATAAATACCCCCACCACATCCCAGCATATCCGCTCTCACTTACCTGGGTGAACCGCATTGCCACGATACCATAGATCCGCCCGAGCTGAGCCACAAATGCCCAGGAGGAGCACCAGACCGACAAGGCCCATAGCAGGAACTCCGAACCGCATGCTTAACTAGGGAGTAAGTCAGGAGGAAATGTTTCAGATTAAAAAAAAAACTAAAACAAAACAAAAAAAAAGGCGAATCCAAGTCCAAATCCGACTTGGCACTTGTGCGCTGCCCGTGCGACTGAGTCAATTACAATTAATTGTTGATGCTTTTATATAAAATTAATAATAAAACACACCGAGTGTGGTGTGTTGTGTGTGTGTATATGCATGTACATACATGTAGATAGCATCTGCGACGCTGCTTTTGTTTGCCGACGACTTAAGGCGTCCGCTCTAGCTCTAGTTTAAATTAATTAAGCCAGCGAGAGCCCTGAAAGCGAGAGTTTGCCTCTGGGGAGGATCGGGATTCGGCGGGGGGGAAGCCCTGACTCAAGTGACACGGTTCGAGAAACTGTAGCAAGGTTGCTGCGACGCAAAGAGCACACACAAATCTGGATCTGTATCTGAATCCGAATTTCGGCCAGGCAGGCTGCCATCTGGCAGAGATTCGTTTATGCTAATTTGCTGTAATGGGTCTCACGAGTGCGAATGCAAGTGCATTGGGGCAGGGACTAGCCATTAGCATTAATTAATGCTAATCCGTCGGGGGACGTGGCATGTGATTCGATGTTCTATGATTGGGACTACGCTCGATCCAAAGAAAAGCTTCGCCACGCACGCCAGACTCAAGGTAAGATCACACCTGCCACATAATATGTAAATAAGCAATAATTATACAAAAATAATGCTCTTTACGGAAGGGAATAATTAGTAAAAAATTAGGTACGAGCAGCAGGCAACCCTCTTATACATGGCGAAATTGACTCGTCTGGAGTTGCCTGTTAAGGGATTTATTTATTGTTCTAACAAAATTAGAGAGAAATATCTTATGTCTCAAAATAATAAAGAGGAGAACTTTAAGGTTTACCCCTTATTGTAGTCAAGTCCTGAAAAATCTTTCATTAAATTATTATTTTCCTCTTATTTTTTCGCTCCTATTTTCGTATAAACTAAGACATTAAAGAGCCCTGTAACCACTTACAGGGTATAAATAATACATATATACATATATATATATATATATTAGACTTAAAAAAATATATATATATTATTAAAAATATCTACAAATTGGTCTTAGATATAACCAGATTGTGCAGGTAACCATTACGTTCACTTACGCAGCTCTTGCAGCTATCTTAGTCTTAAATAAGACACATCCTCGAGAATAGAGTGTGTTAATTGCCATTTTATTGACCCAATCGATGATAACGTCTCTGATTCAACTTCCTCCGTGTTTCGCGTTTCCACTTCCATTTCGGGCTGAAGAGCAAGGCAAACCCAATCGAAATTATTGATAGGGCGAAGCGCTGATAAGACCGCCGCCGCTCGGATGGCCCCCATATAAGAGATGGCTCCAGAGCAGCACAACCAACACTAACCTAACCATGTCCGGATCGCTGTGGGTCTATGTCTCAGCTTGCTCCCTTGCTTTCCTGCTCGCCGTGGCAGCCAATGGCTTCAGCACCCAGTATCGCGGTCATACCCAGCATCCAAGACTGCCGGAGCACTGTCTCTACGAGGAGCTCCAGCTGGCCGTTCCCCTGCACGGCTTCATTTTGCCCACCGGCTATGATGACTACTGTGTTCGTGTGGAATGCACCGACGACTATCTACTGATGATCCGACAGTGAGTAGAATGCGAATTTATTCACAAATGTATGTTATGTATGTTTCAAATTGGCATCCTTGGAATCCATTCCAGCTGTGACAAACAGTCGTTTCCACGACCTGGCTGCCATTTCACCGACAGCAACTTTGAGCTGTCATATCCCGCCTGCTGTCCGCAGCTCGAGTGTGCCAGCAAATGAAACTGGAGATTTAAGGCTATAGTGGCGGTGAAACAAATAGCATTAAGATGAATTTCGAATATATATTTTATTAAAATTCAAAACCGTGATTTTTGACTACAACATTCTACAATTAATTTGTTAAATAAAAATATACTAAATTTAAAAAAAGCTTGACGTGTGTAGAATTATTAAAATTAGTGACATACCAAATTTCAGACCGATTGGTACAGTAGATTTTGAGTTATCCTGTACACCGACTTTAAATATAACATTTTACAGGAGAACTCCTTAAACTTTGGAACCCCCTTTGAACTACGCATAACTTTGTCAGTTTTGCTATAATCGATGTAAATCTTTTAAACAATATTCTTTAGATATTAGACCTTTTTTAATAAAAAATAAAAAGTTAAAAAAATAAACAAATAAATTTAAATTAAATAAAATAAAAAAGGGGTACCACCCCCCCTTAACAATATATATTTTTACAGAATCCCAAAATGTTCCAGATAATACCAGCTGCTAGGAGAGTGCTAATATACCGACTGCTGCTATATCTGAACAATTGCTGTGCTAGATTTAACAAGAACTTTCCACCTTTAATATTGATACACCCCAGCCTCTTGACGCAGGCGATCTTCTTGACCTTTCAATCTAATCGCGGCGAGGAACTAACCCAAAGAATATATAGCTTGGCAGCTGGACAATTGTCAGATCAGTTTGCTTCTCTCTTTGATGACAAGATGAAGTCGGTCACATTTGTGCTCTGCCTGCTTGTGCTGGGCGCCCACTCGCTCCTGGTGTTTGCCGGTTGGTAGATGATCCCCTGGGTCCCTACAATTCATACATATGCTCACCTATCTGTTCTCTCCAGCGGACTGCGAAATTGCCGGCCAGAAGCTTAGCGTCGGACAGACGTATAGCCCGCCGGAGCGTTGTTTGCAATACACTTGCCAGGGACCCAAGAAGCTAGCGGCCAAGACGTAAGTTTGCTCCATAAATTGAATCCTCCACTTAATACTTCTTTTGTTGTCCAACATAGATGCGCATCGGTACAGAATTTAAAGCCATGCGAGATGGAAAGTGATCTGACCAAGCCGTATCCCGACTGCTGTCCCAAGTTCAATTGCTAAGCCACTGAATGTGAAAGTGAAACCTTAATTAATTGCAATAAAGCTAAAGTAACCTAAATAATTTGTGGCATTAACTGGTGGATTTTTACAAGTTGAAAAAGTGAATCTCTACAAATCTCAAATGGTTTACATAAAGCCTTAGCCTGTGGTTAAGACTACGCCAGCATAAAATCAGAATTAATTACTTAAAGCATCTTAGCATTACCAGTTAGTTTAGTTAATAAATTAATTTCTTTTAGTTAATCGTGACTTGAAATATTCACCTTTACATCTTTGCATCCCGCTCTCTGGGCTATAATCTTGAATCTAATCAATTTAATCGATTATATATATAGTCCGGCGGCTGCTGGTCGATCATCAGATCGGTTTTCCTCTCTCCAGAGACCAGATGGAGTCGGTTACGTTTGTGCTATGCCTCCTGGTGTTGGGCGCCCACGCGCTGCTGGTGTTTGGCGGTGAGTCCTGACTTACTTCTGGCTTTATCTGCTCATCATCTTGATTCCCTTGCCCCTTCTCAGTGGAATGCAATATTGACGGTCACAAGTTAAATGGTGGAGAGAAGTACACACCGAAAGGTACCTGTATGGAGTACGAGTGTCATGGCAATGGGGCCGTTTCGCTCGTTGAGTAAGTCGCTCTTATCCTTCTCTTTTCTTTGTTGAGCCCTTTCTCACGTAAGATGTGTAACGCAGGTGTCCCATGGAGCTTTCCATCAAGGCCTGCAAGGAGGTGGAGGAGGACTTGTCCAAGCCATATCCCTCCTGCTGTTCCTATTTCGAGGATTGCTGAAATACTGGAAACTAAATCCTCGCTACCATGGAAAAAGCTTTGATTTTCCTCGATAAGTTTACAAAGTGGAAAAGTGAAAAAACGTTGACTTACAAAAACCAAAATTGCGCATTTATTTCGATTTGGATGTCCAGTTTCGGTTTGGTATACAGGCTTGAACTTAGTCGTATTTGCTCGTCTCATACATTCAGTAAATATACAAGTTGTTGTCCTATGCATATATAGATGTATATATTATAAAGATTCTCCGTGTCAATTGCCACTAAATTTGTTGCAGGTTCACCATTCGTCATCATGCACATGGCTTGTGTGTTTGTTTGCTTGCATAACAGATGTATACATATATCTCTTTCTCTCTATCTGCTATATCTCTATTTGAATTTGTATAGTTTTCTAAAATAACGAGGAGGGACAGCCCCAGGCGGCGGCAGTGACGAACGATCCTACTGGCCGTGTGGCTGATCCGCTCCTTCGCATTCACACTGCACACTCTACGCACAGGCACACGGATCTCTGGGCAGCAGCGGCAGGTGCTTGCCTCCTCTTAAACCTACGATTACAGTTAGATTCATATATATATATACCTATATATATATATGTGTATAGTATATGTATTGTGGTATAAAGTGAACGAAAGGAGCATATAGCGTTTATATATTTAACTGATTCGTAACCTGAGCTAGTCTAAACATTCTTTAACTATGGTCCGGCAGCGGCCCGAAAGCCATTCAAGTTGGAAATGGGATCAGGTCAGGTCAGGTCAGGTCAGGTCAGGTCAGGTCAGGTCAGTGGGGGTTTCTTACAAGTTATTTCAAGTATATCGCTACAGTTTAATGCTTAGTTTTTGTTTGGGGAACATTGGGATTAGGATGTGTCGATTCCCGGATACAAGGTTTTAATTTCATTTACTTATGAAAGGAATTTGTAAACAGAAAAGCTCTTTCGACACAACAAAATCATGTTTGGGCATTACAAGGACATTTCCAAGGATAAATCAACGTTTTCTAGAGTTAATATTACAATAATTTCCTTTTGGGGGACTAAATCGAAATTTGATCAACTTCAAAATAAGAAAACTGGTCTTTCCTGCTTGAGATTCCCTATATCATCGTTATTATCGACACATCCCACCCTGGTAAGGAGATTAACCTAGTCATTGACGGACGACGCCTGGCCGTTTCAATCCGGCGTCGCCAGATGCGGCGCCAGGGACTCCTCCTCTCATTGACGCGCCGCTCGCTCCGTCTCCATCAGGCATTCGCGCACCAAAATTCGGGCATGGACAATGCCACGCTTTAGCCGCTCGGTGGAGCTGCGCGACCCTGTATACGTTGGTCTAATGTCGCGTCCCATCTCCTCGATGACAGCCAACAGCTGGGCGTACTTGGTCAACCCATTGCCAGTGCCCAGCGATGGCAGGCTGGCTGTAGATGTCAGTGGTGTGGTAATGTTGGCCGATGTCTGTGTAGTGACCACCACCGGGGACGTGGAGGGAGGCGGGTACTTGAGCTGGGAGGCGCTCAGGTTAAGGCCCAGGCCCATGCTGTTGCCATTGCTGTTGCTGCTAGAGTTGGAGCCCACGCCGCCCGAGCTGCGTGCTCCGTTGGTGGCCGCCGCAATGTTGGCCAGCGAGAGAGCCGCCGCGGCTGCTGCTGCCGGCGTGGCTGTGGTATTGGACTGCTGCTGGAGCAGCGCTAGCTGGGCTTGCAAGAACTGCGGTGAGTACTGCAAAGCGGCAACAGCGGCGGCCGCGGCTGCATTCGCTGCTGCCGCAGAGCTCTGCTTGCTGCTGCTGCTATAGTCGCTGGCCGAGGAGCGATCCCGCTTTCCGCTGCTGCCTCCCGTTGAGTAATCCGTGGCCGACTGGCCGGCCGAACCGGAACCGGAGTTGGAGCCAGAATTGCGCGAATGGTGGATGGCTGAGATCTGGATTTGAGGCTGCTGCTCGCGCTGTTCCCGCTGCTGCTGGTAGTTGTAGAAGTTCTGCACTTGGGAGCGTGGAATTGGTGTCACCGTGACGTCACTCAGCTTGGACTCGACGGCCTGTATGTCCATGATGTCCATGCTGCTGCTGCTGCTGCTGCGGTCTCTGCAGGCGATGTTGGCACGTCAAACGGCGCTGCGTTGCGATCCAACCACTCACCGTGTCTTCTTTGGCAGTTTGCTGGTGTTCGGGACGCGCGGTTCGCTATCTTTTTCCAATTCAGCGATTTACTTTCCTTTCTACGCACAAACAAATCTCTTGACACTAGAGATGGTCAGAGCTGGTATCGATACGCTATCGACAGACTGACCAGACATCTGTCTGGTCAACCGGCATCAATTCGGTTAATTTATATTGCAAATGCTGGCAAAATTGGGGTTTCCAAATCCGAAACTGCTGCTTACCGGGTTTCGCAATATATCAACCAAATAATTGACCTTGTTTGAAATCCCTTGGTCCCTAGCAACGAAGTTTCAATCGCCCGGCTACCAGCACTGGCTCCGATAGCGATTACGATAGGCAGCGAGTGGCAAATAGCAATGTCGATGAGCACTGAGAAACTACAAAATTGTTGACATCTGGTCGCTTTGCTAGTAAAACTATTTGAAACACATTTTGTGATATTTCGTTGTGATCGGTCGGTAAATCGCCTCGTTTTTTTATGGCAAGTGCGAATACTTTGTAGCGGTTGGGACAGCAGCGCAGCAGTAAAGGTGAGCGCAAGGCGAGCAGCAAACAGCAGATTGCAAAAATTCAATTACATTTCCGCGACCGTCTGTTTCGCTGTGTTGGTCCGTGTGTTGTGCGTGCGTGTGTGCGTATTAGTAGTGTGGGAGCCGTGTATGACGTAAAGCGATAACGTAATGTTGTCCGCTTGCATCTAATTAACGTAAAGCCATTGATTATTGCAGCCCCCCTGCCAACTCCTCGCTCAACTGTGTTTTTTATGGTTTTTTTTTGGCACTTCGCTGCATATGTGTCGCTATGTGCGCGACAGTGTTGCACAGTGCGGCGAAACGGCGGCGATCTGTGACTCGGCTGTGACCCATCTTTCTCCTTTCCCTCCCCACCTTTCGCCTATTAGTTTTCCCTCTTCTTCCTGCAATCCGTTGTTTTGTTATCCGTTGCCAGACGCGACCAAAGCGACAGTTGGCATTTAAATTTGGTTTAAGCGCACACATGCAGGCACAACACACACACACACTGGCATACTCGCACACACACCAAACAGACGCTGTCGGCGACCTCGGAGGCGAAGAAGAAGCAGTAGAGTTTAACACGAACTTACGAACTTGCAAACTCCAAAACGTTTGCAGTTCCACAAAAAATCGTTGAGCAGCATTTGGTTGCCATCAAGTGCTCCTTGCTCTCGGTTGTCAGTGCCCCCAAACTCCCCGCATCGAGTTCATTTAGAGTTATTGTGAGCTAACACTACATTCCTATTTTTGCACCGAAAAATATTGAACTAATTTTTTTTCGTGCTCTTTTTTATCGTAGAATTTTCGTTTTGCATCTACCAAACAGTTTTGACACTGTCTACGTCTAACGGGACTAGCGAGCACCAGAAAGCAGTGCGAACCAGAGAGGAAAGGACTACACATAACCACAAATTGCACACAACGCAGCAGCGACCTTAGGCAGTCCAGGTCCAGAATCGAGATGGACATGATTACGGTGGGGCAGAGTGTGAAGATCAAGCGCACCGATGGCCGCGTCCACATGGCCGTGGTGGCGGTGATTAACCAGCCGGGCAAATGCATCACAGTCGAATGGTACGAGCGCGGCGAGACCAAAGGCAAAGAGGTGGAATTGGACGCCATATTGTCTCTGAATCCGGAGCTAACCGCCGATGCTGTGGAGCAACATGCCGCTCCCGAGCCGAAGAAGCAGGCCACCGCACCGATGAATCTATCGCGCAACCCCACGCAGTCCGCCATCGGCGGTAACATCACCAATCGCATGACATTGGTCGGCACCACCCATATGAACAAAATCCAAGAGGCCTCGATCCCGCATCCGCTGGGCAACAGCCAGTCCACCAACACGATCAACAATACAAATAGCAACATAGCACCTCAGGCAACGGGAACGGGCCTGCAGCGACCCCGTTTCGTGCAGTCCACCAGCACGGCCGCCGGCGGCCAGCAGACGCGCATCGCCTCTGCCGCTTCCAATAGCACAATCAATCCCGGCTCTACAGCCGCTGCTTCTGCTACTTCATTATCACAGGCCCAGACCCCATCGCAGGCGAGCAACACGACATCGCAGGGAGGTGCTGGTGGATCGCGACGCTCGCACGCTCTTAAGGAGGTGGAACGGCTTAAGGAGAACCGCGAGAAGCGGCGCGCCCGCCAGGCCGAGATGAGGGAGGAGAAGGTGGCGGCAATGAACCAAGATCCAGGCAATCCCAACTGGGAGACGGCGCAGATGATACGAGAGTACCAGAGCACTATGGAGTTTGTGCCGCTGCTGGACGGACAGTCCGTGGATGATCATCAGATTACGGTCTGTGTGCGCAAGCGTCCCATCAGCCGTAAGGAGATAAATCGTAAGGAGATCGACGTCATCTCGGTGCCGCGCAAGGACGTGCTTATCCTGCACGAGCCACGCTCCAAGGTGGACCTCACCAAGTTCCTTGAGAATCACAAGTTTCGCTTCGACTACGCCTTCAACGACACATGCGACAACGCCATGGTGTACAAGTGAGTATATTCATTCTAATTCTAGCTGCGGGCGGGCATCTTAAAAAACCCGACTCCAAATTCATTGCCTTTTTAAGCCAGACAGCATAAAAGGATTTATGTAGTGATGTAGCTCGAGCGTTAGCCTTGTCACCGAGTTATTAACGCCAATAAGCAATTCTGAGTAAGGAACCTTTCCTTTCCACATTAAATTTTGTGTTTTCCAGATGGCTTTAGTTAATATCTTTGGAATAAATAACTCTTATTGATTTTAGTTCTTTAATCGCAAATCTTTATCAAAAACTGAATGCAATCGAACTAACCATTCGCTATCTGTTTTGACAGGAAGTAAGTTAATCAGTAACGATTACTCATCAGTGATTTTAGGATATTGTTTACTTTTCACTTAGTTCAAAATAATCATGATTATTCATGTATTTCCTATTAAATGACCACCTTTTACGGAAGTTAGTGGTTCAATTTAATCAATCAATATTGTGAGAGCCTGACTTGGTAGTATTTGTTATATTTTCTTATTTAGACAATTACTGCTTCACGGTCACTGCGATTGCAGAGTCACTGTTACTGGCTCCACACTGCTTGGGCATCTCTGTCTGAGCTACTCATTCCCACACACAGACACACACGCTCGCAGAAAGAGGTGAGACAGCGAGAGAGACATGCAACTGAAAGCGGTCGCTCCCGAAATAGCCAAGTTTGTTTTATTTTTTTGTTTTTGCTGTTCGTATGACTAACAGAAAAAGCCCGCTGTCCGCCACTGCCCCCCTGCCCAACACCCCTCTAGGTCATTCACTATGAACCTGCCGATTTGCGTTCGAACCCGCTCTCTCTCTCTTTCTCTCTAAATTGGTGGATTCTGCCAGCGGAAGAGATTTCGAAAAGTAACTGCCTTTTGGGCCGGCATTTGTTCATTAGTGTGTAATTTTGTGTGTATGTTGCCTTCAATTGAATTAAAGCGGCTCTCGGTTAGCGCGCTTTGTTTGTTTTTCTTTGGCTGTCTCATTGTTGTCTGCCCTCTCCCCCTCTCTCTCTCTCTCTCTCTCTCTCTCTCTCTCTCTCTCTCTCTCTCTCTCTCTCTCTCTCTCTCTCTCTTCTCTTTCTTTGCTCTGCCAACAAACTTCTTTTTCCGGCCTTTGCGCATGAGTCAATGGCTGCTTGTGGTTAAGAGGGAGGGGGAGGAAAGTGGACGTAACGTAACGTCGCCTATAGAGGCTACGACACTACGTCACGGCGAAAGCAAGTGAATCCCGATGAGTAATCTCAACAGGGCCTTAAAACGTAATGTAACGTAACAGATAACGGTTAATTAGTGTTTAGTGTCTGTTTTCGGCATTATAATTTATAATATAAATATGAAAACCAATCTGCAAGGGTATACAAACTTCGGCGTGCCGAAGTTAGCTTCCTTTCTTGTTTGAGATAAATTTAAAAATCACAGTTTTGAGAAAAAGGCAAAAAAATAACCTTTGCAGGAGTAGGGCTACTCTAGATGACCCCCTTAAATGGATTGCTCCTTATTATTGCTTAATGTCATTAAATCGGTGAAAGGATTCCTTATTATTCTTTTTATGCCCTCCTTGTTATTCATTACCACCTTTATCCTTTCGCAGATTCACAGCGAAGCCGTTGGTCAAGACCATCTTCGAGGGTGGCATGGCCACTTGCTTCGCCTATGGCCAGACTGGCTCTGGTAAAACGCACACCATGGGCGGCGAGTTCAACGGCAAGATCCAAAACTGTAAGAATGGCATTTATGCCATGGCCGCTAAGGACGTATTTGTCACCCTGAATACGCCCCGTTATCGATCAATGAACCTGGTCGTCTCGGCCAGCTTCTTTGAGATATACAGCGGCAAGGTGTTTGATCTCTTGGCGGAGAAACAGAAACTGCGCGTCCTGGAGGACGGCAAACAGCAGGTTCAGGTGGTGGGCCTCACCGAGAAGGTGGTGGACAGCGTCGAGGAGGTGCTGAAGCTAATCCAGCATGGCAACACAGCCCGTACATCTGGCCAGACGTCGGCCAACGCAAACTCATCGCGTTCGCATGCCGTCTTTCAGATTGTGCTCCGGCCCATGGGCTCCACCAAGATCCATGGGAAGTTCTCGTTTATCGATTTGGCAGGCAACGAGCGTGGCGTGGACACATCATCGGCCGACCGACAGACGCGCCTGGAGGGCGCCGAAATCAACAAATCACTTTTGGCACTTAAGGAGTGCATCCGAGCGCTGGGGAAGCAGTCTGCCCATCTTCCCTTCCGTGTCTCGAAGCTAACGCAGGTCTTGCGCGACTCGTTCATTGGCGAAAACAGCAAGACCTGCATGATTGCTATGATTTCGCCAGGTCTGAGTTCGTGCGAGCACACGCTCAACACACTGCGTTACGCGGATCGAGTGAAGGAGCTGGTGGTCAAGGATGTGGCCGAAATCGGTGGACCGGTCGGTGACACTTCTGAGGTGGTCGAAATCATGGACGATGAGGAGGAGGAGGAGGAGGAACTCAAATACCAGGCGCATCCGCACTCGCACCAGCATCCGCAGGCCTCACAGTCCCTGCGCCACTCGACCGCGGGTCTCAACAATAACAACAACAATAATAATAAGAACGGAAATGCTAGAAACATGGACCTGGCCATGCTGAGTTCGCTGAGCGTGAGTATTAGCTCGCTTAACATGTTCCTAATTCATAATCGTGGTCACAGCTATACTAGCCACCAGATCCCTTACAGAACTCTTGATTAAGATCCCCTAATATTAGTTTAGTATAGGAAAGCTCGATCTAGTTAGGAATTTGGTCCATCGAACCCCTAACAAGCAGGCATTGCCATTAGCTTCCTTAGCCCTAGCTCAGTCACAACCTAAAACAGCTTCGGCTTCAAAATACACACTGCTCGAGTCTATTTCCTATTCGAGTGCCGGCATAGAAGCCACTGAGAGTCCACACAAAACTACAAGATGCCGAAAACGACCATCGAGCGTCGCAAGAAGCCAAAGACCACGCCCTATGCCCGCCCAGTGCCAGCTGTCGAGCGGCATTCGCTTAAGGTGCAGACGAATAACGGGGACATGGTCCAACTCATAGCCGAGGTTATGGAGATCCGTCAGCAGCTGTCCCCGTCGAATATGCAAGTTACCGGGGAGTTGCCAAGATGTTCTGGGACGTAGTCAAAGAATTAAAATTTGCTTAGTTAGGATGTTCATTTAGTCTCCAGGATGTTCATTAAATATGTGACCCCGATCAGGAGGTGGTGCAATACGAGGCTGTGGTCTCGTCATAAATAAAATAATGCCTTTATTGAGAATTATAAAAATAACTAAAATAATTAAAATAATAAATAAAATAATTAAAACCATTTATATACTTAAGGTTTTTAAAAGGTTTTTTTTAAGTTTTAATTAATTTTTTTTTTTCAAAATTTTAAAGTGGTTACATTTTTAAAATGTTTATCCCGTGGACTTTTGTCGCTTCCCCCGTTATTATATTACATGATTAGTAATCCAGACATAATCCTATGCCATCTGCAGGAACACGACATGTCCGACGAGCTTATTGTGCAGCACCAGGCCATTGACGACCTGCAACAGACGGAGGAAATGGTGGTGGAGTATCATCGGACCGTGAACGCCAATCTTGAGACCTTTTTGTCCGAATCGAAGGCCCTGTACAACCTAACCAACTATGTGGACTACGATCAGGATGCATACTGCAAGCGCGGCGAATCGATGTTTTCCCAGCTGCTAGACATTGCCATCCAGTGCCGGGACATGATGGCCGAGTATCGGGCTAAGCTGGCGAAGGAGGAGATGCTCTCCTGCAAATTGAATCCGAATAGCAAGCGTTAGTGGTGATGAATCCATCCCCCTCCCGCATTCCAACCGAATCAAAATTCTCACCCACACCAATCCATATCCACACAAATTCCGGCTCATTCACAACTCGTACACTCTCTGGCTTCTCATTTCTATATATTTTTTAACGGCACTGTTACACTGTTTGTATTCGATATTCGTAAATGATTCAAGGCCCAGGCAGGCCGCACGCTACCTTCCATCTGCGTATTTCGATGCCTCAGATTAAAAATTTATTGGGTGGAACAGCCACTGACAGTGAGAGCCAGAAAGACGAGAGTCTCTTCAACACGCACTCACACACGCACGCACACCCAGATAACGGATAACGGAATGTAAATCAGAGAATAAAGGACTGTCCTGGGCCCTTTCCACCAATTCTTCGTAGTCTAGCCTCATTCTTTCTAGCCGATTTGAACGCTAGGGGTTCAAAATAAATAAAGACTTGCCGGAGGGACTTCCCTTCTATTAAGTTTTTAAACTAATTCGTAATCGCAGAAGGCATGTCAGTTGTATACTCTAGAAACTAGGCACGAGAAGAGATTAACCATAATTTACACACAACGAACACAGCTACATGAAACGTAAAACAACAACCCACATAAGAAACACTAAAAGGTTCCCCTCTCGGATTACTATTACCACTATGATTTCAACGGAATCATACTTTTGTAAAAGAAAAAGACATTTACTATATTTTAATTACCACTTACATGCATATGCATACGTTTTACGCTCTACTATTATGCATAATAGAAGATTCCATTTAACATATATATAGTTACCACCCAGATAGTCTTGAGTGCGACATTGCTCCCTTGATGAAACTTCCCGCAACAAACCCACAAGTAATGAGATTTCACTAGGGCAAGTTGATGGCGCATTGTATTTATTGAAAGGCCACAAAACTGTATTTAATTTGTATTAATTTAATTAAATAAAAAAATTATAACTGCACCAAATCCACATACTATTCCCCCCGTAACTATGAAGCAAACCATGTGGCCCGAGCGTGTTTTTTTGTTTTTTTTTTTTTTTTTGATTGCATTGCGTTGTGCTTGTTTTTAGATATTTGTAATTTGTAATCCTCACTTTACCCCCGGTTCTCTCTATACTCTGATCTTGTAATACCTATAATTTATGTACTTTGTATTTTTTTTTCCGTCATTTTAAGCGACTTTTTTGGGGGGCGTGAAGATGAATTTAAAATGCAAACAGTCTTTATATGATTTGCATTTCATTTTGTACTAATATTTATTTTATATATATATATATATATCTATTTAATTATGTATGTTTACATGACTAAAACCAGTATCGAAGGCAAATCGAAACGAAACTTAACCAAATCACAGATTTCCACCCACACACACACTGCTCTTGTACCACACTTATACCGAGCCGAGGGAGCATAGTAACCTAGCCTAGCCTAAAACGAAACCTAAACGAAATCGAACCGAAATGAAGTAAATGAAATGAAATGCAGAAATTAAAACGAACTCTCCATACACACACGCGTGCTTCTCCCAAGGCATATTTATGCAATCCAGGCGTCTAATTATTCTGTTATTGCCTTTCTCCAGAGCACTTTAAATATAAATATATATTATAAACAACCCCCTTCCCCGAACGGTAACAATTTTTTAATCCACCAAATGCGAGTTTTTAAAACAATGTTAATATGGACAACAAAAACACAAAACACAAAACTGAATACGAGTGCTTCGATATTATGCGGTATAAAAGAAGTGTTAGGACTTGGACTCTAATAATGTATTATTAAATATAAATAATAATTTATATTGTAATAAAAGTGAACATACACAACTAAATTTAACATTAAAGATGTGTAAACGAAAAACAAAAGAAATTGTGTTTTATGTTTAGTTTTTTATAAGAAGTCTTTTTTTTAGTTTCAGAAATAGACTAAACAAATCAGAAAGTTTTATAATTTAACAAGAAAGGAAGCTAACTTCGGCACGCCGAAATATTAATTATATTATATTATTAAATATTACACAGGTCGAACTGCAAATAAGATTGGAATGGAAATCTGAAACCGCTTTAGCTCACGTTGGCATGTTCTGCCCGTCGTGGTCCCTTACAGAAGCTCAGATCTAGTTGGCCCTTTGATCCATCGAACCCTCAACAAGCTGGCTTTGTCTTTAACTTCAGCTTTCTGTCAGCCTTGGCTCAGTCAGTCACTTCCAGATCCAGCCACAGACTATAACACATTGCTCGAGTTCGGTTCCCAGCATTTTCTATTCTAAGCCATTGAGAGTGCACACAAAACACAAGATGCCCAAAGTGACTACCGAGCGTCGCAAGGCGGAAGCCTCATCCTCTACAGCTGCTGCACGGTACACCAGCGGGCGCGCATTGCATTCCGCTTACTGTCCAAAACCTGGCCCAGTCGGAGGCGGTAAAGAACCTCTAGCAGGTGGACCTGTTAAAGTCGCCCCGAAGACACCGCTGCCTCGCGTTTGGAATTGCAACAAGCCCAAGATCTTGAAGAGTTTCAACGTATATGGCAAGCAGGCTTTGCAGCCAACTGGCAAGGCAGCCAACACCACCACCGTCCGGAGGTGGGTGAATCCTCCGTATCCAGTCGATCGCCCGAAGACCAAGAACCGAGGTGATGGGCCACGCAATTACGATACCTTATACGTGCCCCTAGACGATGATGATAGAGTTAATGCCACTGCCCAGATACCCCAGCCAGCATTAGGCAATATCTCGAAGGCAGTAGAAGCCAAGCGCAGGCAGGTCTACATAAACCGCTGGACCCAACTGGAAGCTAACCAGGAAGTGCTCAAGGAGGAACAGCCACCCTTTAGGCAGTTTCCGTGCCTGCTGCCGGCAGGCGAGCGGCATTCGCTTAAGGTGCAGACGAGTAACGACGACATGGTTAAGCTTATAGCCGAGGTGAGGGAGATCCGTCAGCAGCTGTGCATTGGGAGTGAGCCGCCGTTGCCGCCACCACCTCAATTTGCCGGGGAGTTCCAGCCGCCGCCGCCACCGCTTGTGCGCAGCCGTACCCAAACGTATTTCTCAATTTGCGACTGCCCCCACCCGAAACTGTACGAGTATGTCAGACGTCTGCCCCATGCCTCGACTCCATTTACTCCGACTCAGACCGAGCAAGGCGAATCTGGATCTGGATCTGCGGCGGATAATTAATTTGAAAGCGTCCTCGTCCTGCGTTTTTCGTTACCCGTTGCAGGAGGTTTTGTTCATTGAATATGTGACCGATCCGGGTGGGGACTGGTGACAAGTAGAAGTTCCCATTTGATGGATAAAAAGAAATTTAAGAAGTTTGAAATGAATAAATAATTAAAAATATAAGAGTATTCGAAGCTAAATCCCAGCTAAATCAATATTTTTATATGTATAATATAATTATATAATAATATTAATTAATAATTAATAATTTTAGTCAGAAGGAAGGAGTGAAGCAGTCATTTTCGACTCTATAAAGAATATATATTATTGATCAACATCAACAGCCGAGTTGATCTAGCAATGTCCGTCTGCCCTGTCCGTCTGTCCGTTTTGGAGATATTTGAATGAAACTTTGCAGATAGTCTTTTGACTACTCTCACTTTTATATATGTCGGGACGGGTCGAATCAGATGACTATATCTTATAACTGCCATAGCAAGATCGACAAATTTTTATAAAAATAAGTATAATTTCTCTGTTTTATTTTATTTATTTTTTTATAAATTTTCATATTTTTTGAGATATAATAATTTTGTATTATTTTTGTTTTCATTTTTATGTAGCTGCCATAGAAAAAACATTATAACTGCCGTTATTCTACATGTTTTTATGTACTATTGTTTGTTTTTCTAGAATTACGGTTTTAATTTATTGAAAAGAGTATGTATATTTCTTATAGCTTTCATAGGAACGAAAATTTATATATATATCCTAAAATCTCCTTTAAATTAATACTTTTAGGTGCGTTTCTCAAGTATTTTATTGAAATATTCGAATTTTGCAATTATTTACTTAACGGTATTTCAGCTTCGGCTTGCCGAAATTAGCTTCCTTTCATGTTCATCTTGAGATTACCGTTAGAAAAATAAACCCCCTTAGCTGCGCCCCTGGCTGCGGGATTTCGGCTCGCTCCGCTGCGGTCACACTGGCCGGCAAGTGACGTGGAACGCTTTTGCTTTTGCTTTCGCCGTGCAATGCTAGAGCGTGGAAACATTGAGTCGTATTGGTGGATCGGTAGCTAAAATGTTGGACTTTGTGGTGATATTCACGAAGGGCGGCGTCGTGCTGTGGAACTCGAACGCCTCCAGTAGCAGCTTCGCCTCCTGCATCAACAGCCTGATACGTGGCGTCATCCTGGAGGTAAGTCTCTTTCCTGGCCGAATGCCACTGTAAACTGTAAATTGCTGTCTTTGTGGTGGCAGGAGCGCAACACGGAGGCCAAGTACTTTGAGGAGGACCACCTGGCCGTGCAGTTCAAGCTGGACAATGAGCTGGATTTGGTCTATGCGGCTGTCTTCCAGAAGGTAATCAAGCTCACCTATTTGGATGGCTTCTTGGCGGACATGCAGCTGGCCTTCAAGGAGAAATTCGGCAGCATAACGTCCGCGGAGCGTCTGGGCGAGGAGTACGACTTCGATCGCGAGTACCGACGCGTTCTAAGCGCCGCCGAGCAGGCGTCCGCCAAGCAGGTGAAGGCCCCAAAGGCGATGCGTTCCTTTAACGAGTCACAAAAGTCCAAGAAGACCGTTGCCTCGATGCTGCAAGATGACAAAAAGACCGCCGAGAAGCGTGTAAATATCCAGGAGAGCCCGCCGCCACCGTCCACGACGTACCCATCGTCGTCGTCGCCGCAGTCAAAGCAGGACATCATCGCGGAGAGCCGTCGCAAAATGCGCGAGAAACTGGGGAGCTCCAAGAAGACCTCGCCCATCGATACAAAGCCCACCAAGGCGGCTGCCTCTGAAAAGGCGGGCAAGAAGCCGCGCGTCTGGGATCTGGGAGGCAACTCCAAGGATGCCGTGCTGCTGGATCGCTCCAAGGACGCTCCCGAGGATGTACAGTACCAGAACATCAACAGTGAGGTGGGTAGAGGCGATAGCCCAGTTGCATATCAGCAATAAATTAATTTATATTCTTTGGGAGCAGCTGGTGGGGACGATGCAGGGCGTAATCCCCGATTTGGATGTGGAGAGCGAGGACGAGGCGGAGTCCAGTGGCAACGAGGACGCTGAGGAGGAGTTGGTGCAGTCAAAGACGAACAAACGCAGCGGCGGCGGCGGTGGTCTGCTCTCCTACTTCAAGGGCATCGTGGGCGCCAAGACTATGTCACTGGCTGACTTGCAGCCGGCGCTGGAGAAGATGCGGGACCATTTGATATCGAAGAACGTGGCCTCTGAGATTGCGGGCAAGCTGTGCGACTCGGTGGCCACCAGTTTGGAGGGCAAGCAGATGGGTACCTTCGACAGCATTGCCAGTCAGGTGAAGGAGGCGCTGACACAGTCTCTGGTACGGATTCTCTCTCCAAAGCGGCGCATTGACATCATACGCGACGCCTTGGAATCGAAGCGCAATGGCCGTCCCTACACTATCATCTTCTGCGGCGTCAATGGTGTGGGCAAGTCCACCAATCTGGCCAAGATCTGCTTCTGGCTGATCGAGAACGACTTCAATGTCCTGATCGCCGCCTGCGATACGTTCCGAGCCGGTGCCGTTGAGCAACTGCGCACCCATACCCGCCATTTGAATGCCCTGCATCCAGCGGCCAAGCATGATGGACGCACCATGGTCCAGCTGTACGAGAAGGGTTATGGCAAGGATGCCGCTGGCATAGCCATGGAGGCCATCAAGTTCGCTAATGATACCCGAGTGGATGTGGTGCTGGTGGACACCGCCGGCCGCATGCAGGACAATGAGCCTCTGATGCGTTCCTTGTCCAAGCTGATCAAGGTGAACAATCCCGATCTGGTGCTCTTCGTGGGCGAGGCGTTGGTTGGCAATGAGGCCGTCGATCAGCTGGTCAAGTTCAATCAGTCGCTGGCCGACTTCTCCTCCAACGAGAACCCGCACATCATTGACGGCATCGTGCTGACCAAGTTCGATACCATCGACGACAAGGTGGGCGCCGCCATCTCCATGACCTACATCACCGGCCAGCCAATCGTGTTCGTGGGCACTGGTCAGACATACGCCGACCTCAAGGCCATCAATGTGAATGCCGTGGTCAACTCGCTGATGAAGTAGCTGCATCCTTGTTTATTTTTTTTTTTCTTTTTTAAATCTACCTTTGACACCGAATCAAATATATTGCTTGTGACTATTTTGTTTGTTGGATAATCGCCATGGTTTGAAACTGGACAGGGATACGAGTTAGTTACTTTTATTAATGGTATAACCGCAGGCGGCGTACAAACGAGGGGCGAGAGGAAGAGGAGATATATGTATTGGGGGGGACAATGTTGGCTTAATCTATTTGTAGAACTCGTGCTCCTGCTCGTCCTTCTTGATGTTGTTCTTGTAGCCCTTCTCAAAGTCCTTGGCCAGCACAATGTAACGATTCTCGCGCACCGCATGCATGCCCGCCTCCTGGCAAATGGCATTGATATCAGCGCCAGAGATCTTGTCTGGCCGCGCCACAAACTCCTCAAGATCCACATCCTCGCTAAGGTTCATCTTGGACGTAATGGTGGAGAAGACCAAACGCTTCTGTCGGCGATCGGGCAGCGGGAATTCAATCTTACGATCCAAACGTCCGGGACGCAGCAGAGCGGGATCCAGTGTGTCCGCCCTGTTCGTGGCCATTATCACCTTGACATTCGTGGTCTGATCGAAGCCATCCATCTGGTTAAGCAGCTCGAGCAGGATGCGCTGCACCTCGCGATCGGCGCCCGTCTGCGCATCGAAACGCTTGGTGGCAATGGCGTCGATCTCGTCTATGAAGATAATGGCCGGTGCGTTCTCCTTGGCCAGGCGGAACACATCGCGCACCATGCGAGGACCCTCGCCGAGGTATTTTTGCACAAACTCGGAGCCCACGACCCGGATAAATGAGGCGGTGGTGTGATGGGCCACAGCCTTGGCCAGCATCGTCTTGCCGCAACCGGGCGGGCCGTACATGAGGACGCCGCGCGGCGGATCAATACCGATCTGCTTGTACAGCTCAAAGTGGGTCAGCGGCAACTCTACTGCCTCGCGTATCTCCTGCTTCTGCATGTCCATGCCACCGATATCGGCGTAGCTAACGTCTGGCTTCTCGTCCGGCTGCAGCATCGAGATGGAGCTGTCCGCCTCCGGCGGAAGTACGTCCACCAGGGCGTTGCTGTGCTTGTGTAGGGCCACCGAGGCCGAGGGCTTCAGCAGCTCGCGATCGATGGTGGACAAGATGCGCACATAGTAGTTGGATCCAGTGGTGGAGCCCACAATGCCCGTATTCTGGTCGACGGCCTCCAGGAACTGGCCGATCACCAGCGGCACAGACTGGATGCGCTTAACCTCCTCCTGGGCGTGCAGGTACTCCTTCTTCAGGTTGCGCTGCTCATCCTTGATGTACTCCTCCTGCACTTCGATGAACTCGAGCGTCTTTTGCAGTTTCTGTTTGGACAGATTTCCCTTGCGTTAGCTCTTGTGGGAGTGAAATTTGCTTAGCTTCCTTACCTTGTAGCGCACGTAGAGATCGTCGATGTCCAGTTCGTCCAGGGAACTGTGGGCATCCTTTAGTTTCTGGTCGGCCAGCTCGTCCTGCTGCAAAGAGAGAATTACGCGATATAACCGAGTCTAGGCGCTGCCAACCAAGGCCACGTACCTTCTCCGGCATCAATATGTCCATGTTGTACGGCATCCTTTTCCTCTAGCAGTGAAAATGTGTTCTTTTTGTTATAATTTGCGGCGGTAACAAGAAATGACTCGTCAAAAACAAGAACTGCGGTGTTGTTATCGATGTAACAAGGTGATATCGATGCTTGCACTATCGAAACGAGTAACTGGTCACACTCGTCACACCACAAGTGTGTACACACTTAACATTTCGGGGAAATATGTGCAGCGCCAATTGGAGTATATCTTATATCTCACACATCCAATTGGAATATTACTTGAGTCCGTTTCTGGTTTATTATAATGTTTTTAATGGTTGTAATTGGTTTTGCTAATTAGGTGTCTCCATTCTCATTTGATTGCTCCAATTCTGAGAACAAACTTCCAAACAGATAAACTGGTGGCCAGCAGCCCTTGGTGGTATTTTCTGGTGCCGCTCCGCTGGGCACACTGCCCCCCGTCGCCCCCGCCCCCTGCCGCACCGCACGCACGCATCGATTTGGGCTAAACGTTAGATACCTCCTAACGCAGTTGTTAGGGTGGAAAAAATAATACGCGCATAGTAAATAAAATGAATTAGAAATGCTGTGCGGTTTTTCGCGTGCGACCCGTTGACGGTGAACGCATCCGGAGCGGAGCGCTGGCCCAGGCGGACGACTCCTTTCCGCCCCAGAAAAGTGCAATACTCCACAACAACCACACGACACAGAAAACTGAGTGCAGTGCGGGTGATTTTCTCAGAGTGTGGTGCTGCGCCAAGCGAAAAAGCCAAGCAAAGCGAAACGGGGTAAAAAGTGCAATGCCGTGTGAAATATCACTCAACACAAACAACAAAAACAACAGCAACGACTGCGTTAGCAGCGGCGCAGCAACAATAACAACAACAAACGATAAAACAAAGATAACAGATAAAAGAGCAGCAGTCGAAAATGTTTATTGTATAATTTCCTATTGAGCCAAAAAGGCAGGTGTGTGTGTGTGTTTGTGTCGCTCGCGTGTATGTGTTTTTGTGTGTGCACAAACTCTGCCAGAGTTTTTTCTCTCTGTATGTGCATGTTCGTGTGTGTGTGAGAGTAGTTTTTGTTTTTTTTCGCTGCTTCTGCTTCTTCTTTCTCTTCTTCCATGTTCTTCTTCTTGCTCTTCTATTTGTCAACAAAAAGAAAAGCGAAAAAAGAATATGTACATATTACATACATATATGTATATGTGTTGCCTTTAATTTGGTCCTTTTGCTCGGTTGCAGGAACAGGACGCAGGACCCACAACATAAAGCAGAGAAGCTTAGGACGTAGTAGAACTTGTGCAACGAACCGATTGACCCACTGGCCGCCGCCTCCACATGAAGACCATGGGGCGCTTCGGCCTGCGCCGTGGCTTCAAGCTCTCGGAGGAACAGCAGCAGGTCAACGGCAAGAATCCAATTGGACCAGCAACGACCATGGCAACACCTACTCCCGTTGCAACCACACCCGTTCCCGTTCCCCCCACACCCCGCAAAAAGCGTCAGCCACGACAGGAAGAGGTGACAACGTCGACGGAGCAGGATCAGGTGCAGCTTGCAAAGAAAGAGTGCCCGGCCGAGGATCAGAACTCATCGCAGCAATACCAGGAGCCACCTCTATCGCTGATCTGTAGCCTGCCCCTGGAACGGCTGCCTCGGCTCATGGAGAAGCTGCAGCAGCTAACAGAAGAGCGGGAACGCGAACGGGAACGGGAGCGCGAGGAAGCCGCCGCCCTCAGCGCAGCGGGCCACTCCAAGGTTCTGTGTTTGTACTGTGATAGAAAGTTCACCTCCGGCAAGCTGCAGGCCAAGCATGTGGACAAGTTCCATACGGAGCGTCAGGAGCGACGATGCAGCGGTCGCTCCACCAGCTCCAATGCCCAGCCCGCCGTCGGTTTTCCCGGTTGCCATTTATGCGGCCAGCAAACCGCCAAGCGACACCAGGCCATGCCACCATCGCAGATATGTCTGCCGGCCAAGCATTTGGAGCAACTGTTCCAGCATTTGAGCGAGCAGCATACGGACAAGTACTTTGGCTGCCGGCAGTGTCGATTGCGTTTCCCGGACGCTGATCAGTTGGCGGGGCACCAGCGGCAGCAGCATCCCTCGCTGCAGCGGCCGGAGGAAGCTGTGGCCGCCGCCGCCTCCAAGCCCGGATTAATGGGCGCAGATGAGCCGGTTCTATTTCGCTTGGGCCTCACCCAGAACCGGTTGCCCAGCCATCGAAATCGTAGTCAGCGCAAGGAGGAGGAGCCGCCGTCGCCTTTGGCCACGCCCACAAGCCACAAGTCGCGGAGCAGCAGCCGGACGGCGGCCCAAAGGCAACAGCAGCCAGGATCGAGTGGCAATCAGTTGCAGGACCCAGTCAATCCGGATGCAGTGTTCCGGCTGCCAGTTAGCTCAGCTTGCATAACCACCACCGCCTCCTCCTCCGCTGCAGCCGCTTCCTCCGCCGCCGCCACCGCCGCCTCCAGTTCCGTGTTTGATGATAACTTCTACAAGGATGTGGTATTTAATGTGCGCCACAACCTACAGAATCACCTGGATGGTAGGCTACTCACCTCAGCAGCTGCAACTGGAACAACACAGGCCACTGGCCAGAGACCGGAGCTGATCATGCTGCATGGTCCCAGCCAGCTGTCTACCGGCGGCGCCTCTTATCCCACGCTGCTCACCTCGGAGCAGTTTGGCGGCACCGGCGAGCTCCTGCCGTTGGCCAAGTTCCGACGGAGACCGCACACGAAGCACAGCTGGAAGTGGAAGTGGGACTATGTGAAGAAGTTCACCCTGATCAACGAGGGCGGAAGGCTGGTGAAGAAGCTGAAGCAGCCCAGTTTGGGTCTTGGCTTGCGCGATCTCTCCAAGCTGGATATGTGGACGCAGCTGACGATGCGCCAGAAGCACGATCTCTCGCTCTCGCTGGAGGTGGAGCAACAGAATCAGGAGCAGCGCCACCTTCTGGAGCAGCTAAATCTTATACTCGACCATCGCCTGTTGCCGCACATTATTCTGGAGCAGAACGAGCAGGCGGTCATCAAGTGCGAGAACGATGATGGCGACGAGGAGCTAGGCCTTGATGGTCACAGAACGGACGACGATCTGGCCTTGGGACAGAGTTTCGCCGACGAGAGTTTTCTCTCGCTGCTGCAGCTTCAGCCGCGAATATCCGATCCGGAACGGGGCAGAGAGCGTGATCTAGAGCGGGAACGGGAACGGCTTAGGCTTCGGAACCCTAGGCGAGGAACCCTTGTCCTTAGCGGTGAGTGGGCCCGACCCCGGCTCTACCTATGCATCTGCTGTGGGGCCAAGTTTGACCAGCGCAAGTCGCTGGAGGAGCACAAGACCTTCCGTCACTCGCACATCTATGCGACCCACTACGAGGTGGTGGGCCGGGAGCTGCTGGCCGGCAACCTGCTGCGTCACCTCTTCATACCCAAGCGAGCACTTGGTCGCTTCGCCAGCGCCAGCAATTGTCCACCGGTTGGTGCCCTTGTGCCCCTTGTGCATCAGCCCAAACAAGAGCAAGAGCATCGCGTTCAGCCTGAGGAGGAGACCAGGTCATCCGCCTCCTCTCGCTCCTCATACGAGGTGTCCACACCAACGCCGCTGTTGGGCTTGGAGCAGCAGCAACCGTCGCCGGCCTCTGGCTCCTCGGGCACAGCCTCTTCGGCATCATCGTCATCCTGCTCGCCCAGCTCGTCATCGACGCTGATGTCCACCGCCTCCACCTCGATGTCCTTGTCCACCTTGTGCACCTCCTCCTCATCGACGACTATTACTTCGTCCTCGTCCGCTCCCTCCAGCTGCACCAAGTGCGGACGCAAATGCAGCGGCCTCATGGATCTCTATCGCCACATGCTGGACTGCTCCGGCGACTATGTGTGGTCGCTGGCCAAGAAGCGCAAGTATCGCTATTATTGCGGCACCAAGAAGCGTCGCGCCTTCTCCAAGAAGCCGCACAAACAGCTCTCAATCCGCAAAAAGGAGAAGCTGGAGGGGGAGGCAGAGAACGAAGGCGAGCACGAGGTGGAGGTTGAGGGCGAGGGTGAGGAGAGCGGCTGCAGTTCCTCCAAGCTAAAGAGCTCGCCACGCCAAAGGCCCAGCGATGGTGAGTCCCACAAATTTAGACCCCCAGTGAGTCCCATAATGATTCCCCAATTTTCATCCGCAGCGGAGTCCATACGCAAGATGCTGGAGAACCTGCCCGCCAAGCGTGTCTGCAAGAAGATCTTTCCCGTGGACAACAAGGCCAAGCGCAAGGCCAAGAACAAGGCCAAGTCCATGGTCAAGTCCAAGTCGAAGTCGAAGTCCAAGCAGCAGCGCAGCAGCAGCACCAAGAGGATCTACAATCAGCATTTGTTGCGCAATACGCGTTCTCGCTCGCGCTCCTCGGTGGTGGCCACAGCCTCCTCGGCCGCCGCTGTGGTAGCACAGCAGCAGCGCAGCCGCCGCAAACAGAAGCAACAGCAGCAGCTACAGCAGAAAAAAGCCAAGTTAGACCTGGTCAAATCCCCGCCAGAAACGACCCCCGCTGCAGCACAAACGGAGGCCTTGCCGGAGCAGGCTCCCAACTCCCCAACCACAGTCACTGCCAAGTCACGATCTCCCGCTGAGGAAAAGCCTACGCTAAGCTTGGAGCTGCCCCTGGCACTTCCGAGCTCCCTGCCACCACTTTCGGAGGCAGTTGCTCAGGAGTCGGAGTCTAGCAGCAAACAGCTGATGCCCACACCGCCCACAACCCCGGCTCCGGCCACCAAATCCCCGCCAGCTGCCGCTATTGCGCCGCCATTCTCGGCCAGGACTCCCAACTCAACGAATGTGAAGCGTAGCAAGAGGATCAGCGACTGCATAGCCATGCTTACCGGCAAGCTGGAGGAGAAACTCAAGACAGCGCCGCCTCCGCTGGAGAAGGAGAAGGACAAAGTGGAGAAGGAAAAAGCGGAAAGGGAAAATCTGGACAAGGAGAAGCTCGAGAAGATGGAGAAGCAGCAGCCGGAGCCACCGGTTGCTTTGGAAAAGAATATGGAGAAGGAGAAGGAACCACTGCTGGCCAAGACGCCCAAACGCAAAGCAGTGTCGAGGCGAATAATCAAAGTGGATGCTCCAACGGAGGCTGTGCTGGAGCAGGAGCAGAAGCTAACAGAAGCAGTGATGCCGCTTACACCCTCGCCTGTGGTTCTGCCCCCCGCCCTAGTTACCACTGTTCCCGCAACCGTTGCTGCAGGAGTCCTTCCACTTCCAATTCTCAGCACTCCTCCGGCACCAGTTCCAGTTCCAGTTGCAGCTCCTGTTCAACCGCCCATTACGGCACCAGCTCCACCGCCACCGAGGCGTACGCCCACCAAGGCGGCGGCCAAGCAAATGACTGCTGCACCACCAACGAAACCGCCGTCGCTGGCCGCTCTCAAGCAGTATCCTCCCGTGGACCAGCAGCAGCAGGTGCTGCCCGTGCCTGTTCCTAATCCTGTGCCGCCGCCCGCACTCGTGGCAGTCCCATTGGGACTCCAGGCTATGCCAGCTCCAGCTAATGCTAACCTGCCCCTACCCTTGAACGTCAAGATGATGTCCAAGCTGCCTCTGTATATGCCGCAGCTTCAGCCGCAACCTCAGCCTCAGCCTCAATCTCAACCACCACCACCCTCCTCCACCATGTTTGTGCTGGACCCCCAGCAGCCGCTCAATCTCACCAGCCAGCGCGGAGTGCTACAGAAGCCGCTAATAAGCGGGACAACAGGGGATCCGGGACTCGTTGGCTTGCAGCCGCATCATCATCGTGCCGGAGGAATACCTGCCAGGCGGCAGACGATCTGTGGCTTTGAGGCACGCAACCTGCTAAGCTCTGACATGGATATGGAGCCGCTGGATTTATCAAAGAAATCGTCGAGAAAGTCTTCGCCAGCGCCAGCGCCGAGGATGCAGCCAGAGGTGTCAGTGGTGGCCATGCCATCACTACCACTACCACTGCCACTGCCGCTGGTGGCTGGAGGAACCAGAGCAGGAGCTCAGCCACAGCAAGTACCTCAGCAAGGTATGCCCGTTCCTGTGCCGGTAGCCCTTCCTGGACAGCTGCCGATGGGTGGCCTACCTGCTCCCCTGGCCTCGCAGTATTACTCGAATCTGGATCTGCTCAAGATACCGCAGGTGCGGAATCCCAACAATCCCGGCGTGGTGGTGGCCTCAAACATTCCGCCTCCCGTTGGGGCAGTGGCTGTCGCAGCAGCATCTACCTTGGTGCTCAGCCAAGTCAAGGGTTCGGGCAGCAAGAAGCGCTTGCAGCAGGATAATGGCGGCTCATCTGGTGGCTCCAAGAAGGACCATGGCAAGGGCCAGGCCAAGGCGTGTCCGCGGATGGATGATGTGGTTAACAATCATATTGATGATGCCATTAATTCGGTGATCATGGCCGTGCAAGCGAGCCTGCCCGATGACGAGGACGAGGCGGAAACGGAAAAAGAAAAGGAACGGGACAAAGAGAAGCTGAAGAAGCTGGAGGAAGCCATGCCCCCCAAGTCGGGCAATTGCATTCTGCCTTTGCCGGCAACTCCTGGTTTTTTGTTTGCTCCAGCCACTGCGACAGCCAGGACGATTCCACCTGCAGCTTCTCAGCCAGTTGTGGCTTCCGCTCAGCAGCCTTTGCCTTTGCCTGTGCCAGTCCCTGTACCTGTACCTGTTCCCGTCAAGAATCTAACGCCCAAGAAGCGTTCCATGCGCTCGCGGACCATCGATTGTCGTGCCGCCTTGCTGGCCCTGGATGAGGTGACTCCTTCGTCGGCGCCGTTGCTGGCCTTACCAGTGAATGGCGAGGCGAGACGGGAAGTGTCTCAGATGCTGGAGGATGCCTTGGCACTGCCAGTGCCGGCTCCAGTTCCAGGTTTGCCCGAAACGGGCCTCAAGGAAGCCAGGATGGAGAAGAAGCTGCTGGCTGAGCCCACTCCAGTTCTGCCTGAGCCAAAGCCGGAAACAGAACCAAGGCCAGAGGCAGAGCAGGAGCTTTCTCAGCAGGAGGAGGAACAGGAGGAGCCTGTGCCCGTTCCCGTTCCCGTCTCTGTCATCTCCGTGGCGCCCGCTCAGCCGCTGCTGGCTCCGCGTCATGCCACACCGCCGCCGGAGACTACCAACTGCAGCTCATCGTTGATGGAGGAGCACAGCAGCAATCTGAACAACAATACCTCGTCCGGTTTTCACAGCCTGGCCCAGTCGGAGCAGCCAATGCCAACCACAACAACCACGATGCCAGGAGGCACAGAGGAGCAGCTGCCCCCAGCCAAGGAGGAGGAGGTGGACACTGGCCTGCTGCCCGCCAAGAAGAAGCAGCGCCGGCGAAGGAAAAACGAACTGGCGGCCATTGTGGCTGATCAGCTGCTGGAGAGCTTCAAGATCGACAATGCCCGCCGGGACAATCTCAAGAAGCTGGAGAATCTTGCGTACGAGAAGAGCGAGGATCTGCTGCTCACTGGCATGCTGCTAATGTCCAGCACCAAGCGTAATGCGGCTCTAGGTCCTGCGGCGGCAGCGGCTGCCGCCAAGCTGGCCAAGAGTGAGGCCACTACGGTGGCGGAGACCCCTTTGAATCCACCAGTGCGTGGCAGGCCCAAGCGCCGCCAGAGCTGCTACTATCGTCGGGGCAAGGGGGCGGGAGCGGGCAATGGTTCTGCCAGTGGTGGCAAGGCCACCAATGAGAACATAAGCCTGCTCAAGTCCTCACTGGAATCCTTCTCCATTGGCATTGAGAAGCAGCTGCTGGCCAAGGAGGCCCGAGAGGCCAAAGATGCAGCCCAGCCAATGGCGGCGGTGATCACCACACAGCCGGCGGTAAGCTCCATCTTAAGACCCAGCATCCTCAGCAGCGCCGTGGCCAGGGAACAGCAGCAGCAGCAACAGCAGGAGAAGCAGCAGTCGCAGAGGACGCCGGGTAAGCAGCAGGACAAGCAGGATAAGATCCCTCAGGCGGCCACCTTCAGTCGCGATCCGCGTCTCAATAAGAACATCCACAAGGAACTGCCGGCGGACAGCACTGGCGGCGGCAAGGATATGTCCAAGGTGACGCAGCCAGCGGTGCCGCCAGCCTCGGGCGATAATCCCGAGGAGGAGGACAACTACCTCACGGAGATAGCCAAGAATGTCAACGAGAAGATCATGTCGGCCACCACCAATGAGGACTTTGAGTTTGCCCACGACGAGTTTGATGGCGAGGATCAGGATCAGGACCATGACAAGTACTACCGCCCGCCCACCTCCATGAGCGTCCGCAGTGCCCCCAATCTAAACGACGAGCACTCGAACTTTGGCTCCATGTGCGACGATAATACCAACACGGAGGTAATGGACATGGACCTGGACGATGAGATGAGCGTGTATACCAGTTACTCGCAGGATCTGGGACGCGGTGGACGCGGGCGGCGGCGCAGGCGTCGACGGAGCGTCCTATTTACACGGCGTCCCAAGAAGCGGACGCAGCGTAGCGAACTGGATGCGGAGAAGTATGGTTGCAAGCTCTGCGGCAAGAGCTTCTTCTCGGCCACCTCGTTGTCCAAGCACAACATGACCCTAGCCCATGTGTCCAAGGTGTCCGCCCAGGAGTATCTGCAGTCCCAGACGGCGCCCTCGAGTCCGCAGGAGCCAGATAGCTTGGAGCAGGATCAGGACAAGGAACGGGACAGGCAGCGGGCGGAGGAGGAGGACCTAGGGATGCTCAAGGAGCAGCCGCCACCAGCAGCTGCAGCAGCGCCGCAGCAAATGAGAGCCTCGGTGCTGATGGTAACCTCGCAGCTGGCCCAGCAGGAAAGGGAGTTACAGCGGGAGCAGGAGAGAGAGCAGCAGCAGCAGGAGCAGCAGCGGGAGCAGAGAGTCCCAGATCCGGACCAGGTGCATCATGTGATCACCGAGGCCAGTCTCCGGCTGCACGACAACCAGCACAGCCCCAGCACAGCTCCCTCCGCCGCCCGGCTCAATCTCAATCCCGACGAGCGTCTCTTCTACGAGTGCTGCAACATCCTCAAGAGCGCCGAGACACCGCGCCAGCAGCATGGCACTGGAACCTCTGTGATTGTGAGTGCCGGTCGAAAGCAGCCGCCACCGCCTCCAGCCTCGCCCTCGCCATCGCCTTCGCGATCTCCTACGCGTTCCCTGCCACCGCCACCGGCCTCACCCTCGCCATCGCATTCACGTTCCGCATCGCTACCACCGCCAGCTTCGCCATCGCCATCGCCACCACCACTGCCGGCAGCAGTCCCTCATCCACCGCCAGCTCCGCCAGTGCCCGCTGTCTGCCATCAGCCGGTGATCCAACAGCTGTTCCGCAACCCGCCCGCCGTCACGCCCACCACCACACCCACGTAAGTCGTCTGGCAAGGATTAACCTCTGAGATACCAACTCACCTTGGTTATTTTTTTGCTCTCTCTCTCTCTCTTTCCTTTTGACAGCAATCACAACCGGCTCTCGCCCAGCTACTCGGCGGTGTCACAGTTCTCGGCCACCACCACCACGTCCCGCTTCAAGACGAAGGCCGCCATGAAGGGCTACGAGAATGTGAACCTGCAGCTGGACATGCTGGAGTTGGCCAAGTCCGGCCGCGGGGTGTGCAAGCTCACCGAGTTGGCGGACATTGCTTTGGGGAGTGAGAAGCCAGGCGGTGACTTCTTGCCCCACCTGCCACCCACACCAGCGGCGGTGGTGGCACCTCCTCCGGCATTGCTAACAGCACCTCCTCCTGCCCTGCAACAGACACCGACGCCCACAGTGACGCCAACGCCCCTGGCAATGCCGGAACATCAGCAGCAGCAAAGCTCCACGTCCTCGAAGACGATCATGCACGCCTCGATCATCAAGGCGGCGGCGGGTGTGGCCAGTTCGGCCACCTTGCCGCCTGTCTCTGGACGTATCATCATACCAGATCGGCCGTTCAAGAACATTGGGCTGGAGGAGAAGGCGCCCATAACTTTCCAGAAGCCCAAGACGTGCGTGAATCTGCTGCAGGAGCAGGACAACAACAGTGTCTCGACGGCCAGCTACTCGGATCGCGATGACTATGATTTTGGCACCCTGAGCTGTGATGGCGATGTGGAACCGGAACCGGAGCCGGAGCCAGAGCCGCTCAGAGTTGGTGTAGAGGCGGGGCGAGGGGTTCTGCCGGCTGGGAGTAGCGGTAATCGTGCCGTATCCACATCCAGCTCATCGTCTTCATCCTCCTCGTCGGCTGACCATAGCAGGAGTGGTGGGAGCAGCAGCAGTAGCTCTAGTCGGGCCACCGCCAAGACCTTTGAGAACAAATCCCTGATAATGGGTCGCATCTTCAAGCATGCCAGCAGCGCCAAGGCCTCAGCAGTGGTGGCTGCCTCGGCGGGCATGCTGCCGGGGCCCAATGTGGTTGTGGTGCCCGGTTTGGTCAAGAACAAGGCGCCGCTGTCCAAGAATCAGGCCAATCTGGATCAGATTTTTGATGAGTTGCGCGGTGGCGGAGGAGGAGGAGGCGGAGGAGGACTAGCAGCCAAGGTGACGGATGTGGAGGCACCGCCAGCACAGGTCCACGACAGCTGGGCAAGGCATCATCCACAACAGCAGCAGCAGCACCATCATCACCATCATCATCATCACCATCATCACCAGGTGGAGCCCATGGCTGCACCGGCCGCTCCAGCAGCCCCAGCGGCCATGCCGGCTCCCAGTGCTCTGCCTCCGGGCAGAAAAACCAAGTCAATGGCTGCTGGGAAGAAGGCCACCAAGTCAGCGCCGCCTCCTCCCACGCCCACAGCCAGTACAGCCTCTGGATCTTCCAGCTCCTCCACTCGCAAGCCGCGCAAGGATCTTACCAAGCTTCAATCGGAGTTGGGCATGAGCCATGAGGAGATCGAGCAGCTAATCGACGAAGGCCAGCGCAAGTCCAAGCGCCGCTGTGCCACCAATCGGCCCAAGAAGCTGGTGGAGACCTGGAGCTCCGATGAGTACGAGGAGTTCCTCTCCACCAAAGACATCATTGCTTTGATCGAGCAAAAGGAGCAACAGGAGCTGCGGCGCAAGCGTAAGACCAGCGAGGCTAATTCCCAACCGGAGGCAGTGGCTCCACCACAGGCAGCCAGCAAAAAGATGCCGCAGACGCCTCAGGCGGCGACGCCAAAGCGTAAGAACCGAGCGAATGACAAGAAGCAGCAGTCATCTGAGGTGGAGCAGCCCAAGCCAAGGGTTAGGCAACGGAATCAACCAGCTACTGCTCCTCCTCCACCACCACCACCGCCACCAGAGGTAGTGCCACCTCCTCCTCCTTCCGCTAGGGGTAAATCCAAAGCCACGGCCAAGAGCAAAACAGCCACCGCAGCGGCGATGACCAAGACCAGCAATTCCCGGAAAAAACGAGGCAATGAAAAGCTTAAGGAGCAGCGGCCAGTCCTGGAGGAGGAGGAGGAACAACAGCCTCCAGAGGAGCATGGTAAAGCGGCTATAGAAACCCAAGATCCTCCAACAAGGACGCGTAGCTCCAGGCAACAGCCCAAGAGCAGAGCAGAGCCTGAACTTGTCCTGGCGCCACAGGAGATGGAGGGAACGCCCAGAGAGAGGACAAAGGCAAGTCGCAACAGCAATCCAGCGCAGCCACTGGCTCCTCCGCCGCCACATCCTCAGCCCAGGAGCAGCTCGGTGGCCACCAACTCGAACAACAACAACAACAACAACAGCAGTAGCAACAAGAATCTGAAGACCAAACGAAGATCGCAGACAAACCGCCTTTCGCCGGCACGTAGAAAGCGTCCAGCAACGGAGAAGCAACTCTACTACTGGAGCAGCTCCAGCGATGATGAGTTTGGACGGATGGAAGCCGAAAGTAGCGAGGCAGCACCTGGTGATGCTGGCTCCAGAATGGGAACAGGAACTGGCGGCGAGCGACTGGAACTGGAGGAACCGGAGGAGGAGGCATCACCCTCGCCCGGCAAGCACTTCGAGGAGAACGAGCCGTACCAGAAGCACGGCTGGATCGTGGGTGACTCGCACAAGAAGCTAGTGAAGCTGCTGGCCATCGCCAAGGGTAGCAAGAAGGTGGATAACTGCGGTGTCAAGCGGCGCACGCCCAAGCGCAAATGCTAGGAGTGCGAGAATCTGGAGGAGACAAAGAGTCACCAGCTGGAGGATGAGGATAGCCACCACGATGGCCTCCTCTTCCTCCGGCCGGACAACAACAAGTCATAGCCATAGGCCTCGACGGCGGAGTCGTCGGCGCGGGCAGCCGACGACGACGAAGACGACAAGAATCCATCGCCGCCATCGATCACATAATACGTACTGCCATTGTGTCATCATCGTTAAGCGTTAAGGCCAGTGCCAGGCGGGGATTGGCTGGAGCAGGCAGCGGGAGCCTGGCCTGGCCTGGCCCCATTAACCGTATGCGGAGTATATGCAAAAATATTTTTCTTTCTTTTAAACATCTAAGCGTTACATTATTTAGGTTTTTTTTTTATTAAGTGTATTTATAATTAATAAACGAAAGAAACAAAAAGGCGAAAATGCAAACAAATATAAATTTGAGCACAATTCAAATGTGTAATTCGCTTTTTGGGAATTTATAGGGACTTTACCATTCCTATTTTAGCCTTATTTGCAGCATCAACAGACGATTCGATTTAGCTGTATTTAACTTTTAATTTGGCATTTAAATCTTAATTACTACCCGCAAATAACAAAGGACACTCCCAAGACTTTCCTCAATACAACTTGTGTTCTTTTTTTTTTTTTTATATTTTACAACTAACGGTATCTTTACATATATAACATGTAAAAAAAAAATATAGAATTAAGGAATAGTTAAAAAAAACGTCAAAACACACAATGGGAAGCAGCGGCGTAAATCGTGAAAGCGAACACTCCAGAATCTCGGCGAGCTCACATCCAGCCTTTGCGTATTTGTGGTGCTGTGCTGTGTTTGTCGATGAGGCTACTCGGGCGATGCCAAAGGATAAATGCGAAGCAAAACCAAGAGTTCCATCGGGGATTAGAATGTTTGCATGGGAGTTCATAACTTGATTGAGTTCGGCTGGATGCACCGACGTAAGAGATATTGGTGGGTCTCGCCTCGACTGTTGGCCGCGTTCGCTTCCCTCCCCAACGCCGCCGTTCCGCATCATGACTTAAACATTACACTGGCTTCGGCTTTCTCTGCATCTCTCTCTCTCTCTTTCTGATGGCTTACATCATGCCACCCATGCCGCCCATGCCTCCCATGCCGCCCATACCGCCCATGCCGGGCATGCCAGGAGCACCATCCTCCTTGGGAATCTCGGTAACCACAGCCTCGGCGGTGGTCAGGAGAGAGGCAACACCAGAAGCATCTGTGATGGCGGTGCGCACCACCTTGGTGGGATCGATGATGCCCTTCTCGATCAGGTTGCCATATTCGCCCTTCAGGGCATCGTAGCCATAGTCACCGGACTGGGTCTCCACCTTGGCAACCACCATAGCGCCATCAACGCCGGCGTTCTTGGCAATGGTCATGCAGGGCATGCGCAGGGCACGGCGCACAATCTCCACGCCGAGGTTCTGTTCAAGATCAAAGGGTTAACACTTATTCTGAGCCATTAAGGAGATCAAGTTCATCTTACCTGATCCTGGTTGGTGGTCTGGACGCCATCCAACTTCTCAATGCAGCGCAGCAGGGCAGTGCCACCGCCGGGAACGATTCCCTCCTCGACGGCAGCCCGTGTGGCGTTGAGGGCATCATGGACGCGGTCCTTCTTCTCGTTAACCTCCACCTCGCTGGATCCACCGACGCGGAGCAGGGCAACGCCAGAGGCCAGACGGGCCAGGCGCTCCTGCAGCTTCTCCTTCTCGTACTCGGAGGTGGTGTCGGTGATCTGCTCCTTGATCTGATCGACGCGGCGCTGCACATCCTCCTTCTTGCCATTGCCCTTCAGCAGTAGGGTGTCATCCTTGGTGATCACAACCTCGCCCACCTGGCCCAGATCGCTGACCTTGACGTCCTCGAGCTTAACGAGATCGGCATCGTCGCCGAAGACGATGCCACCGGAGGCGATGGCCATGTCGGTGAGGGTGCTCTTGCGGTTATCACCGAAACCGGGTGCCTTAACGGCGGCCACCTGCAGGCCGATCTTCAGGCGATTCACAACCAAGGTACTCAAAGCCTCGCCATCAATGTCCTCGGCGATAATGACCAGCGGCTTGCGCTGAGCATTGGCCAGCTCCAGGGCGGGAACGATGCTCTGCACCGAGGTGATCTTCTTCTCCGAAAGCAAAAGCAGGGCGTTCTGGAACTCCACCTTGGCGCCCTTGGAAGAGTTGATGAAATAGGGCGAAATGTAGCCGCGATCGAACTTCATGCCTTCGATCACCTCCAGCTCGTCGTTGAGGGTCTTGCCATCCTTAACAGTGATGACACCATCGCGCCCGACCTTCTTCATGGCCTCGCTGATCAGGTTGCCGATGGCCTGGTCGCCGTTAGCCGAGATGGTAGCCACCTGGGCGATCTCCTCCGGTGTCTTGACAGTGCGCGACATGGCCTTCAGGTTGTCCTTAACCGTCTCCACAGCGAGCATGACGCCCCGACGAATCTCCACGGGATTGGCACCCTTCGAGATCTTCTCGAAGCCCTCCTTGGCAATGGCACGGGCCAGAACGGTTGCAGTGGTGGTGCCATCGCCAGCCTCCTCATTTGTGTTGTTTGCCACATCCTGGACCAGCTTGGCGCCAATGTTTTGGAACTTATCCTTCAGCTCAATGGACTTGGCCACCGTAACGCCGTCCTTGGTGATCTTGGGCGAGCCCCACGACTGCTCGATGATCACGTTGCGGCCCTTGGGTCCCATGGTCACGGCCACGGCATCGGCCAGCACATCGACACCCTGGAGCATCATGGCGCGCACCTCCGGCCCGAACTTGACGTCCTTGGCATAGCCGCGCATGGCCAGCTGGCGGCTGATGGAGGTGCGAGCAAGCGAAACTGGCAAACGGAACATCTGTGGAGGAGACAAAGAGACAGAGGCGTGGCAGGAGTATTAGTGAGGGGGGTGGGTAACATAACACGTGCTCTCTTCGACCCGCAGGGAGACCCATTTGTGTCTTTATTTATTCGTTAAATAGTGATAAGCCCGAGTGGCGTTCCAAGCGGGTCAAAGTACAGTGCGGCTCTTTTGGAGGGGTTTCAATAATATATAAATATATGTCTAATTATGTTTTCAAACTAAATTAATTTAACCCATATAAAGGGATATTTATCCAGTTGGAATGTCTCCTCTGCTTCCAATAAGAGTAAACAATGGAGAAAGTGCTTTAAAATATATTTTAAATTGAAATTAATAGAATTAAATTTGATTCAATTATTTTCTACCTAGGTGTTGACTATTATTTTTAAGGATGATGAAAGAAGGGAAGTATTTTTTGAAATCTTCACATGTTTTTTGTCTGTTTATGGGTTACGACATCCATTCCGAGGGCTTTCCTGTATATTTTCCATTACTTAACTTTTCCAACTAAAGCTCCTGTCTATTTCAATTGTTAAAAGTCCCGTAGCGAGGCTTCACTGTACCCGGCCAGGCCCCCCCTTAACAACAACATGAAAACGAAGCATCGCCTACCCCCTCCCCCATGGGACCACAGCGATAATTCCAGAAGAAATGATTTATGTAACCAGAGGTGGTTATACCGATAGATACACTCCGACCCAAGGGCTGATTACGAAATCTTGAAGTTCTTGGGCAGGAGGAGGTAGGGAGCGGCGAAGGAGGATCAGATCGCACCCAGAGCACATGCAATGGCCGCTGACAATGTGAAATGTGCCGGCAAACGGCCCAAAGAGAGAGAAAGAGAGCGAAGAAAAACATGTGCGCTGAATGGCAGAACTTTCTTCACAACTTTCTAGCCACTTTTTCTATGAAAACTGGCCAAAACACAGTTAATACGGTACAGAAGCAATCGCTGGGTACACCTGCTACTAATCAATAGGTGGAACCTTCTGGAAACACGATTTTTGCCGGCAGATTGTACTCGTTCGCTTATATAACCCGCACACTTGCACGCAGCTTTCAGGTTGCGCACACTCGAGACACACACAAAAGAGGGGGGACATGGGAAAACTTACTTTGAATAAAACTGGCGCTGCTTAGACTTTACAGGACAGGAAATAAAGCTCCGATTCTATTTGATGTAAAACAACCAAGTCACTTGCCCACAGGCGGTCCGGATTTCCTCTTTGAAAGTTGAAAGTGTGAACGAAGGGGCTGCACACAGGGATTTTAGTCGCGATATTTCATTTGATATTCTTTGATATTCTCGCCTTGGTCACTCTGTTTCAAAGTAAAACGTCAAAACGATGTTTTACATGCTTGGGGTCGAATTCTCGTTTTTGGGGTCGAATTCTCGTGTAGAGTGTAAAAATGTAAGTATATCAAAATACCGAAATCTCGATATTTGGTATTTTCTCCCTGGTCACTCTGAACTTCAAAGTAAAATGTCAAAACAAAGTTTTACATGCTTGGGGTCGAATTCTCATGTAGAATGTCAAATGTAAGTATAAAGTCTATACCGACGATCTGGCACTTTTGGTCGCTGGGACCGAAAAGTCTGGCAGCGCCGCGGCACGAGCGACCAGCGTTGCCAGACTTTTCGGTCCCAGCTAACAGTGCTGCCAGACTTTTCGGTCCCAGCGACCAAAAGTGCCAGATCAAAGTAAATCGCTTCATTGACTTTAAAATATCGATAATTTAACGGCGCCCACTATCACTCCAATTGGATCTTGTCAAAACATTCAATTTTTTGTGGGAAAAAGTAACGGTTTTAAAGCTTTATTTATTTGTATAGATTTTATGTTTTATATTTTACGAATTGCAGCCTATTCTCAATTCCCGCCACAATGATGCCCACTGAGTCCATGTAGTCCATCAGGGCGTCCAAGTCAAAAGGACCCAGTCTGCGGAAGAAATGAAAAGCAGTGCTCAGAAAAATCCTTTATACCAAAAGGGCAAACTTACTCTAAATCCTCGGCATTGTCACTGATCAAACTGAAGCCGTTCATGCCCCTGGCCAGGTAGTCCATCACCACCACTCGGTAAACTTCCTCAGGATCAAGGGGCCTGTATTCCGGCACCTGGCAACGGGAGCATCGAACACGGACGCTGGTGACCCGTTGACCTCTGGCGGCACTGAGATCGAAGAGGACGCGAAGTCCGGAGACCTGCAAAAAGCGTGTGGACCTAGGCGACGATGAGCTGGCATTCATGGACGCCACACCGTCCTCCAGTAGCTCTAGAATGATTTGGCCCCGAAGGTTCAAGGCGACCAAACGATTCTCCCAGGGACACATGGCCACCAGCTGTTTGTAGGTAATATCTACAAGATTTAATGACAAGTGCTATTATTAAAGGGAAGACCCTAACTCACTGCCAGCGGGAATCGGCACACGGAAAGTTCCTTGCGAGGTCAGGGCAATGGACACATCACTCCAGCTGTCGTTCACGGATGGAGAAGCATCTTTGAGGAACTGTCAAGGGGTTAGTTAGTTGCCAAATGACTCCTGGCCAGCACTTACCGCATGCAGCATGGCGTCGGTGAAGAAGTTGCCCAGGTTGCACTCTCCCCGGCTGCACTCGCTCTGCTGGAGGAAGACGCGGCTCTGGCCCACAATCCGATTGGACATGGTCTCCAGCTCGTGTTGCCACGGGACCATTGCTTCCAGGATGATGGCATCTTGAAAGGGAGTTGGTTAGGTAACAAGGATAACTCCCTCAGGAAAATTCTTAGTGTTCAACCCTCCCCAAAAAGGAAAAACTAGTTTTATAACTTTTAAAGGAAAGTGTTTACTTGGACCAATGCTACATAAATATTTTGTATTCCCCGATCAGTTGAGCACTGTGATGCGTCCCTCGAGGCCCTGGTAGATGGGATCAAAGTGGTCGCTGTACGAGATCAGGGCATCCAGGTCGGTGACGCCCCACCTGCAACAAGAAGGAAGCAGCTTGTGAATATCTGAGCCTAACGAGGAATGATCTTTTGATGGTACGTACTGGAGGTCTGTGCCCTCGGCCAACATTGTGTAACCATCGCCGCCTGCCTGCAGAAAGTTGGGCGAGGTGAGCCGATAGAGCTTGTCCATTATCAGCGGCTCGTACTTGGGCACCTGGCAATCGGCACAGCGCACCGCCACCGAAATGACCCGGGATCCGACGGGTTTCGTGTAGTCATACTTCACCCGTATGCCCGAGAATTGCAGGTTGATGTAGGAGCCCTTCACACCGTTCTCCAGATCCACCTTGCTTACGGCAAACTCCATGGCCTCCACTAGCTTGCTCCCAGGCAAATTGTAGGCCACCAAAGTGTTCTCAAACGGCGACATGCTGACAATGTGGGCGTAGGTGAGATCTGCGGTTAAGGTTGAGAATCCAATTCAGTAAAGAAGAACAGATCCTGGGCTGGATAGGTTACTCACTGCCCCTGTTGAGCGGCACACGGAGTCCACCGATGTTCATGAGTCCGGCGGACACATTTGTCCAGGCTTTTTCCTCATAGGAAGCCATTCCCACGAACTGCAAGCAAGCCAGGATGTTAAAGTTCGAATTCCTTGAGGCTCTTTTTTTCAAAACTCACCGAGTGCACCATGGCATCGCAGAAGAAGTTGCCCAGGTTGCACTCTCCGGCGGCACAGTCGTCCTTGGTAAGGTCCACCTTGCTGTGACCCACCACCACCTTGCCCGTCTCGTCGATGACCTCCTTCCAGGGCAGCATGGCCGCCAGGATTTCCTCATCTGCGGAGCACAATATGCACACAACACTCAACAAAAATCATCGCAAAATCAAATTGTACATGATAATTATTTGAAATATGGATACACTGAACACACATTCCATAAAAGAGTGTATATTAACCAGGACTTTTATCCAGGACACAAAAAAAAAGTGAGGCACACACAAAAAACCGAAATACACACAGAATTTACAGGAAAACGAGAAAGTTCAATAGTAAAAACTAATTACTTAAGGTATTTAACTATGGAATTTTGCCTTAATTAAATTTTAATTAATAATTAATAATGAAAATTAATAATATTAATTAATTATAATTTACAGTTCATAACTAATAATTAATTAAAAATAATTAATTATTTAATGTATGGATAAATAAAAAATGTAATCATTTATTAATGAATATTTAATTAATAATTAAAATAATTAAATAATAATTCATAATTAATTAATAATTAAAATATCTAATTAATAATTCATAATTAATTATAATAAATTAATTATTAATAATAAATATTTAATTAAATATTTATAATTAAAATTAATTTAATAATTACTTAATTAAATGCAATTCCTTAAATTTCCCCGCACTCACCTTCGGGCACCGACTGGTCCATATACAGGGGATTCCCCTCGAAGTCCAGCACATCCCCATTGTCATCAAAATAGACAACCAGGTTGCCCACATAGCGGGCATAGGCCGAGGCCTGGACAATGAGGACACGATGGCCAGAGCTGTGGACAACCTCAGTGGGATATGGTCCCGCGGGAGTGCTTCCGCTGGGCGGTGTTCCAGTATACAAAAGCGTATGCGAATGGGAGCCCACAATGACGTCGATCCAGTCACCGGCATTGGCCGCAATCTCCTTGTCCACCTCGTAGCCGCAGTGCGAGATCACAATGATGATGTTGGCGCCCTGGGCCTTCAGCAGCTGTGCTTCCTCGCGGATGGTGTCGCTCTCATTACGGAAGCTCAGCTTGCCGGTGTTAGCCAGATCCTGCAAAAGGATTACAACTTGCAAATGCTGTTTAGGAACCACATCCAGCTCTCACTCACATAGGTCGTCTCCAGGATAACGCCAATCAGACCGATCTTGCGACCACTGCGCTCAATGATCTTCGACTTGTTGTACTTGCCCTCCATGGTCGGCTCGTGGGCGCAGTCCATGTTGGCCACCAGCATGCTGGTGTTGACGGTCTCCAGAAAAGGCACCACGCCCTCAACACCATGGTCGAACTCGTGATTGCCCAGAGTCTGTGATGGATTCAATCTACAGACTATGAAGGTATGACAAGAAGAAGACCCAGACTCACCATGGCATCGGCGGGCAGGAGGTTGAGCAGCTGCTGGGTGACATTCCAGCGACCGATGTTGTACCAGAGCGTACCCTGGAAGCTATCGCCCGCATTGATGTAGATGGGATTCAGATCTGCCTGATCCTGCAGCAGCCGCCGGACGGTGGTAACAGTGCGTGGATAGCCGCCAATGCAGGTCTCGCCATCGTCACAGGTGCCGCCGCTGGTGTCCGTGGCCTCGAACCTGGTCAGAAATCGAAGCGGGGATTAACTCTGGAGTGGGGGACCGCGTGGACGAGTCACCGGGAACCGTATCGTTATCGGAATCGAAATCAGTACGTGATAGGCAATACTTTACGACCCGTATAAAGCGTTCCAATCTGATTACTTCTTACCTGGCGTGCAGGTCGTTAATATGGATTATGGCCACGGGAAAGCCCTCCTTGTCAGCCGCCTCCACGGGCCCCATCATTGTGGCAAGGAGTATGGCCACCAGTGGAGATATCATCATCATCATTGACCAGGAAGCGCCTGCCATGTCGTCAAAGGACTAGTCGCAGTCACCGTTAAAAGCAAAGTTGTCAAAGTCAAGTGCAGACCAGACCGAACCGATGGCCGTCGATAAGGCAACTGAATGGCCAAAATCGCCATCACTTCGAGGCCTGCAAAAAGCTGAATGGGGGCAGATCTGGACACCCCACCTTCTTCCGCGCTGATAAGCCCAGGTGAGTGCCTCCCAAACCGCACAGAGCGAGAAATTGTTTTGCATTTTTAATTTAAATTTAAAAAAATTCTTAACTTGTTTTGATTATCTCTTATATATCTTACATTTTTGGGTTCTAAGATGTCTTCTCCTTAACTTAAGGAATGCCTTTAACTTCCTTTGTTGTTATATTCTGTTGATATTATAAAACCTACAGGTATTAAATGTTTACAGTGCAAGCTCCTCTCTTCGCCTCGGGGTTTGTTGGTTAACTATAATATTTAGATCAAATTGTAATTCGAAATATTTATATAATATTTAAGGTTTTATAGCTCTAAACTCCTCTTTATATATTTTTACAGGGTAGCCTTAGGGCACTTAATGATATGCACTCATTGATCGATCGCCGATAAGCCGTTTTCATGATGAAAGATATGGGAAAACGGATACGGAGGCGCCACTCCAGTTATATACACTTGAAACAATACATGTGTTACATACGCTCTCTCCACTCGATGTTCAAGTGGCTCCAAGAACAACAACCTCCTCCTCCGCCTTCACCACCTCCATGTTTATTACGCGCAAAATATATGGGCGTGGGAGCGTGAACAGGCAGCTGATAGCTCCGCCATATTCCTGGCATTCCAATTTGGTTTATAGCACCATTGACTTACCATAGAGAGCCACCGGTATCTGTACTATCTGTATCTCTGGATTGGCTGGCAGTCATCGTCGGCCGAAGATAATACCAGGCATTATCGCGGCCCCATCGAGATTCCAAATCCCACTCAGGATCGCTTGCCCCAAGGTTAATAAATAAACTGCTCTTGCTTAACTTTTAAATAAGACACAACAAAAAGGGTTTTGTCTTTTGGCTCACCTCACTCATCATGATCACAATCACAGTGCAAGTAATGACACCTTATCTGAGAAACCTCCATATTTTGCTTAATGGGAGTTAAGATGTAGGTGTATGCTGATACCTTGATAAGCTGAGCCAAATTTTTAATCAATAATAAGCCGCAGAAACACTTGAGATTTTACATTGATTTACAAGGAATTACAAAACAATAAAGATAGAAGAGGGTTTAAAGGTTGCTTTAAGAAACCCAATAGCAAACCTTTTCTGCCTCACTCTTCTGAAAGAACCCCATGCATAACCATTCGTAATAATTGTACATATCTTTCTTTCTGTATAAAATAAGTACAATGATTTATTTTGATTCTCATTGACAATAGATTTAGAGCTCTTCGTGGATTACTCGTAGAGGTATAAAGCACATTATGCATGTAAGTATGTATGGTTTGTCTGTATATATATATATATATAAATATATATATACTATGTAGATGTCAGCGCAAATATATTATATATAGAATGTATGTGTATATGTATATAATATAGATTGTATATAAATATAATGTATTTGTAATATATGTCTGTGTATATATAAGTATCAATGTTTTTTTTTTGTTTGTTAAGTTAATTGCTTAGCGTAAAGCACAGAGAATTTTGATATGAGAATGGCTGTGAACATTCCTGCATGCATGAGGCCTCGGTCTCCAACTCCCACTCCAACTGCAGTCCCTCCTCCTCCAACTCCTCCTCCAACTCCAACACAAAGGCAACAATGAAAGAACTACGAAACGTAAAAATCATCGAAAAACAAGTGACTAGAATTGTGGTTTAACTCTCTCCCTGATTTGATTGAGCATTGATTCGGTGTCAAGTGCGTAAACCTAGTGAAAGACGTCCATAAACGGAAAGTAGGCCTGCTCCGGCTCCAGTAAATCCACCAGAAAGCAAACGGTGCCGGCCACACCCTCGTATAGGCTGTGCGGACGATCGGGTGTGCGGGCGCGTTGCTTGAATTCCGCATCCGTTAGCAGCTCCATGAACTTGTGAGCCCGGTATATGTACTTCACCTCATTGGTCAGCCGGAACAGAAGCAGGAACACATAGCCGCTGCCAGCAACGCCGTGGCAAATGCCCGGTCCCTTGCGCAGGAAGCCCTTCTTCCACACCAGATCGGCCGAGCGTCGCAGCGATTCCAAGTACTTCTCCTCTTTGAAAATCAAATAGGCCTTGGCCATTACGTAGACAGCGCCGGGAGCACCGTGACACCAATGCACCAGACGCTTTTCACGGCCCGAGCGCAGATCCTCCAAAGCCACGGGAAAATTACCCTCGTCGTCCTGCAGCTCGAGGAAGAAGTCAATCGAGCGCTTAATGTCGCGCAGCTCGGCGGCGGGCGCCGAAATGGGAACGGTGCGGAACCATGGGCTATCCAGCAGCATGTGCAGAATGGAGCACAGGCCGTGGGCAGCGCCCAGATACTCGGTACCATGGTACTGATACATCAACGGCAGCGGTGAGTGATTCATCTTGCTGTATTCCCGACCACTGGTCACTATTAGCTGGCAAATGGAGATCAGGTCGTCGTCGGTGATCTTCTTCTCGGGCAGCACATCGTTCAGCCAGTAGCAGCCGGATAGGTAGCCGGCACGTCCGACCAGCACCTCGTCGCAGCCGTATTTTGTGTGCATGAACTCCTTGCTGGACGGTATGCCCGACTTGAAGTCGGCCAGATCGTTGGACAGCTCCTCGGTGTCCTTGAGAGCCTGCGAGATGGCCGCGGAGACGGCATAGATGCCGGCATTGCCGCACAAAAACGAGTAACGCTCGGCGGAGCGCTTCTTGTACCGCTTGGCATTGGCCTTGGCGTTCCGGATGAAAGCGGAGGCATGTTCCAGGGCCGGATAAAGGTCACGTGTCTGCTCACAACTGGCCAGTTTCCAGAACATGAAGGCTATGCCGGCGTTGCCCACATACAGATCGCCGCGTTGATCGTCGTCGCCATTGGGATGACAGTGCTCCAGTATGGCGTCCACATAGGTGCAGATCAGGTTCTTGATGTGCTCCTCATCGCTGGCAAACGGTGTGCTCTCGCCGCCGGCGAAGTCGGGAAAGGGATTTTTCAAATAGCGACGCTCCATGTCGCTCTCTTGGACAGGATCTGTCCGCTCCTCCACTGACGATGTTGTCGTGGTCAACTGGTTAACTTTTGCTGGTGTTGGTGCTCGACTGGCAACGGCAGTTGCTGGGAAAAAAAAAACAGATGCCGGGGTTAAGAAATCGATTTGCCGGCTTTAAGGGCGCGGCCGGGCGTCTGGCCTCCTCCACCTCCTGTCTGCTCTGCCGGCACTCACCTGTCTCAGGTGCGAAGGGCAGTTTTCTAGCCTTCGACGAGTATCTCCTGGCGATAGGGCGAGCCTGCGGAAATTACGGATGTAATGCTAATCGTATTTCACAATATTTTCGAACAAACAAATTTACAATTGTTGATGGATGACGACGAGAGTGTCGACTGAGTGTGAGAAGTTGTCGGCCTTGGTAAAGGTTTGGAACCGTTGACACCTCGTGCACAGCCACCTGGATGCAGCAAACGGAGAATATCAAATTTGTATTTTTGGCCTGGCGAGAAACTACGAAAATTCCAATTGGACTCAAAATTGTCCTGGGCTCAATGTTGCTTGAAGCTCAGTGTGACCGCGCCGATAACGATAGAAACAGGAAACGGTAAATACCAATTAAATACTATCTTAACCAGGGATCGTAAGAGTTAAAATTCTTACGATAAAAATCATAAAATACAAGTTATGTATTAATTATATAGAAAAAAAAATGAAATAATACTTAAAATAAATAGTAAATATAAAAAATATATATACATTTTTATATAAAAATAGAATAATAACTTATTTTTTAAAAATAAAAAATTTTAAATAAAAATTATTTTCCAATTTTTACTTCAACTACTGCTGGATACCAACTCATCTTTAATTAATTTTTGTTATTTTTTATCTAAATAACTTTCAACCAATGAATTCAGTCAATTGCTGGTATTTTTTAATATCCTAAAATATTAAAAAAAATGTTTTTGTACATTTAAAAAACATATATTCAGTTAAATAAAAAATAACGCTGCTATTATAACAATTGGTAAAATACTACAAATACTGAGAAGTTAATGATGCTTATCGATAACCGATTAAAAAGCCAGGATTCAGGATCCATCTTTAAACTTGCGAATTTTGGCGCAATGCCACTTCCTTCTGTTCCTTGTTTTTTAACTCTTGTAATATATTTTATCCATAGCTTTTTCTACAAATATAAACTCTAGGAACTTGTTTTCTAATCCATTTCCCCCTCTTATCGTTGCACACAGCAAAATATACATGCTTAGCTCAAATTGCTTTATTTATAACAAGTTTTTAACTATTTATAATATATATATATCATAACATCACAAGTCCTTGTTCAGGCTTCACCGGCGCTGGCCACCGCCACTCAGGATGGAGACGATGCGGATGAAAATGTTCAACACATCCATGTAGATGGACATCGAGCTGCAAGCACAATTTACGGGATAATTAAAGAAGATTCGAACATTCTGGGGTGATCAACTCACGCATTAATGGGATCGAAGGGAGCATAGCCGTACTGCGGGTAGACCTCTGCCTTGCGCACCATCCTCTGGGTGTCGTACAGCAGGAAGCCGCTGAACAGGACTAGGCCGCCATACAATGACATGGAAGCCAGACCTGCAGGGAAGGAAAAGTAAAGGAAAATGTTCCCAAATATCCCATATTTCATGATGAAATTCAACACTTACCAGCACCCAGCATCGTGGTGGGCGGCAGCCACATGGAGGCCAGCGATGAGGCAAAGACCACGCCCAGACCAATGGCCAGAGGGCCGCCCATGTACAGGAACTTGTCGCTGGGGGCACACGCGGCGATAGTGGACAGGCCACCAACAATGCCGCCCGTATACAGGGCGGCACGTGTGAGGATCGGACCGCCCACAAAGCACAGCGGGGCAATTACGGCGCCCAGAATGGCGCAGTGCACAGCCCAGGCCAGGTGCTTGGCTCCCAAACCGGGTTGGTATTCAATGGAGCGGGCCACGGCACCGCTGCCAATGACTAGCGCCAGCGAAGCGAATGTGGCCTGTCCGAGGGAAGTGTCATGGATGTGGGAATTATGTTAGCTAGTGTGATTTTTGGCTTGGATAGAGTCTATTTTGGAGCCTCTTCTCCTTAGTTTTTTCACTCACCAAGAGACCGCCACGCGAGGCCAGCTCCAGAAGACGATGCGAACGAAAAACGGCAGCTGCCGAGGCTGCGGTCAGGAGACAGGAGCCGCCAAAGAAGGCATAGGTGCTCTGGATGCGATCCCTCACATACTGGGGCCACATGCTGAGGAAGAATAAATATTATTTAATTAAATAAGGAAATGCTAGCTGCACTCACATGGCATTGTCGGCAATGCTGGTCTGCTTGCCCAGACCCACGCCGTAGTAGCACAGAGCACCCAAGCCCACGGCTGCTGCTCCGGCAGCGGCGCCCTTGCCCATGGAGTATGCTGGAATACACAAGATATACACCCAGGTGATTACACAACGGAGACTAGCGAGGCAAGGTCGCCTGTATAACCTTACCATTGGCACCGGGCGGACCCATTAGCTTCTCCTTCAGGGTCGGAGCACGCAGCTCCTGAGCCTGCTGCTGCTGCACGGGAGCACGGCTGCGGACCGGACCACGGGCATAGGAGCGCACGAGGCCGAGGCTGGGCTTGGCCTTCAGCAGCTGCGAGGATTGAGCCAGGAGGCTGACACTGCCGGCCGGACGGGCGGCAGAGAGGGCAAGGCGCAGCAACATTGTGTTGTTGTGATGAAATTCGCGGACGCAACGGATTATCTACTTTGCGTGAGTGTTCTATGTGCTCCTTCGGATTTCGCTGAGGGGCAGTTGCTGCTATTCGTTTGTGACTTTAAATCCAATTTGCGTTGTTTGTTTGGTTTCAGAAAAACAAAATACAATTTCGTTTCGTAGCAAGTTCTAGCAATTCGATAGGGATGGCGATAGGCGATAAAAAACAATACAAAAAAGCGGAAATGCCATCACTGGCAAATAGCACTATCGATACAATTAATGTTTCGTCCGTAAAAACATCGACAAATCGATAGTGGAAACATCGTTCTTTTTGTCAGCGATGGCGATAAGGCGATATCGATGGCATACTTGTATATCGATAAGCCGAGACTAAAGTATCGATAGGTTGGCGCCTACTTTAAAAGTTAAATGGAAATGAGTTTAAGAGCTGATTTCATTGTTTCTCTAATTTTCTGGTGAAATTAAAACTGTGTTTTTTTTCAAGCTACCTTTTATTCCCATAATAATTACACATCTGCAGCTACAAACTAAACTAATCCTAAGAAGCTCTCTGCCACCTGTCCTTTCACACCTGATATTTGCGCACGGGCGCCGTGGGAGTCTCCGCCTGAAGCGGCCGTTGGCTAATCATAATCACCTCGGTGAGATGGGTATTCAGCAGGGAGCCGTATTGGTTGTAGGTGTTGGTCTGCTCCAACGTTCCTCCGGCATGCGTCTCGTAGCTCTTGCACTCGTACAGGGGACAGCAGCGCGGATAGTCCAGACCCGTTTCCTTGGGCGGAACTGGCTTGCAGTCGCCTTTCTTGAGATTTGGCACTTGGCAGCTGGTAAAAGGGGGTTAAATTATAAGGAGTTCCTTGATTTCCTAATTTAAATGAGACTCACCTGTCCTCCCAGAGCTGCAGTGTTCCCAGACACTGGACCCTGACGCACTGGCCCGGTCGTGTGAACACCTCACCCACATACAAGCTGTGGCCAGTTAGGGTATCCATACAGAATTGTGGATTATACAAATAAGACGGAGCTATTGGGGGAAAATTATTATAATATAATTATTAAAACAAAACTAAATAAAATTATATTATATTGTAATCCTACTTGGTCATTTTGGTTACTTTTTAATCTTTAGTAGTTATATTTTAACATATTTTCTATCCTTTAAATCACAAACATAACAAATTAAATTTAAAAAAACCCTTTATTGCTAAAATTATCTATATTTTAAATAAATCCCTTAAGATTTCAGTTCTTTCTTTTCTTGTCATTTGTATCTGCGTTGTATCTTGTATCTTTGTATCCGAATTCTGCAGCTGAACTATTTGAACTATCATTATCCTTGCTCCTTACAGCGATAGGGCAGCGATGCTGCCTGGCTCCCTCCGATGACGGTTAGTGATATTAGCAGGACAATGTACTTGGACTCTATCATCTTTCTGGGATATATCAAGAGATCGGCGGAGAGACGAGAAGAATAGAGAGAATGGCCCGACGTTTGCAAAGTTTAGCGCACAACTGAGGTCCGCGGTCAATCTTTTTCATTTCTATATTAAAAAAAAAAAACACTAAGTGCCAGTGTGTGAGTTCGCGAATCATTTGCGCGCTTTCTCTACAAATGAAATTAACAATTTTTATGGGTGTGTTGAGGCCCAGGGACAGTGCGTTTCATAAATAAATGAAATTACGAATTTAACAGATTTTTTTATAAGCAGCAAAACTAAATGTTTAAAATGAAGCAATGCATGAAAACAAACTTAGCATAAATAACTATTAAGCAAGGATATAAAAAAGATATAAAATGTGAATATTATTAAAACTTTAATAAATTTTAAAGCTTAAATAATCAGTTTTTCTTTCCTTTAGTAAAGTGTGGTAAATTGCTTATTAAATATTTGGCCAGACTTACTGCCTTGTTACGCACTGTACGATGCCGTGCTTATCGCCTGGCGGTAAGAACAACAACATTGATTCAGCGCAATATGCAAAAAGAAATAAAATATCGGTCTGACGTTGGTGTGTGTGTGCGTGTCCGTCTGACCTGTTGTCTATCAGCTCGTATATTCCCACTGTGAACAGTCGGGGTCGTGTTAATATATACCTCAATCTTCTTAAGTTCTTTGTAATCCTTTTCTGGTTCAAAAATCCTTATTAAATAGATTATATTTAACTTTAAATATAGAATCCAGGTAAGATTTATAAGTAAATCTTTTGTAATAGTATTCACTCCATTTTGACCGCTGCTGTGGATTTGTATCTGCGTGCTTGGCTCTTTGAAGTTCATTTTTGAAGAAATTGTTTATGTTTTGATTACGTTCGATGGAAGGTCTCTGACTACCAGCTCCCAGCAATTGGTTCACCACCAAGCATCCATTGCCATTATCACCATTAACCGGACAGTGGGGCACTGGGGCAGCGATGACTCACCGCCAGTGTATGTTTTCCTGAATAAAATACACCAAATTTTGCACTTCGTAATTTCGAGTCAGTTTTTACGATCTTATATATTTTGGAAATTTTAAAACACAACAAAAATTATAATTTGCTATAGGTTTCAAATCCCATCATTAATATTATTTAGATTTAAATTATGTATATCCTAAATGTAACTAAAATAGACTTTAAGAAACCCTAGCATCATCCTAGCAATGCACAAGTCTTCATTAGTTCAGCAAGTTGCTTACATTTTGTAAAATTCACTAAGCCTAGTCTTTTCCGGGGATTACCCCTTATTAAAATCTAATCCGGAATCTGATTTACACGTGAAGGCGGCCTGTGTAATAACCCATAACCCCAAAGTCGTTACGAATCCATTCAGAATTGCCGGCCAAATGCGATAAGCTCATCGTCATGTGTATGTGGCGTTGTCAGTTGGTGTCTAATCAATTCTAAAAATTCTTCAAAAGATTTCGAACGAAACTGATGATGAACCTGCCCGGTGTCCGCACGAGTGAAACTCTTGCAATGCTGCGGGGACACTGTTTCCGGCGGCCAAATCCCAGCCGGAAACGGAAACTGTCACACGAAAGCCTTGTTTACCTTTGCCACTTCACTTTGGGTAAGGACCGCCAGGGGTGGTCATCAAGCAGGGAAATGGCTTGCCTACTTTTCTCTGTTTCGGTTTAATCTCTCTGGTTCAATCTATAGAAATATTGTATATTTTTAAGCTCACCAAGTATTATTAATTATTTAACAAGAAATATGTGACTTGTATTTAATACATAAACAGGTATTATTAGTGTTTATTGATGTAAAATTGGAATTAATGTGTTAAGAATTTCAGGCGTAAAGAAAAACAATTGTTGGGCTTATTTAATTCTCTTAAAATTTAAATAGGTATTTAGGGGGTTTTTATAACTTTTTTCCCTAGATATTAACTTTCCAATTCAATATTTTTTTTTTGAAAATTTCTTCTTGCGTATTCCTGATTAAATTTAATTATTTTCAAGCTTCTACAGGAGCATGTGATCAATTAGCAGCAATAATAAATTTGTTGGTAATGTTAAAACTTAGTTCTCATAGTGATTCAGCTTTTTTTTGTTTAGTGAAGAATATAGCGGCAAAAAGCGGTCAAGCCACTTGATTTGGCCTAATCCTGACCGTATTATTATTTTTTTCTTTAATTTTAATATTTTCTAAAATTATTTAATTTATACTTTTATATATTATATGCACAATTTTAATTTTAATATTATTCTCAATATTTTATTATTCATTGGAGAATCGGAATAAATATAAGACAATCACAGGCTTGAACTTAAGAAACTAAAAAAGTTATTATTTTTTAAAATTATTTTAATATATTAATTATTAAATAATGAATTAATTAAATACTCAATTATTCTTAGATACAATTTTTTTTTATAAATTAAAATTTGAAAAAAAAACATAACTAAGTATTGTCAAATCAATTAGGTACCTATGATAACTTATAAAAAAAAATAATAATTAAAATAATAATAATAAAAAATCAATATAATAGATAAATGCAAATGAATAAAATAAATACGCGAGCCCAAATCCATTAAAATATACTTTTAAAATCATTATTATTTCAAGAGTATTCCCCCGATCAATGCGGAGGGCAACAGAGTTCAGAGTTGACCCGTTGAACTGGATAACTGGATGCAGTTCTTCTTTTATTTTAATGTATTTTGGGGGTGCCCTTGCCCGTGACGTGATCGTCAAAACGAAGCTTCATGGGTTTCCGAAGCCAACCGACTTGACTTGTTGATCGGTGATCGTTGCCTGGTGCTCGGCTTTCATCTCGTTTCTCCAACTGGGGGTTGGACTTGGACTTGGGTTTCGGTTTCGGCTTCGGTTGGGGCTTGGTTAAAAAGGCCGCCGCTCGCCGGCAAATCAGTTCTGCTCCGATCGCGCCACTGCGCAGTACGTATACGTAACGCGTGAGAATTCCGCTTAAAAATTCAGATATCAGCGGCATTTCGTCGAGTGAGTTGCGCTCTTTTTACTCTCACACTGAAAGCAGAAAAATATAAATAATATAAAATAATGACAAAAAAAAAAGAGGTGTAAAACCCCCTAAAAGGATATGAATCTTCCGTAAAAAGAAGCATTTCAATTTTGAATATAAATATTATATGAACAAAAATTCTCATATTTTTTTTTCGGTGTAAGATGAATATCTGAGGTTCCTAGCTTATGCAAAATATGTTAAATATTTTATTAAAAATATATTTGCCTTGTGATTTTCTGTTTAAAACTCATCGGGATTGTGTTAAATAATAGAGAAATATACAGAAATGACCTTAATTTTTTCCAGTGCCGTGTGGTGAAGTACTAGCTGTTAACTCGAGGCAACAACTGCAACAATAAAATGCAATTAAGCTGCTCAAATCAACAATAAATTGAATTAAACCGCGTCAACTGCGCTTAACAACTTCAACAACAAGCGTAGAGCGATACATGTGGGTGCGATTCTCCCTCTTTATCTCTCCAACTTCGGCTGATAAAAATCATGATAAATTATATAAATAATAATAATAACAAAACATCAACCCTTTTGACCCTTCCAGTAATTAATGCAAAACGCTGGCCGGCATTTGCATAAAGTTTCTCTGAATAACTTTGATGCAATTAATCCGCTGTGATCTACCATGTTTCCACTAGTTTATTTAATTTTATTTTCAATTTATTTTGCGTTCGTCGGGCGATTTAATTAACATTTTCTGTACTGCCACGCCACGCTGCTTGTTGTTCCTGGCAAATATGAAATTAAAGTGCAATTAACTAGGGGTTTTTTAAAATATGTTTTGTTTTCGTTGTTTTTTTTTGCGGCTGAAAGGGATTTTCGTTTGAAAGCGACTCGGCGCTTTGGTTTTTGCATCTTAATGAGGATAAATTTGTTATGCGGCTAGGATTTGTGTTTGTTGTTGTTTAAATAATACGTGACTTTATTGGCCCTGCTAATAGAAATGGTCCTGAGCCTGATCTCTGATCCTTATCTGTAAGCCACAATTGCTATATAAATTCTTTATAGAGAAACTTCAATTTTACTTGTCTAAAATATATACAAATCCCAGTTTACGAGGCTATAAAGAAATATTTACAAGGTTTTATATGTACATATATCATTTTCGTTGAGGGCTCTCAGTTCAGCTTTTAAATTGATAATAATAGGTTTTTAATTCTTAAGAACAGGTTTCCTTTTTACTTGGAATTAGTAATCAAATTCAAAAAGTTAATGAAAAATTAAATGAATTTATTAAAAAATATGTATTTTTACACAACAATTAAATTTTAAGCACGGGAGTGAGAGTTTTTAAGACAATAAAGTGGCTTTTCTGTCAGGCAACATTGTTGCCAGGTGTTGCTCAACATGTGCCTAGTAATATTTTTCTGGCAACATATGCCTATCAACCTTTTACGCCCTGTTAAATGCAAGTTTTTATAGGATTTTCGCCATTAATTAGAAATTTTTGGTGAAGGCTTGCTTGTTTTTAAGTTCTTAAATAAAATTAAGGCTTTCAGTTCAAAGTTGTTTTTGAAATAAAATCAATATGATAATTAGCTAATGCAGCTTACATTGGTTTTTTGACTTCTGAATTTCGCTTGTCTCGTTCTTTCAGTTTTTTGTTTGTTTTGTATTTTGTTTTTTTTTTTATTGACTTTAACGACCGATTCTGGTTTTCGGTTCGTTTCAGTTTCGTTCGGCGCTAAAATGTAAATTGGTTTGAGGAAAACACAGAACAAAAAAAGCAAAGACCGAACGATAGAAATTCGAGAATTTCGATTTTCGAATTGCGAACCCAAAGCAGCAACGAGGTGAAGGTCAAGCGATGACTATGTTCTGGCACAATGAGGATCAGCAGACAACGGATCAGCAACAACAAAAGTCAAAGACCGCCGCATCCACTGCCAATCCCGCCAAGCGACTAAACATTAGCTTCAATGTAAAGATTGCCGTGAATGTCAACACCAAGATGAGCACCACGCACATCAACCAGTCGCCGCAGCAGCAGCAGCAGCAGCAGCCCAACTCCAAGAGCACCTATTCACCCAGCAAGATCGTGGTGCAGCAACAGCATCACGGCGGCACCTTCGATCTCCGCCAGCAGCTAACCCGGTTGGGTCGTCAGCTAACCAGCGGCCAGGATGGTCATGGTGGCATATCCACGGTTCTTATTGTAAATCTCCTCCTGCTCATCTTGCTCTCCATCTGCTGTGACGTGTGCCGCTCCCATAACTACTCAGCTCCGCGCAACGGTCCCGAGCCCCTGAAGGAGCGGCAACTGGGCCTGCTACGTCCTAAGCTGGACAGCGATGTGGTGGAGAAGGTGGCTATCTGGCACAAGCATGCCGCCGCAGATCCGCCCAGCATCATTGAGGGAATAGCCACTTTAGGAAGCAGACTTATCACAGTGTCTCCTTCGGAGCAGGAGGAGGACAAGGAGCAGGGGCAGGAACAGGAACAGGAACAGGAACAGGAGCAGGTGCAGCTACAGCAGCATCAGGGCGTCGACGAGCGGATGATCCTTGAACGTGTTACCCGGGAATGTGTCCAGCGTTGCATTGTGGAGGTGAGTGGCCTTTATTTCTCACTAAATCGAATTAAATAAAGTTTAAAAATTAAAGAAAAAGTAAATATAAATGAATATAACCTAATTAAAATTAACATGTAATACTATATTGAATATTTCTTTGAAATTGGATGTGTCTTAATTGATTCCTTCTGTAAGTAGCTGGAAATCAAGACCTCAGTAAAACCATAAACTATTAAACCATTCATAAAATCAAGTTGGAAGAGTTGTTAAAGTAATTATTAAATAAAAAACTTCAAAATCGTTATAGGTTATATAATTATTTAACATTTATTTAAGTCTCAGGCGGAGCCTACGACGATCAGTCATCATTTGTCACCAAAGAAACTGACACTCGAACTCGTTGTACGAAATCTTTATCTCTAGTTTTGCATATGTCAACAACTATAATCAGCAAAAACAATTTTAAAAATAAAAAATAAGCCAAAATAAGTTAAAAAACTAACTGAACAAATAGAAAACAAAACGTTTTCGTCTTCAATGGCCTTCAAACATTTGCTAAATCATCACGTACCATGAAAGATACAAAAAAGTATCTTATGAGTATAGATACAAAAGAATCTTATAATTAGAGATACATATGTATCTTTAGGTGACACTCTTTTAAAATAAATAATTCCATATTTTCTGGGGAGCTCCTTGTTTTTATTATTAATATTCTTACCATAAAATAAAGCCGTCAAATATTTTTAAATTGCCTACAAAATAGATGATTAAAATAAGTCTAAGCTTTAACTCTAAAACTAGCTTTTTTTGCCATGTTCTAAAGTTCCTAGAAGCAAAAATTATTAAACTGTATTATTATTTCCTAAAATCCTTAGGTTTCTAAAGTAAAAATTGAAAAAATTTCAAAAGCAAACAATGTCGGAAAGCACTGTATTTAAAACCCAAATCAGATACATTGTTATCTCCTTTTTTGGGGGCGGGCTAATAGTTGCCTCCATTTACTCAAATAGAGCGTTCTTCTGGGCGGGCCCAACTCTTTTCAGACTTTACGGGCTGCGGTTAAACGCTCCCTCTCACGCAGACGCTAATTAAGTGATACTATGTGTGTGTAATTGAAGATCGTCAAGTCCGCTAATCACGGACTGGGCATCATGGACTGTGGGAGGTGGATGCAATGACATGGAATGCCTGGCCAGAGTTGACATTCCAATTTGCGGCATTCTGGATTAGAGTCGGTGGCATTATTTGGGTTAGTTCATCAGGTCTTTATTGCAATTTGCATATAGCAAGTGGGTTGCACATCGGGCGATGTCGCCGCCTGCCCTCATTCTGTTTGCATTAACTTTTACCTCCATTTAAATTAGTTTTCTATTATTTAATTTTATAGAATTTTTACATAATCTCCTTGCAGTTTACAGGATGAGTAATTAAAAATTTGAAAAAAGTGTAATTATGCAAGCGCTCGGCTACGATATACATTTTGTTTTGTTTATTCAGTAAATACCATATGTTGTTTAGGGCGAAAGTATATGTAGAAATTTAATTATTTTAGAAGCCATTTCATATTAAATAATTAAATTAGAAATATACAAAATGTATCAAATATTAGCTTGGCTTTAAAAAAATTAATATTCATTTGTTTTTTCCTTAAATTAAATTGTTTAAAAAATCCTAGACTAAAAACTTTAAAGTCTATTTCTATCTCTCTCTAAAATACTCAGCTTACAGCGGCAAACGATAGATGGCGCTGGTTAGAGTGATGGGCTCAAGTTCGATGATGATAATCAGTATATATTTCGCTGAACAAAGCGTTTTGTTTACTCAAAACTGTGTTAGTGTGTGGCATCAGCATTTATGCATCCATATATGGTATGCATATATGTACATATGCGTGTGTAGCGGGAGTAAGCTGCATGTTAATCAGTGGCTCCGACTTGCACTTCATTCATTAGCAGAGCGCCATGGTCGACACCCGACACCCGACACCCGACACCCGACAACCGGATTGCCAATTAAAATTAATGATAACCCAGCGATATCTGTGATTGCTATCAATGAGCTGGCAAGAATAGAGATTGGATCGGGAATGGGGGAATAGCCGGGTATTATTGTTGTAATTAATGCCAGCGGCAGTTTAGGACTTGAACAAAGTCTTTAATTTCACAGGTTAGTCTTAGTTATTAGGGTCTTTAAATGGTTTCTTAAAAATTGATATAAGTATATTTGACAGGTTCCTAGTCGAGTATGTTATATGTTTAATATGTACTTTTTGTTTAAAATTAAATTTTTATATTTTATTTGAAGACATTCCCTTGTAAAAATATTGAGATATTTCCCAAAAACTGCAGGGAAATAGTTTTAATATTTTATTTTATTAAAGTAAAACCTTAAAGGTTAACTTTAATTTTTACTTTTAGTTCTAAATGTTATATCTAAATTTTTAATATATTTCATTTATGCAAAAAAACGTATTAATAATTTGATTTAATTATTTTAAATTTTTATTTTAAATTTTCATAATTCTTTTCAATATTTTCCCTTTAATTTAATTTAATTTTATATTCTAAACGCTTCAAATATTTATTTTCAAGACATTTTCCAGCACAAATATTAAATAATTCCCCCCGACAACCCACATGGGAATTCCGTTAATCATGTTAATTAATCATTTAATTATGACCAAACGCCGGTTGGAAATTAAAGCCAATTAGAATAATGTTAAATGTTAAAAAGTTACGCATAATTGTCGTTTCGTTTATTCAAGTTCCGCTTGTACTTAGCCTCGTAGTGACTTCAACTAATCATTTAAGCCGCTGGGCTGGGCCACTTATCCCCCGGTCTGGCTAGACCAAATTAGAGCAAACCTCCGTGTTCCAATCGGCAACTGGATTTCGCATAACCCAGAAAGGCGATGCTGCCTGGTGGCGAACAAAAGAAATTTCATTAAGATGTTTTGCCTTGCCTTATTCTCGCATCGAGAGCGAGCTAAATGTTTAGCCAATTTATGTGTGCTCGCATATGTAGGTGGACCCACAATTGGGGTCAGATTAATAGGACTATCTGGGGGTTTTAATGGATTTGAAATGAATTTTATATTGAATTCAAATTCTTATACTTTTTAGGCAAAGTTTTGAGATATATTTAAATATATTTGTTATTACACAACCTTTAGTTTTGGAAAAAGTAAATTAATTACGTTTTTTGTTTATGTACCAAGGCTAAAATATAGCATTTCCTTTGTTCTTTATAATAACATATAATTTACATATATTTTAATTCTTAAATTATTAGTTTTCTTGTCTTAAATGAACCAATAAATATAATTAAAATACTGTTAACGCTAAATGTATTCAATAAAAAAACATTTTTAGGCACTAAGCAGAGAGAACTTCATATTTTAATAATACTTATTATCTATTAAATTTACATTTTATATTACTATTATTATATATTTTTCCTATTTTAAAACTTTTGGTTTTTAATTCATATTTTTTTATTACTTACAAAATATAATAATTTTAAATATTTAAAAAAAACAAAAAGCTATTCTAAATGTAACCTCTACTGTAAGCGCACACAAGTGTATTTTCTTTTGGCTCGGTTTTCCAGAGCCTGACGGCAACAACAACAATGGCACAATAATGGTGTCAATAACACACCGCCCTGTGTATATATGTATATGTGTGTGTGTGGGTCGGTTTCCGAGTTAATGTAATAGAAATTGTACAACAAAAGATGAGCAATGACGACACGAAAGCCCCCAATGCCAATTAGTCCCGGGCCTCAGGCTCAGGCCCTCTTCTCGTCTTGTTCTCAGTTCTCCGTTCTCCGTTCTCGGTTCTCAGTTCACAGTTCTCGCTTCCCCTCCAGTGAAAGAGAGACCAAGAGAGAGGGAACTCGAGAGCTATTTCTGTTTGTGAAAAAGCCAATCAAGCTAAATTAATAAAATATTACGTAGAATTCTAAATTAAATTGACGCATGTGCGCAAAAAGAAAAAAAAAAGAGAAAAGGAAAGTACAAACAAACAGCAGAGTAGAGCAAAAAGGCACTCATGTGGATGGATGCTGGGGAGATGGTAAAGAAATCCGTTTGCTGGAGGGGAATCCCCTTGGTAATTGCTAGTCCATTTAGCAGCACAATTAACAAAGTTTGCCATTTTAAGGAGTTTCTAATTGGTTCAGAGAGTGCTGGCTCCCAAAAGGACTAAACTGCGTTTTAAGCACATGTTTTCTCAAAGGATTCCTCCTCAAAAAAAAAAAAAAAAAAAAATAGTAGGAATAAATAAAATATATACTCAACTGGGAGTAGAGTGTAACCTACATACTTTTAACTGGGAATTATCTTGTAATTAAAGGACTTTCCGAGCTTTGAGTTTAGGTGAAGGAGTCACTGCCCTATAAAATGATATTACAAATACATTTCTTTCCCCCAAAAGATTCGCAGCTTAATCTTAAATTAAGCATTTATATTTTATTACTGACTTGAGTTTTTTTGTTCATCATAAATTTATGTTACACTTCAGGTTTTTTAATAGCAGAGTTAGGCCTCACTTAATATGAACATCATTGGCTTAGACTACAATTCTTCGACTCTTCAACTGGCTTTGGGTTTTTTTGCTTGTATTTTTTTGCATGGTTGACCCCGTTTTATTGCCGAGTCTTCGTCTTAACCCTTGGCTGGCCAAGGTCCAAGCCAATTGATACAGACTCCGCAGATATGTATATCTCAAAGCTCACGTGCCAAAGATAAAACTCGTTTCGCTCAAATATCAAATTTTGTTTGCTTAAATTTATGCATCGGTTCTCGGAGACGGAGATTGAGACGGCGTTGGAGACACAAATAAAAATGTGATATAAACAAGCGCGAGCTATGTTTATGCTATATGCGATATAGAGACTCTCCCAGCTCTCCCTGCTCCCTGCTCCCCAATGATAATTAATTGAGGAGACGCTCGGCTGGCATTGGCCCAGAATTCTCATGGGGACTATGTATTGTCATCCGACGATGTGGTCACAAAACCAGCCGCAACTTCCGTTCCCACCAAAAAAAAAAAAAAAAGGAGTGCTAATTGCTTTCACATTTTTAGGAGGATCTGTTTCTGGACGAGTTCGGTATCCAGTGCGGGAAGGCGGACAACAGCGAGAAGTGCTACAAGACGAGAGTGAGTATGGGGATTACTTATTTTACTTTCCTTTGTTTTTTTATGGTTTTTTGGGTTTAGGTAACTTGACACTGGTTGGTCTGGGCTTCAGTTGGACACAAACTCAAAGTGCATGATTCTTAGCCAGTCCTTTTCCCGCTCCAGGCAGCTGAGGAAGCCCTCGAACAGGATCGACAGGTTGTTCGTTTTGTTTATGCTGCTGGATTGTCTTTTCCACGAGGGCGGTTTGACTCTCAGGGGTAGTTGGGCCATTGCAAGAGTCTGGATTTTCGTACTCTGAGATTTACAAGGGTGTGCTATGTGGTTAAATTTCAATTAATTCAAAAAATGATAAATAAAGCTAAGGGAATCTGTTTTAAAATAGAATAAAAGGGATCATTAAGGGATATTAATTTCCAATCTCTTTTTTTATTATTATTTTCCTGCTTTTTCTCAGTGCACGAAGGGCTGTGCACAGTGGTATCGCGCCCTCAAGGAGCTGGAGCCCTGCCAGGAGGCCTGTGTGAGTTTTATAACCTTTCTCGTACTCCTTCTCCAGTGTGAGTCTTGTTTTCCCCCTCCAGCTTTCCCTGCAATTTCAGCCCTATGACATGCCCTGCATAGGTGCCTGCGAGATGGCCCAGCGGGACTATTGGCACCTCCAGCGGCTGGCCATTAGCTCCATGGTGGAGCGAACACAGCCGCAACTAGAGCGGGCACCGCGTCCCGATGGACAGACGCCGCCGTTGACCATACGCTGGGCAATGCATTTTCCAGAGCATTATCTGGCCAGCAGGCCTTTTAATATACAATATCAGTATGTGGAGCATCAGGGGGAGGAAGAGGAGCAGGATCAGAAGCAGCAGGATCAGCAGGAGCAGCAGAATCAAGAGCATGATGAAGAAAAGGGCAGCACCTGGTTCAACTTGGCGGACTACGACTGCGACGAGTACTATGTCTGTGAGATTCTCGAGGCTCTGATACCCTACACTCAGTACAGAGTAAGTTTGCAGTTGGAATAACCGAGGATAGCTTTCCAAGATGAACACTCCTCTCCTGGCACAGTTCCGCTTCGAGTTGCCCTTTGGCGAGGACAGCGACGAGGTGCTCTACTCTCCGCCTACGCCAGCCTATCAAACGCCGCCAGAGGGAGCTCCCATCTCGCCGCCGGTCATTGAGCATCTGCTGGCCATGGATAATGGCCATCTGGCGGTGCACTGGCACCCTGGACGCTTCACCAATGGACCCATCGAGGGCTATAGACTGCGTTTGAGTTCGGAGGGAAATCGCATCCAGGAACAGGTGAGTGTATTTTAATCCTTTTAAGATCTTCGGGTTCCTCTTGACCTATTTCCGAAATTGAGGTTAGCTGGTGCCGGTTTCCCGTGGTAGCCACATCTTTGCCCATCTTCTGGCTGGCACCAACTACACGCTGGAGTTGACGATGATCAACAAGCAGGGTGAGGGTCCCGTGGCCAAGGCTTGGGCTGAGACACAGCTTCTGCCCAACGAGAAGCCAGTGAAGGATCTAACCGAGGCTGTGCTCCTGGTGGGACGGAGGAGGGTCGTCTGGCAGTCGCTGGAGCCGGCAGGCGAGAGCTCCACGATCTATCAGTCGCAGGAGGAGCTGGCCGATGTGGCCTGGTCGCAGCAGAATCAACAGTTGTGGCTTCTAGATGTCCATGGGGACTTGCGCAGGTAACTCCTCCTCTCTCTATTACTCTCTTGAATCCTTAATCCTTTTTCTTTACTCCTCTTTCAGTCTGAAGGTGGAGGCTGGACAGATGATACGTCCCGCCCAGAAACTGCAACTGGTTTTGGGAAATATCACTGCAATCAAAGGAGGACAATGGTTACCCCGCCGACTGACCTACGACTGGCAGCATCTGCGTCTATACTTCGCCCTAGATCTCCTTGAGGGGAACCGCTCCACCTCACAGTTGGTCAGCACGGATTTGGAGGGTGGCACAGCGGAGACACTAGGCGGTTCTCTTCAGCTGCCCGTGGAGCAGATGGAGGTGGATGCCCTGAATGGTTGGCTCTTTTGGCGGGACGAGGAGGGTCTGTGGCGCCAAGACCTGCAGGGTAGGCATAGACATCGTCTGTTAAGGATCAGGCAGCCGGGTTGGTTCGTCCTACGTCCCCAGCACTGGCTTATACGCCTCCTGTTGCCCCAGGAGGAGGAGGCGGAGAACAAGTTCCTCGAGCTGAGCTATGATGGTGCCTTTAAACAATCCCTCCCTCGGAATGGTTCCTCCTCCTTTGCCTGGACCAGCTTCGCCATGCTGGGCAGCTCGTGGCTGCTGCCCGAGAAGGACAACCTGGTCCTGATGAGTGGAACGGCTCTGGCCGCCTCCTGGCCCCTGAAGAACCTGCCCGACTGCTGGGCAGTGATGCTTTTGGTGGGGGAAACTCAACCCCTGGCGAGCTTTGGTGGCGGAGGAGGCAGACCCCATCGGTTGAGGGCTCGAGTTGGCGCCCAGGCGGCAAAGATCTCGTGGCGGGAGCCTTTTCGCAATCCCTACCAATCGGCGGACATGGCCCGCGGCTGGAGCTATGAGCTGGAGGTCCTGGACGTGGCCAGCCAGAGTGCCTTTAGCATCCGGAACATACGCGGACCCTTCTTTGGCCTGCAGCGCCTTCAACCGGACAATCTCTACCAGCTGAGGGTGCGGGCCATCAGTGCCGATGGCGGGGAGCCTGGCGTTTGGACAGAACCGCTGGCGGCACGCACGTGGCCACTGGGACCCCACCGCCTGCGCTGGGCCAGCCGGAGCGGCGGCAGGCTTCTGGTCACCGACGAACTGGGCGAGCGGTCTGAACTGCAGGCATTACGGTTGCAGGATCAGCCCGGGGCCATGACCATGGTCAACGAGAGCATCGGCTACTATGTGAGCGGCGGCGCTGGGCTGCTGCACTGCGTCAATTTCCTGCACAGCCAGACAGGAGCGGGCTGTCCCCTGGCGGAGCCACTGCGTCATGTGGGCTCCATAACCTACGACTGGCGGGGCGGGCGACTGTACTGGACGGATCTGGCCAGGAACTGTGTGGTGCGCATGGATCCCTGGTCAGGTCGGCGCGACCTGCTGCCCATCTTCGAGGCTCGCTCCCTGGCCATGGACTCGCGGCAGGGTCACCTCTACTATGCCACCGGCTCCCAGCTGGCCCGGCATGGAGCCACACCCGAGGAGGCGGTGTCCTACTATCGAGTGAGCGGGTTGGAGGGCAGCATTGCCTCCTTTGTGCTGGACACGCAGCAGGAGCAGCTCTACTGGCTGGTGGGCAGTGCCTCAGCCTCGTCCTTGAGCTTGTATCGGGCTCCCTTAACTCCTGGAGGAGGCCTCGGCGCCGATGGAGCCGAGCTGCTGCGGCAGGTAAAGGGCGTGACTGTCGGCCAGAGGGTCATCCCGCAGAGCCTTCAGCTGCTGAGGCCGCTGGGTGCTCTCCTCTGGCTGGAGCAGAGCGGTCGCAGGGCGCGTTTGGTTCGTCTGACGTCGCCCCAAGATTCCATGGAGCTGCCGGCGCCTAACGAAGCCTCTCCCGCCTCCGCCTTGCAGTTGCTGGACCAACAATCTCCTCCAGCTCCGGACAGCGGTGTGGTGCCCTTGACCGTGGCCCCGGATAGCGTGCGCCTGGACGATGGCCACTGGGATGATTTCCATGTCCGCTGGCAACCCTCCACGTCGGCGGGCAACCACAGTGTCTCGTACAGGGTACTCCTTGAGTTTGGCCAGCGCTTGCAGACCCTCGACCTGACCACGCCCTTTGCCCGGCTCACCCAGCTGCCGCAGGCTCAGCTCCAGCTGAGGATCAGCATCACGCCGCGCACAGCCTGGCGGAGTGGCGTTACTACGCGCGTCCAGCTCACCACGCCCCCGGCGGCACCAACGCAGCCCCGCCGCTTGCGGGTGTTCGTGGAGCGACTCTCGGCCCCGCTTCTGGAGGCCAACGTAAGCGCCGTCCTTCGCTGGGACACCCCCGAACAGGGCCAGGGTCAGGAGGCACCTGCCCAGGCTCTGGAGTATCATATCAGCTGCTGGCTGGGCACGGAGCTGCACGAGGAGCTGCGCCTCAACCAGAGTGCTTTGGAGGCTCGCGTGGAGCACCTGCAGCCGGATCAGACATACCACTTCCAGGTGGAGGCCCGCGTGGCCGCCACAGGAGCAGCAGCTGGTGCCGCTAGCCATGCCCTACATGTGGCTCCCGAGGTGCAGGCTGTGCCGAGGATACTCTACGCCAATGCGGAATTCATCGGGGAGCTGGACCTAGACACGAGGAGTCGCCGGCGACTGGTGCACACGGCCAGTCCCGTGGAGCATCTGGCGGTGATGGAGGGCGAGCAGCGTCTGCTGTGGGTCAACGAGCATGTGGAGCTGTTGACCCATGTGCCGGGCGCAGCTCCGGCCAAGCTGGCAAGGATGCGAGCCGAGGTCCTGGCCCTGGCTGTGGACTGGGTGCAGCGCATAGTCTACTGGGCGGAACTGGATGTCAACCAGGGATCGGCAGTGATCTATGGCCTGAACCTGTGCCACTTCGAGGGCAAGATCCTGCAGGGCCAGAGGCTATGGAGCACGTCCAGGGGTCGCCTGCTAAAAGATCTGGTGGCCCTGCCCAGTGCCCGTTCGCTGATCTGGCTGGAGTACGACCAGTCGTTGCCCAGGAATGGCTCATTGAGCGGTCGAAATCTCACCAATGGCGCCGAGCTGCATCTGGGCTCGACGGTCCAACCTTTGATACGCCTGCATGCTGGGAGCCTAGAACCTGGGGCGGAAACCCTCAACCTAGTGGACCAGCAGGGCAGGTTGTGTGTCTACGACGTGGCCCGGCAGCTGTGCACGGCCAGCAGTGCTCTGCGGGCACAGCTGGGCCTGCTGGGAGATGACTCCATCTCGGGCCAGCTGGCCCAAGACTCGGGCTACTTGTACACCTTAAAGAATGGCAGCATCCGGGCCTATGGCCGGCGAAGACAGCAGCTTGAGTACATGGTGGAGCTGGAGCCGGAGGAGGTGCGTCTGCTGGAGGCCCACAACTACCAAGCGTATCCCTCCAAAAGCTGCTTGCTGCTGCCGGCAGCTGCTGCTAATCCTGGAGGATCTTTGCTGGAGAAGGCAGCAGAGTGCGAGGAGCAGGGATGTAGCCTCAAGTTGCCACAGATTTTGGCCTCCAGCGAGTGCCTGATGCCCATTCCCGGGGTTAGCTATCAATTGAATTTGACTCTTCTCAAAGATCAGGAGTTAGAATCTTCCAAATCCTCTCTGGGACACTGGCAACTTAGTGCTGGGGATACCCTGACTATTACTGGACTCCTGCCCTTCACTCGCTACCGCTTGGACGGCATCATTAGTAGCTACTACCAGAAGAGGCTTGCTCTGCCCAGTAGAGTAATGACATCCGTGGAGCTCCTGACTGCCGCAGGCACTCCTTCGGCGCCCAGGAACTTTAGTGTTAGGGTGCTGAGTCCCAGCGAACTGGAGGTGAGCTGGTTACCACCTGAGAGACTGCGCAGCGAGAGTGTCTATTACACGCTTCATTGGCAAAGGGAAGGCGAGGAGGAGGAAGAGGATCTCGAGAAGGATCAAGTGCAGTCACGTCGCCTGGAGAAGGCAGGCAGCCATCGGCTGGCGGGCATCAGGCCAGGAACCGGCTATCGCCTTTGGGTCCAGGCCCATGCCACACCCACAAAGACCAACACCACTGGCCGGTTGCATGTCCGCAGCTTTGCTCAGCTTCCAGATCTGCAGCTTCTGGAAGTGGGACCCTACTCGCTTAGCCTCACCTGGCCGGGTACACCGGATCCCCTGGCATCGCTGCTCCTCGAGTGCCGTTCACCCAGCGAGCAGCTGCGTCGGAATGTGGTGGGCAACTACTCCCGAATGGTACTGGAACCGCTGCAGCCGCGAACTCGCTACCAGTGTCGCCTGCTCCTGGGCTATGCGGCCACCCAGGGAGCTCCGCTCTACCCGAGCTCCATGGTGAACTACGAGACACTGGGCGATGCGCCCAGTCAGCCGGGTAAGCCGCAATTGGAGCATATTGCCGAGGAGGTCTTCCGGGTGACTTGGACAGCGGCACGGGGCAATGGAGCACCCATTGTCCTGTACAATCTGGAGGCCTTGCAGGCCCGAAGCGATAATCGCCGACGGAGGCGTCGCAGGCGACGGAATAGCGATGGTTCTGTGGAGCAGCTGCCGTGGGCCGAGGAGCCTGTGGTGGTGGAGGATCATTGGCTGGACTATTGCAACACCACTGAGCTGAGCTGCATTGTGCGGAGCCTGCACTCGAGCAGGTTGCTCCTGTTCCGGGTGAGAGCACGCAGCCAGGAGCATGGCTGGGGTCCTTGGAGCGAGGAGAGTGAGAGGGTGGCCGAACCCTTTGTGTCGCCAGAGAAACGAGGATCCCTGGTCCTGGCCATTATTGCCCCAGCGGCCATTGTATCCAGCTGCGTCCTGGCTCTGGTCCTCGTGCGAAAGGGTAGGGAATCTCTTCAGAAATCCTTAACTGATTTTGGCTTTAATCCACATTTTTTCCAACTTCCAGTCCAAAAGCGCCGCCTGCGCGCCAAGAAGCTACTCCAGCAGAGCCGTCCCAGCATCTGGAGCAATCTCTCCACGCTGCAGTCGCAGCAGCAACTAATGGCGGCCAGGAATCGTGCCTTCTCCACGACGCTGAGTGACGCAGACATTGCCCTGCTGCCGCAAATCAACTGGAGTCAGCTAAAACTCCTCCGCTTCCTGGGCAGTGGAGCCTTTGGCGAGGTCTACGAGGGCCAGCTGCAGACGGAGGATGCCAAGGAACCACAGCGGGTTGCCATCAAGGTGTGTTATGTCCGGTTTCCTAGCAAGGTGTAGGTGGTCTAAACCGTAGCTCATCCCCCACAGAGTCTGCGCAAGGGCGCCAGCGAGTTCGCGGAGCTGCTCCAGGAGGCCCAACTGATGAGCAACTTCAAGCACGAGAACATCGTCTGCCTGGTGGGGATTTGCTTTGACACCGAGTCCATCTCGCTGATCATGGAGCACATGGAGGCCGGGGATCTGCTTAGCTACCTGCGTGCCGCCAGAGCCACCATCAGTGGCCAGGTGAGTGCTGAGTTCCAATTCTTGATAAGCTCCCGTCTTCCGTCTCCCTTTCTAATCTTAGTGTTCCTTTAGGATCCTGGACTATCGCTCTCCGAGCTGCTGGCCATGTGCTTAGATGTGGCCAATGGCTGCAGTTACCTGGAGGACATGCACTTTGTCCACCGCGACCTGGCCTGTCGCAACTGTCTGGTGACGGAGGCAGGATCAGGATCCTTAACGGATCGCCGGCGCACGGTAAAGATTGGGGACTTTGGCCTGGCCAGGGACATTTACAAGAGCGACTATTACCGCAAGGAGGGCGAGGGCCTCCTGCCCGTCCGCTGGATGTCACCGGAGAGCCTGGTTGATGGAGTCTTTACCACCCAATCGGATGTGTGGGCCTTCGGGGTGCTCTGCTGGGAGATCCTCACGCTCGGCCAGCAGCCTTACGCAGCCAGGAACAACTTTGAGGTGCTGGCCCATGTCAAGGAGGGCGGTCGCCTCCAGCAGCCGGCCATCTGTCCGGAAAAGCTGTGGGTATTCCATGACTTTTCATAACTGGTTTTATTAACTTGTATTTTCCCTGGTAATCCCATTTAGTTATGCTCTCCTCCTGCTCTGCTGGCGCACGGATCCTTGGGAGCGACCCAGCTTCCGGCGCTGCTACAACACCCTCCATGCCCTTAGCACCGATCTCCGACGCAGCCAGATGGTGGCGGAGGCTGTGACCAACTCCAAGCCGGAGCCCAAGGTTCGTTTCGATGGGGAGGTGTTGGAGGATTCTCCAGGGAATCGTGATAGGGATCAGCCGGAGGAGAACCTTGCCCTGCGGGTGGTGGAGAGTAGTTCTACTAGCAAACCTAATCCCCTCAAGGATCAGAAACTGTATGCCAACGAGGGCGTGTCCCGGCTGTAAGGGGTATTCAGTCTCCGTCTATCCAAAAAAATCGATTTACATAGCTTACGATAGCTTTCCGATTAATCTTAAGTCTAAGTTTAATTTGTAACACAAAATGGCACAAGAATGTTTTGAGTGTAAGGAAATAATTAAAATAATAGTAATAATAATATTTTAATAAATATATTAAAATAATAATAATTAAAAATAAATAAGACAATAAACAAAATGGTCCAACAAGAAACTGAATTTGTTACAAAATAGCTTGATTCATGTGATTATCGATAACATAATAATAATTAGTAAGCTAGGTCTATATATTCGTTATTTTAAAGTTTTCTGATGAATATATATGAGAAATTAGAAGGAGCTAAAGATAAGGAAATAAATAAAACACTACTTTTGGGTTTATATACCTTTATTACTGTATAGTATTTACACGATTAATACGATATTTTTCGATATGTACCATTTTGATATATTAATTTTACATTATTTTTTTTAATATAACTATTAATGATGTATCATTTTGACATTTTTCCTTAAATAATTAATTTTATTTTTTGAAGGTATAGCGAAAAAATATAAAATTGGACCCAAGATCATTAAATTTCCACTGTTAGAGCCCCGTCCTTATTTATTTATTTATCTCGGTTTTATTATCGTTTTAATTTGATTTGATTACATTTATTATGCTTAATTTTATTGAATTTTCCGTGAGATTTTTAATGGGCCTAGCCAGGAAAAGTTTCACTCGGCGGCCTTTATTTTTCTCATTTTCCTTTGTGTTTCCTTTTCGCGCGACAACAAAGTTAAAACAAAAGTGGAGAAGGAAAACAATCAAATTAAATGTAAGAACGTTGGTGGAAAAGTTTAGCGATACTATGGAAAGGCGGTGTGATGAGGGCTATAAATAGAGCCGGGCTTAGCAAAAGGTTCTCCGAAGGTCGTCCACGAAAGCAACCCCCAGGAAACGCACGCAGGCACGCAGGCATGCACGCACGCACAGGACTCCGCGGGCCTCAAGGACTCCCACATGCACACGCACGTTCACTTACAAACATGCAGATTTGTCAAATGTTTTGACAAACTTTTTCGTCCTTACACAAAAGCCGCGCGAAGGAGGATAAATCAAAAATTGTAAATAGCAGCACATAAATCGATTACCTCGCTCTCCTCCTTGGTTAACCCACGAAGAACGGAACATAAATAAACCATTTTTAATATGCGAATAAGCAGCTTTAGAGTTACCCTCACATGGGGTAGCCTTGCATTTCTATATTTTATATATTTAATATAGAAAATATAAATATATAAAAAATTTAAATTCCCCTAAAAAGGCATTGCCATATAATTTTTATCTGGCAATTTCCTTTTGTAGCTTAGTTTTGGGGCCCTTTAAAAGCCATAATTATATATGAAATACCTTTATAAAAATTTAACTTTTTATCATTAACATTAAACTAAATTTATTCCCTAAGTAAGAGTCCTATAAATTCGTGATAGAACAACCCAAGAAGCAGCTTCTTTTTCCTCTTTGGATTGGTTTCTTCCAGCTACCCGCCTTTTACTGGCTCTTGGTGAAACGGTAGCTGGCTTCAAGGTGACTTGCCATTGATTTCGCTTATTATTATGGCAGATTTTTTTCTACTTTCTTTTTTTTATTTGCATTCACCCTCTTTTTTCTGCGAGGTAAGTAGGTGCTCTTTGAGCCCTGTGGGGCGCGGCAAGGATTTAATTTTATTGCCCCCGGGACCGTCGCCACCGTTGACTTATTGTGCTGATATGATTAAGTGGTTCGCTGGTTCCGAGCCGCTGACTTTGTCGGCTTTATGACAAGTGCAGGAGATCCAGGGAATGGAAAGAGGTAGCTACAAGTCCCCTGGCTTTGGTATGGCTCTGGCATGTCCCCGGCTTTTGTCAGTCGATAAGATGCAACATTTTGATAGATACATTTGCCTAGCAACATTTAGCTAGCAACAATTTCTTGGGTACTGTGCCATAGAGCATATTATTATATATATATTTTAAGGGATATTGAGAAAATAAATTAGTTATTAATTTTATACTACTATTTATAAATTTATACTAATTTTTTTCTGTTTATTTCTTTCTTAACTCCCCTTTAAGATAGTTTGCCCCAAAGTAGGCAACGCTTTTTAACAGCCCCTTTCCGGGTATTCAGTAGCAATTCTTCCCCTTTAAAGATATACTCCCCCCGTTTAAATTTCATTTTGATTCGTTTTGATTTCATTTCCTTGTCCGCAGCTCCGTACACCTCGAAAGTTTAGTCCCCCCGCCGACTGACACAATTGATTGAAATTAGATGAGCTTTTCATAATACAGGGGACCTAAGCCGCAGCGCGCTGCTGCCACTTCAGCTTTTCTTGGGTGTGTGCGTGTGCGTTTTCCATTAACTTAGAGCCAGGTCCTTTACCTCCAGGACCTACTGCCGAGTAGTATGTAGCAGCAGCAGCATTTGTGGGACTGCCAGGTAAAAGTTTGCTCAGCTTTGGGAGCGGAGGCAACGCTAATATCGCTCAAGTTGCCACCGACTTTGTGCCAAATTGGTTATTAAAAGAGTCAACTAGTACGAGCCAGAAATAAATTGAGAGGCAGCAGTAACAGCAGCAACACCAGCAGAATTTTCTCGCACAAGCAGTTGGAAAATAATAATGGCGGCAACTTCGAGAGGGCCATCATCATCGTCGTCGTCATCATCATTTTCGACATGCCTTACAAGTTGCAACTGCCTTTAGTTCCTTCTCCTTGGACGGCTGCATTCGATGGACGCTGGATGGAAAGTGCTGCCAAAAGTATTTTGACAATGTGTGCTTTAGCTTCACATAGTACCTGCCATCTGTGTTGCCAAAATTAAATCTCGATGGGGAGCACCGACTTTAATGATAACTGGTTTTAAAAGAAAACTAGGTGATAGGTTCTAGACAAAAAAAAAAACAAGAAAGAAAGCTATCTTTGGAAAGACGAAGCTTGTATACCCTAGCAACACGAAACCGAATAAAACTGTTCATAAATTCATTAATTTCAATTCGAAAAACGTTAATATGTTAGTTTTTATTAGTTTATAAAATATGAATAAAACAAATAAATAATTAAAAGTGTATATAAAATATAAATTATAGATATATATACATATACATATGAATTATAAATTTAAATATTTTTCTATAATATAAAAATCTTAATTTAAATTCATTGTTAGGCACATTTTTAAGAGATTTAAAAAAAACCCTTGTAATTTCTACTAAACCAAATTCAAAGACACCCATTAATGGAAAAGTGACCAGTGAAAATCATTAGGAAAATTCATTTTCCAGCTGCATTCCACTCTATCTCCTATCTTTTCTTCTACCTCTCTCTCTCTCTTTTTCTCTGTCCTTCTCTAATCAATTGTCTTTTACACCAAGAAGGTCGTTAGAAGCTTTCGAACTAATTGAGTAATTTGCTCACCTTGATTGCTAGGCGACGGGAGTTTATATAGTTGCCAAGCAAGCAGGAACAGGCCCCCCCACTGAGGCACACACCCTCCTTATACACACACACACTCTCACACACCCAACGCCGTGCCATTTGCACGTTCATTATTTCGCACTAATTAACGTTTCGCGACAAAAGGTGGCGATGTATTTTCACAACTGCTGTTGCAGCAAGGCAACTGCAACAGGGTTTTACTGCTTCTCCGTGGCAGCAACTGCTAAGGCACTTAGCAAAAATACTTAACTCTAAAAAAGAACAAATTTCTATTTATTTTTTGGGATAATTAATATCTTAAAAATTATCAAGCAATCTTATAGCTGAAAATAAGTTTTAAAAGCTTCCAAAATATATTTACAAATATTTGTAAATATTATAAACATTTGTTTGTATCCATGGTTGTTCTCAGTGTACGTGCTGCCGCCACTTGACGCGGGCCACTCGACAATGTGGGCGGGTTTCGCCTTAATTGCTGTTTATGAGCGGGTTGGCCCAGTAATTAAACAATTTCTTTTTGGCCCGGCCCGGCAAACAGTTTCACTAACCAGGAAAAGGCAGCCGGCAGAAGAAGAGGAGTACAAAAAAATAATAATAAAAGAAATAATAACACACATTCTCGTTTGGTACAAATAAAAAAAAAAAACACAAAACATTCTGCTTATATTGAGATATACAAGTTGACAAATAAATTAGCAATTTGTGGCAAACATATGTATATTAGCGGGTTGAAGGCATCCTCTGGCTTTGTCCTGGACCTTTTCCTAGACCTTCTCCGCCGTATTCCTTTCGATGTAGTAGGGCGCCGCCCCGAGCTCCTTGCATTTGTACCGCAGCTTGCAGCACTCCGGGAAGGGTTCGCCGGGCTTTATTCGCTCGCCGCGATTGCAGTTCTCGATGCGCAGCTTGCCACAGCTAAGGAGATGGAAATGATAAATATTTTAGAAAATATATACATATTTAAAAAAAAAATTAATGAAAATGTTAATAAACTAAAACCAGAGCGGCTTGAAAACCTTGTAAATGCTGCTTTCATTCTTTGGTTTCAATGAGAAATTAAAGAAATTAATTAAATTATAATAATAAATATAATAATACATTTGTTATATTTTTATTTAAGCAAAATTGAATACAACTTTAAATGGAAACTTAAAAACTCTGAAATCAAAGCGGGTTGTAAACCTCAAAAGTGCTCCTCTCAGTTTTACGTCTTTGTGAAAAAATTGAGGGTAAAATTCTATATATTACATATACATAAAAATTTAAAGGAATCGTAATTATATATATTTTACATTTTAACTGAACAAATATTTTGTAAAAAAGGCAATTATAAATTTAAAAACTATAAAACCAAATCTGTTTCTAAATCTTGCAATCTGTTCTTAGTCTTTCGTTTAGGGGAAAAATTCAAATTCTTATGTACATTAAATATATAAAATATTTAAATGGTTTCTTATATGTTAAAAGCATATTTACTGTAGCTTAATATATAATTAACTAAAAAAGTACATTTTCTTTTAAGCTACAAATGTATTTAAGACCAAAACTGTTGTAAAACCGAAGCAATAAAATATTGTTGTTTTTGAAAATTTTCATAAGAACTACTTAATAAAATAAAAAATTTATTAAGATTAAATAATAAAAAAATGTAGTAGTATTAATAAGAAAATACTATAAAAATTACACACCACAACCTTATCAAGTTCCTTAGAATTAACAAAAACAAACTAGCTTTGTGGTAAATATATAAGTTTCCTTGAATTCTAATGAACTTTTAAGTCAAACAGCTTAGCAACAGTTTAGGCTAAGATTTTCGCGGAAAATCAACTTAAGGTTTGTGTGAAAATTCTAGGAAATCGTCATTGGAATGCAGCTTGTGTCCTTGTACTTAAAAGATTTTGAAAAAGGTTCAGATCAAAAGGGATGAGTTGCTGTCGCTCAAGGAACTTTGTCAAAGCGTACAGAAAATATGTTACCAAAAAAAAATATACATATATATAAAGAAACACTTAAAACCCGAAGAGCAAATCCCATTTGGGATCTGGGGCAAAACTTTTAGTTTCCCTCAATTTATTTTCGTCTCCTCAACGCGAAAAACCGCAGAGCCCCAACCTCCTTTGCCCCCCTGGAACATTCATTTAGCTCTCTCTCTCGGCTCTTTGGCTTGACCTACAAATTACAGTCTCATCTCGGCGAACTCGAGACTGAAACTAGAGGCTGGGAGCTGAAGCTGAAGCCGGGAGCTGGGAGCTGGAAGCTGAAGCTGGGAGCTAGGAGCTGAACCCGCCTGAAACTGAAACTGAAACTGAAACTAAAACTTGGCGCAAAGTCGCAGTCGCAAGTTGTTGACATCGCGTCATCTTCGGCGTCACGAGAGTGTGTCTTATCAGCGACAGGCACTGAGCGAAAAAACTGGCCATTATCAGATCAATAATACATACATATATTAAAGACTTAAAAAATAATATTAAAAGATAAAATGAAAGGAAACAAAGAACGTGATTCCAAACACTCCCTCCCACTCTCTCACCAAATTTCTATATTCTATAGAATTCTCCCACTTTTTTCCCCCAGTGTATGTAGGTTAAGGTATCAGGGCCAAGTCGTAGTAACAAACTCACCCTTCGATAAGTATGGAGCCATCCTTGTTGCATGTCAGCCGCTGGCACGGCGATATGCCATTGTTGATGCCCAGTTCCAGGACATCGCCGCGATAGATGCACTTGCCGGGATTATCTGCAGGATGTGGGAATACTATATACTAGATCCGGCTTTGGGGGGTGCGGAACTCACCTGCATCCGCCGGTATCACGCCCGAGTAGCCGCTCACCTGGGCGAGCGTCGAGAGCAGGGCAATAATGGCGATAGCCATCAGAGGCTTCGGTGTGTTCCGGCGTATTCCGTGGCGCTCCGTGGACATTGCGACCGCTTTCGTGTTCTAAACTGCACTGACTTGGACCCGGACTCCGATCGTCGATGTCTACTCCGCCTCAGAGCGCAAAGATTGTCGAGCGAGAGATTCATCAATTGGTTTTCATACCAAAAAATACCCAGTACTAAGGGAGGTAAGGGAGGTCGATATGGGTTTGAGATTAGTAAAAATTATATTTTAATGAGTGAAAAATGTTGGAACTGATTGAATTAGAGAGAAAAAATGCTTAAATTTGTGAAAATATTATTTAGGAAATATTTATAATAATAACAATTAGCTAATAAACTAATTTTAAACTTCCAAAAACTTAAAAGGGTATCTCAATAGTCGAGCTCATCTTGAAGTTTGTGTTTGTTTGCGTTTTTGTTTTCGGTTTCCGTTGATTAATGTGTATTACTATTTAATTGAAGACGCCACACTCGCAGGTCTCTTGTCTCTGAGAATTCTCAATTCTGGGATTCTCGGCATCTCCGGCTACGTCGGCTCTCGCAATTCACAATTCTCGTGGCGGGGTCAGGCGGTTTATCGGCTTTTCGGGGCCTTTCATTTACAGCGCTTGGCTGCCTCAAAATTGTTCTAGAATGTTGTTTGCACAATTAATGGCAACTACGGGGAGAAGGCTAGAGATGCTTCATCAGAGAACTAGTTCTTGAAATCATTTAATTTCTTTGTAGATTAAAGCCCCTCCTTTGAAGTTGTATATATACAAATATAAGAAAACAAAGTGAAAGGTGGCTTTCATGAAACCATATTGTCAACAGTTTTGGTTGTCAACTTTGGCAATCAGTTAACCGAATGAGATATTTGCCTTTCCTTATGAAGTAATACACTTACAAGTACTTTAATTAAGATGCTCTCTCTCTCTCACCTCTCCCTCTATCTCTCTTTATTCAATTAGACGGACTTGGTTGGCGCCATTTAAAGTACTGTGTAGTTTTTGGCAGGGAAAATCTTAATGAAATGCATTCGCATTCGGATTCGCATTCGTTCGGCTTAACCCGCAGACAAGAGCAGACAAATGTTGTGGCAACTTGTGCAATCCAATTGAGACGAGAGGAGTTGGAGAGTTTTCTTTCCAGGACACATCCACCCACACGCACACCACACAATGTTTGCCCTGCTGGCTATTAAATTTTTAATCAAGTTAAAGTGTTGTCAAACACTTCATTCGGTTCAGCCAGAGTTCTCCACTCGTTCGCCTCTATTCAGCACGAGTCCCGCTTTATTTTCGGTGGCAAAGGATATATCCAAGGGATATGCATATGTGTGTGTGTTCCGTTCATTCGTCGTGTTAGTTATGCATGCATTCATTCGTTCATTCGGCGACATTCATTTCGTTTCATTGCATTTTCTTACAACTTTCCATGGAGCCCACACCACACACACACAGACACCACACACACCGGCTCCTCCGGTCTGGAGGCATAACCGCATTGTGGAGGCGTCACCACAGTTCGCCACCTCACCCTTCAGCCACCCACAGTCCCTGTGGACACTTGTTCCGTTCCTGGGCTTCCCCCTTTTTTATGATGTAAGGCTTTCTTCGTCGCTTTCTTTTCGTTTCCGTGCTACCCATTGATGAAAGTGTGGGGTTGTTGGGCCAAGCAGGGAGAATGTTTATATACCATATTTCTGGGATTAATTAAATATTTAAATATATACTGTTTTCCTATGAAAATATACCCTAATAAATCCATCTAAATTTCCTAGATTTCTTAAACAAACAGTGTAATAAATTTATTTTATTTATTAGTAAAAGTAAAAAGGGTAATTGTTAGTCGAAGCCAAAGTGATTTTCGCTGCACTCTAGGGTGTTTCATTTTTTTTCTGTGCCTTGCCTGTTCGCTTTTGTGGTAAATGAAATGCAAATAAATTGTCAACTGCAGCTAAATAAAAATTTAATTTATAAGGGCTTTGACTAGCATTCATTTGGCGAAGATGACTAGAGGGGTGTGTAGCCACGAGAAAGGTGAAAGCAGCTGAGAAACACATCTAGTTAAGTAATTGGAAGGGAAGAAATGTATTCATTTTTGTTTGTCATTTAAATGTTGTCAATATTTATTGGTAATGCCAAAGATGAGATCTTAAATTTTTTATTTATATATGTATATATATTACTTTACTATTATTATTTTATTTTACTTGTTGATACAGCTAGAAAATCATATGTCTTGTTCGGTTGAAGCACTGAAAAATGCCAAAAATAAATTACGTAAATGGATAATTTTAGAAATAAACCGTTAGTCACTTACTTGCTTATCCTATTTGTTCCAATAAATATCGATAGCTTTGGCGATAAATTGATAAATATTAACATTATGTATGTTTTCGTCTTTTGATCCCTTTACTATCTATAGATTCCTGTCAAACGTGAGCACTACTCGTTGAATAAATTGAAAATTTCACCGATTTCCGATAAATATCGATATAAAGCTGTCAGCGTTGCGATAACCTTGCTGGTCAGTCAGTCGCAACTGCATGCGCCGAGTAAGTGAGCCACAAAGCGGGTTCGTAGCCCCGTTTTTGGCCTGCTCTACCCCACAAAACCCCCCTCAAAACGCACACCCCATTCACACACACACACCCTTGCTGTGCACCCCAAATGCTAATTCGCATTTGATTATTTAAATTAGCGAATTGAGTGACAGGCGGAGGAGGAGGATGAGAAGGTAGGCAATGCCTCAAATTGAATAGTTTGTGCGCCAATGTCCACCGAAAAGATCCAAAAATAAACGCTGGACACGCTGGTGACTCTGACGGAGCGGAGCGACCTGGAGCAAATCGGACCGTCGAGCGGATCGGCAGTGTTTTGGGAGACAGCGAGGCGAATTCACTTTTGTTGGTTCTGAAAATGTATTCAGTGCAGGGGCGACATTCGCAGCGGCAACGAAAGCGACAGCCATAACACACACCGTACACACACAACGCACTCCGCACACACCATCACCCTTGCACACACCGCACACAGATACGAATACGAATACGGATACGGATACGGATACGGATACGGATACGCACTGAGACAGCTTCGAAAGAAAGTGGCCAAGGAAAGGAGCAGTCAGCCGTCAGCAGCTAAAAGGAGTAGCACTGTGTGTGCGTGTGTGTGTGTGCAGCGGAAATGGCCAAATTAGTGACTTACATCTTCATCGTCAGCTCGCTGGTGCTCTGGTACCTTTTGCTTTTCGGTGGCCGAGGCGGAGGCATCGGTGGCATCAGGGGCGTGGATGCCACCAACGGGCATGGGGGGCAGCTGGAGGGGCGAGATTTTCACCATCATGGCGGCAGTCATCATATTCGCCGTAAGTAGCCGTTAAACCGGATGTGGAAATATTCAAATTAAGGGGAAAATATCGGAAAATTATCGATAAATATCGATAAATTCTGAAATTGCATTGTTCAGTCTTAAGAGTAAATAGAATTATTTATTTTAAAGAAATTCGACAATGTGTCAATAACAAACCAATAAATCGATTTTATTTATATCGGTTTTTATATTATTCACTCCTAAAAGTAACGAGTCATCATTAGTAACTTAATATATGTTTAATATATATTATGATGAATTTTGAAATTGTTATCGATAAATGAAAAATGAAAAATTCATGGATACCTAAGAAATAGAGTGTTTTTGATATCGTTAAGTTAACATTTACAAGAAATAAGTATTATTTCGTAAAGTCCCAAAAATATAAATCGATAACTCTATAACTCATATATTTGTTGTTAAAACTTTGACTTTTAGGTAACATCAACCACTGCTGGCGTCGCTACGATGGCTACAATCTGCAGAATACCGTTGTCAACAAAAAGGAGCAGCTGAAGAAGCCGTACGGCATTTTGTGCAACTTCAAGTGCACCTGGTTCTTCACCGTCAGGTAAGTCGCCATCGTCGTCGTCAGCAATTGTTTCCGTGTGCTAACTTGGATTTCTTTTTAATACACATTTCTTTTTAATGGCAGCTTTCCCACTTGCGAGTTCATCTACGACTATAAGTTATCCTGCGTGCTGTTCACGTCACTGCCCGACTGTACCAGCGTCAAGTGTACGCTTCTAAACTACTTTGAGTAACTAGTGTGTATTTGTGGCGAGTGTAGACGTAATAAGTAATAAGTGCTTTTTTTTTCATAGCATAAGTCTGATTATTACTAGATTTTATATGTGAAATTGTAGAGGCCGAGGATGTACTATTAATACAAACATATAATTTATGAAGATGCAATGTTTTATTGGGCAGGAAGTTATTTTGCTGATTTATATACAAGTTAAGAGACGTTTTCCTAAATCTATTTCTTAACCAACTAAAAGAAAACTCCCATAACTCGCTGCTTTTTAAGAGCTCCTTCATTCTAGCTTATGATTCTCTGGCTAAAATGTTTTTACTTAATCAAATGTCATACCTTTCCTGATGGATATATAGACATATATCCTGTAAGCCACAAACTGGATTGTGTGCTTGTACTTCCAACATAGTTGCAGCCAAAGTTCCAACTACCAGTTAAAGTCGGGTTCGCTGTTCGCACTCCATTTGATGATGGCAAAGTTGAAAAGCCACAAAAGCTATCAATGGACCCATCCAAACCAGGCAGGGGCCACGCCCAATTACCTGGCCACACACACTCATACTCATACCTGGCCGCCCAAAAAGCAATCCACTTTTTGTAGTAAACAAATTTGAAACACTTTGTTACCAACGTCATTTTTTCCAGAGCTCTCGGTTCCTGCTACCCCCAACCTCCAACCTCCAACCTCCAACCTCTTCCATGCGCCATCCTCCACCTGGTTAAAAGCGATATATTCGTTCAAGCTGATGGCTGGCAAGCGGATGAGGGGGCGTTAACCAAACTTGGTTAGAGTCCACGCAGAGATGCAGATGGAGAGCGCTCGGAACTCGGCGAACTTCAGCCGCAAATAAATCGTTCGACATTTATAAGCCAGTCAAAGTTATGCCAAAGCGTTTCCCGAACCCTGGCCGAGGGTGGTGGAGTTGTGTCAGGTGGTGGCTCTGGCTAAAAATAAGATAAATTATGTGGCCGTAGTCAATGGAGCTGTTAACTTGCGCACCTGAGTCGCGGACGGGTTACATGGGGGGTTCCCTTTCCTAGCCAGCTTCCCATTTCTCTATTTTCCCGTTTCCAGTTTGCCAGTTTCCAGCGTTAGGCAGGGAGCCGAGGAGGTGGCCCATTCAAACGCCAGATGGGGCCGCCGCGCACTTTAATGGAATCAAACGAAATGACATTGATCGCTGAAGGCCAATGGACCCGCAGAAGCAGAAGATCAAGCGATCTCTCGACTCGATTCGGCACTCGTAACTGGGATTTGGGTCGTGGTCGTTGTGCGTTGTATGTTGCTATATATGTATATACCTATATAGTATGTGGTATATAGTATACAGTATACAGTATATAGTGTGTAGTGTGTAGTGTGCAGTGTGTGCCATAGATCGTAGTGCGTAGTTGGCTCTATTGCGTTTGACTGCGTCGGCGGTGTGGCTTCTATTTCAATGCTGATTGGCAAATTACAGCAATTTCTAGAGGGGCCTCTGGGAATTAGATTATTTTGAAATAGTTATAAACAAATTAATTACGACAAAATTGTGCAAGTATCTGGCCTTTTTTGTTAGGGTACAAACTGCATATATGGGACCCCTTTAAATGGATTATAATTGTGTTTAAATGTGAATTATATAAGGGTTTGAAATTAAGTAATATATAAGGCTTTATTTACATGGAAAATATAAGGAATCTATAAAATATAAAGGAAAGAAAAGTAAAAGGTTTAAATATTTATTTCATTTATTAATTATTTGAGTTGGTCCCCTTATTATATTTTGTACAACAAAATCAATATTATTCATAGACTATAAAATATTAAATTATAATATTTTTATTTCCATAAAATGTATCTTATAATATCATTTAGATATCAACTTACAATCTACTAGATGTATAGTTTATGAGTCATGCATCCCCAAAGGTAGGTGTAAATGAATCAGTGGAATCATTATGAATAATGCTGAGTGATTGGTTGAGTTGATTCCTTGATTGATTGACTCATTATGCTAAGTTTGAGTGGACACACTGAAAAAAGCATGTTGCATTCCCCTGGCTGCACTCAGCCGAGACCTGAAATGGGATGAGAGGAGGCGAGATGTGATGAGCGATAGCTGACTGATTGAGCCACACAAGAGCTGTCAACACGACGCTTCTATGGGAGCCGAAACTGAAACCGAAATGGAAACCGAAAACGAAACCAAAAAACGAAACCGAAACCGAAACCGGAGACGTGGAATGGAAAACGAGGATGTGACTGTCCCTGCCTGTTGCCCTGGGACTACACTGAAAAATATATATATATCTTTTATTGAACTTTTAATAATTTATTTTTCTAGATATCTAAATGTTTTTATTGACAACCGTGTAGAGGATAGAAAGAGAGGCGGACAATTTAACAGACAGAAAAAGTAGAAAGAGGGACAGTAAAACGTGTAGAGAGACGGACAGAGAAGCGAGTAGAGAGTAAGTAGAGCGATGAGTAGGGAGTTGAGTTGAGAGACGAGTAGAGAGGCGAGTAGAAAGAAAAGTATAAGGAACAGTAGAGGGACCAGTAGAGCGACAAGTAGAGAGACGAGTAGAGAGGCAAGTGGAGAGAAGAGCAAAAAAAAAAAGAGTAGAGAAACGAGTAGATACACCAGTAGAGAGGGACGAGTGGAGAGATCAATAGAAAGACCAGTAGAGAGACGAGTAGAGAGAAGACTAAAAACACGTACAGAGAGACGGACAAAAAGACAAGTAGAGAAACGGACAGAGAGACGGACATAGAAACGAGTAAGAAGATTAACAACGAGACAAACAGGGCGATATATAGAAAGACTGAAATGGAGGCAAGACAGAAGATCATTGCTGTCATATGTATATATTTCCAGTTGTGAGCTGAGAGCCATTTTCCTACCAAAAAAAAAAAAACACACACAACATTTTGAGCTCAATAATATTTTTCGCAGTGTAATAATCATATTAGAGTGGTCGGAGATGGGTGGCAAACGAAGGAGAAGAAGGTAGAGGTATCGCTGGCAGACCTGGTGGAAGGGGGTCGCATACCCACACACCCGCACGCGATAATTTATCAATTGGCATCAATTTAGGCGCGCACAGGCCCAGGCACTGGGCCCAGGCACCAGCTCGTGGCATTTCTTTGCCGTTCGTCGTGCTCCGTCTGTGTGCTTACACTTTTTCCTCCTCCGCATTCGGATTCGCGCTTGCTCCGCTGACCGATTTTTTGGCACACTCGCGGTTAAAACCACGCCGAGACATCCACGCAGAGCATCCAAAGCATTTCCGGAGCCCAAAGCGAGTCCTAAAAGACTATCCATGGCAGGCCCAGGCTCTGGCTCTGGCCCAGGCTCACGTTCCGGCTCAGGCTCAAGTTCAGGCTCATATACAGTTTCAGATTCAGAGTTAGTTTTCGATACCGATTGCGATTCCGGCGGCGGTGGCGGTGGCGGTGGCGGCAGTTGTGCTTACGATTGTTGTGCAATGGCCGATAAGTCGATAACCGAAACGGGAGCATCAACAACCACTGTAATAAATACTCGCAGAGGCACCACAACAATTGCATTTATATTGCTATTAATACTCTGCTGTTTATGTGATTACAACTATGGAAGTACGTAGTACCCTTCTCTCTAACTGTTTTAGTTCCTTTTACCTCTTTTTTTGTTTGTGTTGAAAGTTTGATCAGTGAGAAATTATGATTCGTTGCTCATACGCACTGTGGTCCCTCTAAGAAACTGTATGCTGAGTATTGATGTGGGAATACATTAAAAGTGTTTAAACTTGTAAATATAATAAATGATTAAAGAGTTTATTGTGTTTTATTAGATTTTTTTGTATCATTACTTAAAGTAAGTTTAGTTTAGGAAAATGTAAAAAAGCACTTGAATAAGGATTAAAACGTTTATAAATGTTAACGTTTAATTTAAACAGTTAATAGTCTTTTAGAAATGTTAAAAATAATATTTTATTGCTTAAGTAATGGTTAATAAATATTTAATTATAATTTAATATTAATATTAATATTTAATACATATTAAAAAAATTTGTATTATAAAATAATACTTTTATAAACGTTAAAGTTTATTTAAAACTGTTAATAGTCTGTTAAAAATGTCGAAAAGAATAATTTATTGTTGGAGTAATAGTGAACAATTAAATAAATAAATAGATAAATAACTAAATAACTAAATAAATAAGAGAAATAAGTCAATATATAAATAAGTAAATAAATAGGTAAATAAAAATCACCTTAAATTAATCAAAACTCCACCTCAATTGCAGTAAAAAAAACCCACCTGAGCATTAATTGTTTTATACCAAGAAAGAGCAGAAGACCCACTCCCAACTCAGATTAGCTAGAATATATGCTCATTCTTAACTTTACCAAACTTACCCCTTTATATAGACATATATATAATATATATATTTCCAGGCTGGGCATCGCAGTGCTGGAGGAAACACAACTCGGGCTCGATCCAAACGCCAGACGGTGAATTTAAGCGACCCTTTGGCATACTCTGCACATATCGCTGCTTTCTCTGGTTTCCGCCGATGTAAGTTAGGCAATCGCTACCAGTTCGCACCATTCCCTGCCATTGAAATCCAACATATCCACACTATACATATATATTAAATATATGGTATATAGATTGCACCCAAAATCCGCCCACTCTCGCTGCAATTTGCAATTTATGCATGCTTCTGTTATTTCGTAGTGTGAATTGCATTTTAAAATAAACTTGTTTGGCTTTTGCTTGGGGTTTGCTTTTCGGACTTGAGCCTTGGGGCGCTCTCTATACACACATACATATATAGCGATATATATATGTACCGATACAAGTACATATAGACGTTGGCATTTGAATTGCATAACAATTAAAATGGCTGCTGGCAGCATTGTTTCTTTTCCAGCAAAGAGCTGTTATGGCCACCGCCATCGGAATAAATATTATATCAGCACCGTAGTACTCACTCTCCCCCCCCCCTCTATAGCTATATATAACATCCAGAATGGCCCGTTTGGCTTATGGTTTATTGTTCTTTCTTCTTTCAGTTATCCCTACTGCGAATTCATATTCGATCTGCGGCTGTCAAGGCACTTCACCTCCTTCCCAGACTGCTACGAGATTCGCTGCAACGAGACCTTCTCCTTCTTCGGCAAGGAGCCCAACTATTGAGGACCCTCTGGGTCATCTGCTGCTCCTTCACCTCCTCCCTTTTCCCTCTTCATCAGGCTTTTTTTTTTTTTTTTTTTTGCGAATACTTTCTCTGACTAAGAATTGTATGCTTCTTCAATAAATATGGGTTACTGCATAAAATAATCAAATGGTTTCGTTATCCTTTTAGTGGTAAAGTGAGTGGGTTAAGGTTAAAAACCGGAGAAAGGTATAAAAGAACAGGTTGCCTAGACAAACAACCATTGGTGTTCTTTAGTTTGCCTGATTTATATGATATATTGGGTCGGAAATGAGTCCATCATTGTCTTTTAGTCTATTTTATAATATTTAATGAAGCTTTTTGTTAAGTTTTTTTGTAAAATTTTTAGGTAAATGGTAGCCATTTCTTTTAAAGAAATTCATAAAATTCATAAAACCTCTTTAAGAACTCGAAGCTACTTGTAAATTTAGTATTGATACTCAGACACCCTTTTAAGTGTCTGTCTCAACTAGAAGTCATTAATGCTGATTGCTTTCAAATCTCACACCTTCTCGCTCCCAAGGAGGTCCTGATGAATTGTCCTTGTGTCCTTGCGCTCTCCTTCCACTTATCAACCATATGCCACTTGAGGAGGCCCTCTCGAGAGGTGTTCATTGCCTTGGCGCCAGGCTGCAGGCAATTTCCTTTACTTTCCCTTTCGGCTGGCTTTTAGTTTATTTCCGGTTTCGTAATAAAGGACACAAACAAATAAACAAAGGGCCACAAGGGGACAAAGGCGGCACAGATACAGATATAGTATGTAGTATGTATGTACTGGAGAGAGCCGAGACCGGCCTAACCTCATTCAATTCACAAATATTTGCATACAAATTAGCATTCTAATTGACTCGGTCGTCCCGAAAATAAAGTAACCAACTCGCAGGCATCGCAGGAGGTAGGTCCTTTCGCTTCCCCCGGCTGCATGTGATTTGCCAAAAGGACCAGCCGGGGGATGGGTTACCTTTGTCCATTGTCTTGGCGGTTGTGTCTGTGCACCACAAGAAATGATTGGGTTTATATATAAATTTTTAAGAAAAAGAAATATTTAGCTAAATATTTATTTTGAATAGTATTACCTATATTTTATATGGTATATAATTTTATAATTTATTTACTTCCAGATACTTTACCTTTTCAGTTTAAGTAATAAAATACTGAAATTTTGAGTATAATGTTTAATTTCCAGTGTAATTTTCAAACGCTTAGCCGCCGCCCGAGTTAATTGTTTGCTTAGTGTCATAAAAATACAGTTTACGCCTTCCACAACAACACGTACATCTGGGCCCCGTCACGCCCCATGGAGCCAATTCCCCCCCAGGTGGTCTCCAGTCTCCGGTCGCCTGTCTCTATGGTCCATCCTTCAGATCTCTCCAGCGATGTGGCTTAGTTGGAGTTGGGCAGGCGGAATGGGAATCGTTTCGGGAATGGAAATGGCGGAGGGCGAAGAAGTGAAGCGAGTGGATAACGGGCACGTGCAAACAAAAGGTCGTCGCAGACAATGTTGTCGCTGAAAAACTTTTAACTTTTACAAACTTAATTGTTGCCTGCTCTAAATATAACGCAGCAGGTCCTTCGTCCTGTGGGTGTCGGCTGGTGGTCGCGGGTGGTGGTGGCGAGTGGCGTGACGGGAATCGCCTTTGTGCCAGGGCGTTATATGGAATTTATGGCACTTTGGACGCTTAAAGCTATATTTAATATTTTCACAATGGGAAATTAATAGAAACAGCAGGAGAGGGTGTGAGGTGGGGATTTTAGGAATGGAATTTATAATGAATTCACTTATTTCAATGCTTACAAAATGTTGAAAAATGAGCCAAGCTAAAGATAAAGCTTCCCTTCTTGCCTAATATATTTTACATTATATTTTTGCATGAATATATAGTATTATAAATACTAATTCTCGACTTTCTAAAAAATTAAATAAAGAAAACAAATAAATTGGTTTATTTAATATATTTCATGCATGCTCCCCGCTCACCATGGCGTATGCGTGATATTAAAACACAAGACTTGACGAACCTGAAATATGGTTAATTTGAAATGAAACAAAACGAAAAAAGAAAACAAAATGCCATGCCGCAAGTAAGCCCGCAAAGTACTCCAGAAAGGTCCTAATAAATTAAATTAAGGCGTCGCCCAGGAGATTTCTGAATTGCAGGTGAAGTACGTAGCTAATTCGAGAGCTGATGCTGAGCTGCCACGGTGGCGTATACGTGATGTGACGCATGTGCGATATGCGATGTGTGCAGCAGTAGGGAGCTCCCTGAAAACTTAAAACCCCCTCAGCTCAACTCTGCCAAATAAATATTCCGAATGCAATTACGCGTGGAATTTGCTAGCACTTATCGTGTCGCTGTTGTTGCCGGCAAAAAAACTTATTTAACTTTTTACGATGTCATTTGGGGAAAGTTTGTAATCATTTTCGTTAGTGCATGCTTCAAAAATGGCAAAAGAAAAGATGCCAAGAAATTATTTATACGATTTTCAGACAGTTGAAAGTGTACGAGAGCGTCGAGTATAAATAAAACGCAGCGCTTTCTTATTCCATTCGATCCAAGGAGTTGGCGGTGGAGCCCGCCCGAGTTGCTCTCCAACTGCCAGTCGAAGTTTTCAAAATTTTTGCTTTCCACTTTTCCACGGCTCTCCTGCCTCCCTCCTGCGAGGGAAAGTTCCCTGTGTATTAGTGCGTGCAGCGATTCGAGAAGGCCGAGATGAAACTTTTACTTGCGACTGCAACAGCTCCGCCTCCCAGCTTCCAGCTTCCAGCTCTAGCCTTGGCTTTTACCTCTCCTGTTTATCCATTTACAGGTTCCCAGCAGCTGCTGCCACCGAAAAACTTTGGGCTAATCCCTAGTCCCCAGAAATCTAGGTGAGTGCAACAGATTTACCAATTCATTTAGCCCTTCTGGCACGTGGCTCTGCTGCCTTTGCCTGATCTATGAGACATAGAGTTGAGGTTGGTCAGATCTTAATCCTCGTTTCCTATGATTATGATCAATTCCTTACGGATTACTTATTTATATTTTAAGATTCTCTGCGTGTCATCTGCGGAAAAACAGGACTTGAAGCCAACTGAGACATTATTTTTCTAATGCATCGCAGAAGTTTTCCTGTTCCTTCGCCTGCATGGGACAGCTCTGGAAAAAAAAGCTTTTAAGCTACTTAGGGTTTTTCCCCTGCTCTTCGAAGGAGGAGCAGACGGGGGGCTAAAGACCCAGCTAATGAGTTGACAGACCACGCCCCCCAAAAGAGGGAGGAGGAAGAGGAGGAGAGATACTGGAAACAGATGGGTTACAAGTACTCGCATCCAGCGGATATGGGGGAGGAGCTGCCCTCGATGAACTTTGTCCTTGCGGGTCAAAGTGAAGTCAGCAGATGGACTTTCTAATGCAGCCAGAGAGTATTTAATAATATAGGGAAACTTTCGTTTTAGTAAGTTAAATTATGTTTAAATTAGTAAATAATATAATTTGTTAATTTTAATTTTTACAATAATAATTAAACTAAAGAAAATCTGTTAATATTTGAAGCGAATCTATATTTTAAAGTTGGTATACATGTAGTTGGTTTACTTTTAATTCATTGATATTTGTATACTAAAATTAGTTTTGTTAACATAAAAATAAAATATTTGTAATATATCAAACTTTACTATTTGTCGTTATATCCACCCTTAATATATTTTAGATATAAAAGTCTTTAAAATGCATTCAACATTAAGCAATTATCGATATGTTAGAGTCAACGATACTTTCGATAAATTTCGACATTTATCGTATGTTTTCGATATGTTTACGATATTTTTAGTTATCAAAATTTATTTTGATAATTCATATAAATATATATCTTTTCGATGTATACAATTTTACGATATTATGAATATAGAAAAAATTACGATATTTTGGCTATCAATATATCGTATCAATCTTTTTCTCTTGTCATATATCCCCAATTCGAATTCTTGTTAAAATGTAACTCATATATTTTTTTAAATAATATATCAAATTTTATTTGACTCGATTCTTTTATCTGATTTTTCGTTTGCAAAATTTCACCTTGCAACATATGTATGTATATAAACGTATACATATTTATTTAATTTTATTTTGTAAAAAAACAACATAATGCCATGGACTCCCCAAAAAAAAAAAGAAAACATTCAAACCGATCGCAATTGAGTTTTATTGTTGGGCATACACACGGTACACACGGCACACACGGTACACAACAAACAACACACAACACTTGCACTTGACATTATTGCGATGGTTGCGAAAACAAACGATTATTATGACAAACTGTTTCGTTTGAATCTCTCGCTCTCTGGGCTCTTGTCTCTCACATTAGGTGGGACCTGGAGCTGGACCTGCGATTTGATTGGATTGGCTTGGATTGGATTGGGGGCATTAATCACGGGGCCAGCTTAGGCCTGGGTGAAAACGCAAAAATTTGCATTGCAATTTTATTCTTGATTTAATCAAGTGGCATGGCACAAACGCCAATTTAACTACACACAGTGGGGCAGTCACACACACACACACACACACAAGACCGTCAGACGTTGCGTATACGTAATAATGGACATGCATGTCGCCGCCGCCGCTGTACTGTGTGTGGCTTGGTGTGAGCTTAGCGCGTAGTTTGCACCCGCCAGCCGAGCCAGTAACCACCAACGAGATGTACCAGCTGGAGAAGATTTGGGTCCTGCTGTGCCTGGCCCTTGTCGGCGTCCTTGGCTTTGGCCAGTTTCACATGAAGCACTACCAGCTGCAGCGTAACTACAATACGCAGGAGGATTCTGGCGAGAACGACAACAGCGTGCTGCGTGAGTGTTTCTCTATATAAAAATATATATATTTCTTTTGAATTATTATGGTTTTTATTTTTTTTTTTGGTGTAGGAACCTTCCGGCGCTGCATGTGGGAGCAGTCCAAGTTCCTGCCCCGCCGCCTTGTCCTGCTCAGCCTGTGCTCGAATCTGTTCTGCGAGAACAATCACATTATGCCCCGTTCCAGGTCTATTTTCGTAGTGGAAAAAATGTCTAGGCCGAATGAGTAGTGTTGACCAATGCCATATCTAGCTAAGCATGTGCAACCACTTCCTCTCCTGTCTGCAGGAATGCTGCATGCTCCTTTATAAACCCCTTTCCCCACCCCCACCCTTGGAAATTGTAGAGCCAGAACTAATGCCTCTTTGTGTCCCTCTGTGTGTCCCCGCCCACTGTTCTGCTCTCTCTTCCAGCTGCCTGGACATCCTGCCCGAGCAGTGCGAGCAGGGCGATGAGGAGGAGCTGATGTACAAGCCCTTCCCCGACTGCTGTCCGGTTTATTGCAACCTGAAGCGGCGGATGCAGCGCCTGCGCACCATGCACTTCCGTCATCGCCTGCTGCGCGACGGCTCCACGGGATCCACGGGCTCCGGATCCAGCACTGCCGGCGGCGATGGGCCCAACAATTCGCTGCTCAGTGAGTTTGTCTACAACAACTACTAGGAGATGGAGTCAAGGACATGCCGGTGAATTAAATTATTCTGCGATTTGTGAACTTGACAACTTGGCATTCCGACAAGGGGGATTCCCCAGCATTATAGGCGTCGTCATCGTCACACTGAGCGAGAAAATGCCACCCTGGAGACCCCATGACCACGAATTTGTATTATAACTATCACTGGGATATAATCAGCAATGAACCAGGCTTACACTTGATATAAACATCCTAAATATAAGACTAAATATAATATAAATCAGCTATAATTAACTTGTATTTCTCATTGTAAGTGTGTTTGTTGTTTTTGTTCACATAAATGAGGTGCGGCTTGAGATTGTTGATCTGGAAATATATAGTTTTTTAACAAGAAAATTAAATGATTTAATTTATTATTTTATTTACAACTTACTACATTTTCTAGCTCTGTATAATCAGGTGGTTAGACAGCCACTGGGTCCAGAACTTGCTCTTCACAGTGAGAATCTCTCGAACTGGCTTTTTGTCACTCTTCTGATTTTGCGTCTAGACAGGCTCTCGAAAGGGTCGAAAGTTGGTAGCCCAAGTAGGGTACTCCTCCTGCTCATTAGATTTAGTTCTTTATTTTTTCGAGGACTGGAAGCTAGAAGCTGTCGTGTCCTTGTTTTCTGGGGTTATACATACATATATCCTTTTGCAGCGCTGCTTCCTGCTTCCGCTTATCGTTTTAACACTTTTACGTTGCAGATGCAGGCTGCAGCTGCTGCTCCAGTGCTTCTGTCTTCGTTTTTATCTGCAAACAAGCAATAAATTTTATTTTAATAAGCAACACTTTTGATAGCCAGCCACCGAGCTGCATCTTCCATCTTCCCCAGCTTTCTTCCTTCTGCTTCCTGCTTCCTGCTTCCAGCTCCTCCTCCTTCTCCGCTTCTGTTCAGCTCTGTCTTCTGTGCTTGGTCCTGTCCCTTTCCTGGTAGCCGCATCCTTGCTGTGGCGCTGAAGTAAATACAAAAGATACTCGGCATCATCGGCTCACCGTTAGCTGCCATAATGTTGCGGTCCAAAGGCAGGGGCGTCGAGTCCTAACGGGGGTATACATAAGGTGTAGACAATAATATGTTAAAAATAGAAATATAATTTTAATAATATTATCAAAGTAAATATATTAACTTGAACTTGATTTAATGATGCAAATAATAGATTATTAGCTAGAAATAAGTATATATAAGATTGATACAAATATTTTTGAATATTTAAGAAATATCTAAGAAAAACTTAGAACATTTCTCTAAAATTAAGAAAAAGTTTTAATAAATTTAAGGCAGCTTACCATAAAATCCAAGCAAGTCAATATTTTTATATACATAATTCTTCCTAAAAAACCATGGCGAATTCTCCGTAAAAATTGTTATGTGCACATCTAATTCCCAACTGGTTCTAACATTCCCTATATGAAGCGACGGCTGTCGGTCAACTCTTATAGTTTTTTTTTTTATCTTTTAGTGTTACCAGGGCAGATAGGGGTGTACTTAATGATGTTGTTTGTGGATTTGTAGATATATTTGCAGATCGCATAAATTAAGCAACAAATTTGTTTTAAAGTCATAAGTAAATTTAATTATAGAAATACTAAAAAATAGTTAACTTCAACTTGATTTAATTATGAAAATAATAAATTGTTACTGCTAAAACTTTGATTTTTTGAAAGAAATATTCCTTGAATAGATTTGTACTACTTTATATGCTACTTTCCAGAACTCTTTAAGAATTATAGAGCAAAGTTCAACTATAAAATCAGAATTACCAATGTTCCTCTCTATCTTATCTTTAATTGACTTTTAAGCAAATAGAAAACTATTTTTACAACTTTATTTCCTAAACAATAATAATAATATTTAATATTTATGAATAATCATGAAAAAACTCCCTCAACTTTCTTAAGAAGCCCCAACTCAAGACTCCATTCGATGGCGGAAATTGTTTTTCTTTAAGCGGCGACAACAACTTAAGCTGATTGGCCAGATACAATCACATATATATTGAGCTGAATTGTACCTGCATCGTGGCTTTTTGTTTATACAGGACCCAGGACTACTGGCTGACTGCAATAACTGGTGAAATCACAATGAGAGCGAGAGGGAAATTGCAAACAATTACGAGTCATTTGGCGGGAGTCCGCCCCCCTTTCTGGCAGCCACGCCAATGTCTTTGGCTTTGTGGCGGATGCAGGAGGCAGGAGGCAGGATTCGGTACCCACTACTACTACCCAGTAAGCAGTAACCAGTTCCACTTTTGGTTCCCAGTATCCCCGTGGACCATCCGCCGCCCGTTTACTTTGTGTGCGGCTGCCACATCCTGGCGGTGCTCCTCCTGCCTCTCATCCTCAAACGTCGTCTTCTTATTTTTTATGTGGCTTTATGCGGCAACATCTCATTGTGTGTCCTATATGTGTTCGTGTTGGTGTCGGTGTTCGTGTCTGTGTTGGTGTGTCCTGTCCTCTGAATGTGTGTGTGTATGCTTTAGCTGCTTTGCCGTGCTTCTTGTACTTATTGTTGTTGTTGCTTTTTTTACTTTGTTGCACTTTGAAGATTATTGCACAATGCAATTTATATTTATCGTACGCTTTTAGTTCTAGCCGCTTTTTGTTTGGTCCACTCTAAGGGAAATGGAGCTTATGTGCTGGCCAAATAAGGTTAACCTTAATTAAAAAAACCAAAACCAAATCCAAAGCTTTGATTAACTTTAGAAATATATAACTTTTAATGGGTTAAACTTTACTAATTATTTTTAGAGAAAAAAAAAGTGAAAGGGATTATTATATAAAAGTATTTTTAAAGGCATAATTTTTTATATAATTTCAAGTAATTATTTTATTTTAGATTTATTTATTTAAAGAAAATATATTTATTACAGAGCATCTAGTCTTCTTGGTGTCGTCATCTTAGCATTGATAATGTTTTTGTTTCATTTATGTCCTTGGTGATGCCATCATATATACTTGCTTGGTTGCCTGCAAACACAACCAAGCACATACTATCTTGCATCCTGGTGGCTCCTCCTGGCTCCTGGCTCCTGGCTCCTTTGGCGGTGATATGTGGGGCGTCATACCTGCAGAGCAGGCTGTGAAAAGTGCATCTAGGGGGGGTGTTGTTCGGGGACGGGCATTCTACTTTATCTGCATGTGGCCACATTGTGGATGATTATAAAAATTCAATGCATTCATAATAGTGTTTTTGCTTTGCCCGTCTTAGGGCAGCTTTTCTTTAGCAAGACAAAGGAAAATTACAACCAAGAACGCTGGCTTTTCCACCTTAAAGCTCTTGGGATTTAGTCACTTTTTTCTTTTGTAATAAGTTAGAGTTGGTTTGGTGTTGGTTTGCTGCCTGGTTTTGTGACAATTTGAATGGTGTATCGAGTAAAATGCCAAAATGTCCATTAATTAACATTGGCTTGAAGAGCAACTTCTGGCTCAGCTCAGCCCTCTCATTCCCAGTGGCGGATTTTCCAGCCGTCTTTGTTGCCTTAGCGGACTTTTCCATCACTTTTTTCATTCAGTTTTTCCCGGGCTTACACAATTAGGCAGAGCGGACTTCTGGGCCCGAACTCAAAACTGTTGAGTTGTCGTCGGAGCACTTTGAGTTTTCGCTTATTGACATTCTTCAAAAAATGAAAAATAAAATAAAGAGAGAGCACTGCCAAGGCAACAAGGGCAAGACGAAGCAAAAGCACTAAATAACTTTTGAATAAAGTTAAAGCTTGGAATCAATAATGACGAGACAGATTTTCAGCGAGTGCTGGGAGCAGCTACCCTTTCTGAATTTCAATTTTTGGAACGGGAAAGAGTTTTTGTTGATGATTGAGATTGATCTTAAGTTTGAGGAATATATATAAACATTTAATTAATAAATAAATATGTAATTGTGGGAACGTACAACTAAAATTTCAGTAAATTAAAAGTATAGACATGAAAGTTATTAGAAAATTAAGTTTATTTTGAAGCTGTAGATAGGCAATATAAATATGTTGCTGATTTGGTTTCTAGCAACATTTGCCTAGCTACATTTATTTAGTTACATTTTACTAGCAAGGAAAATGATTTGCTAATTCTCGCTAGGCACATATGCTTAGCAACATTGGCCTTGATACATTCACTTAGACACATTTCACTAGCTACATTTGTCTGGCCACATTTTTGTAGGAACTTTGGCCAAGCCACATTTGCCTAGCAACATGTCCCTAGCAACATTTGCCTAGCAGCATTTGCCTAGCAACATTTGCCTAGCAATATTTGCCTACCCACATTTGCCAAGCCACATTTGCCTAGCAACATTTGCTTAGTAACATTCGACTAGCTACATTTGCCTTGATACACAGGCAACTTTAACCTAGAAACATGCCTTTTCCACCATGTTAAATGCAGGTTTTGAGCTTCGTTTTATATTATTTATAATGAACAAAATAATAATACTACAAAAAATCACTATCTTGACACTGTAATTCCCAACTAGTTGTAGCATCTCCCGAGTGGTAACCCAGCTGAATGTTGAGGACGATTGGTGAGGCAGTGTTGTTGTGTGGTATATTCAAATCCCATTTATCAACAATAAAAAACTTAATAGATTTATAAAAATAAATATGCATTACATATATAAATATATATTTTGAGATACATTTCCATATAAACTCCCCTTTAGCAGCCTTGATTACTTATATTTCTTGGCTAGCAACCCATTTTAATGAGGGCATCGGCTGCTGCCATTCCCATTGCGTGCTCGGTTGAGCCCTCGGGCTCCAGGCACAGTATATCCCGGCTGGTCTGGAGCAGCTTGACCACCTCCTTCAGCCGACGCTGGAACTCCTGGCGTGAGATCTGTCCCCTCTGCATGCCCATTTGGGCTAGAACCATCACAGGGGCGTGCAGTTCGTACATGATGAGTCCTGAAGCAAAACATAAAGATGAGACTATGAGAAAGCACCGTTTAAGGATAGCATACCCCTTAGACGCGTCAGACCGGGATCCAGGATATCAACGATTTCCAGAAACTCTCGGCAATAGCTCTCCTTTCGGGTAATATCTTCCGGCGACATTTCCGGCAGCAAATAACCCTCGATCCGGCCGTATATCTGGCACAACGAGTACTTGGCCGAGAGCAGGAGATAGTGGTTGGGTCGCAGGACATTCCGATATCTGCGGGAAGGGGACAATCGGCTTTGTGAGAAAGCAATAAAAGGATGTCAAAGTGTTTCAGGTAATGTAGAGAAAATTATTATTATTATTATTATTATTAAGAATTTAAAGATTTATGAAGAAGCGCTTTTAGGTGGCGACGAGGAGCTGCTGACTTTCTGCAGGACTTTCTCCTGGAGGTGATTGGTCTAAAATGATTCTTGAAATTAGTAAAAGCTGGCAGAAGTATACAGATATTGCCGACTGTAATTCCTGACCAGGAAGAAGTACGCACCTTAGGAGAAACTTCTCCAGTCCGGGAATGTCATGGACATCTATGGACTCCAGGTCATTGTTGATGCGGTCCAGCAGGCGCTCCAGATCCTCAGAGCCCATCCGATGAGGGCAGCGATCGCAACTAACAGGATATAGTGAGATTTATGTTACTCCCGAAAAGGATATAAATATTCCCTGTATACTCACGCCCAGTCGCCAGCCTGCTCCAGTGGCTCCAATGCCCTCACTGTACCCTCCCTGCAGGCAGAGCAGACCAAAGCACTGCAATCGCTGCCCAGCTCCCGGGGATCGGCACAGCGCTCGCAGCGGCACCAGAACAGCTTCCCCTCGTGCATAAAAGACCTCCGCTTGAGGGTGCCCTGCAGCGTGTACGCATAGCTGAGCGTCAGCGCTTCCCGCTCGCGCACGCGCCTCGAGGTGCGCAGCAGGATGGCATAGGATCTGGGATCGTCCGTGTGCGCCGTATTGGGACGGCAGTCGTGCGCGAGCAGGAAGGCGCTCGGATATAGCGTCCGCGCCTTGGACCCATTCTGGCCGATCTCAAAGCAATTCACATCCAGTATCCCGCACACCTCATGAACCTGCTCCGCGGGCAAATCCTCTAGCTGCCAGTCCTGTCTCAGTCGCTGGACCACCTTCTCCTCGTAGTGCTGCCAGAGTACTGCATTCTTGCGGCGCTCCTCGGTGTGCGACTCCATGCGGGCTATCAGCTGGAACTGCTCCGGATCGTGCTGGCGCAACAGCAGGATGCGCACGATCATCACCAGCTCGTATAGGTCGCGCACTTCCGCCGGACCGGCGCGATCCGTAAGCAGTTCTCCAGCTGCTGCCTTTCGCTCTCCATACAGCTGGCACTCGTCGGCAGTGTGTCCATGTCGATGGTTCAAACCAGAGCAGCTGGGGCCACACAAGGGCCACGCACAGGCGGGACAGCGATACTGATCTGAGGCAAGGGTCACCGGGCGGTAGCAGCCCAGACAGACGGGATCGCCACTCACACAGGGTCCAATGGCCAATGGCTCCTCGGTGATGAGCAGCTCGCCGGGCTCTAGTTGTCGACTGGCCACCAGATATCGTCCATATATCTCAGATTTTTCAATACGATAGGGTAGCGCCTGCTCTGGCAAGGGACTCGCCTCCTTGGCTGGCCTGGGCTTCTGGTCTTTCTGGTGGTTGTTGTTTGTTGTTGTTGTCCTGTGGCCGCCATTCCGGTGATGGTGCTGAACGGAAGGAAAAGGGAGGAGGATAGAGGGAAGAACGGAAGACAAGAGCGCTCATTAGTGGCGACGTCCACTGCTAATTGTATTCTAATTGCTGTCCCCTGCTCTGGCTCATTAATCAACGGTTCGGTTCGGTTTGGTTTGGTTTGGTTTGGTTTGGTTTGGTCAGGAGACCACCCAACGCCCCTTGTCAACAGCTGGCAATTAAATGGCACTCAGCTGGCCGCAACAGGTGCTCCGCCCCACATGAACATCGAGGTGTCTCAATCGATCAACATTTCCTCCATTAGCCACTTATTTAAACTGATGATGGCTTTTAGACGCCGTCTCGAAGGTGGCACCAAGTTAACTAATTTGCACCTGTCTAGAAGGGAACCACCTCTTAGTTTGGGGTACTTTGTGGATTCATTGAAGGGTTTATTAATTCTCAACAAAATTAAGCTGTAATTTTCTATATATTTGTGATGGTTTTTTAATGCAGATTTTAACTAAAACAAACTGGCTTAAATGTTAAGAAGAAGTCGGGGGTTCTTCTGGCCTTAAAACATTTTTATTTTATCTAAAAATAATGAAATTTAAGTCTGGCTTTTTGCTCTGAAGATATGTTTATACAATATATATATGGAATATATATTTAAGGTTCACAAAAATTTGTACCATATTTACCAAACCTCTTAAACGCCAGGTAAAGTTCAAATGGCATTGAATGTTTCCGGCGAAAATATACATATATTCCAAAAAAAGAAAGGAATATATATTTAACAATTTTCCAACTGCATACTTCTAGGCAGAATAAATAAATAAAAATGCAATGCAGTCGTAACAAAACTAGTTGCCTTTAGATTTAAGAATTAATTGTAACAAGAAATCCTAATTAATTGTTAATAATGTATATTTAAAGTCTCCCTAATTTTTTAAAATTTGTATATATATCTTCTTTTAATATTCTATTATATTCTCTATAAACAACCCTTTTTGATTTCCGATTAATTTGATTTATTTGAATAGTTTGTGCGGATAACGTAATCATTTATCATTCGCTACCGATCGGATAATGATTCATAGTCCGCTCGCGTGGCAAAAATCAATTTCCATATTTCTGGCCTCTCTCATCGCTTGCTGCTGCATATATACATATATATCGGATTCATTCATATCCGATTTATTTATAGGCGGCAACGCTTTTGAATATCGCCGGGCCCACATTGCGCCCGTTATAAATAAAAACCGAAAACACAACAAAGAAACACCCCCAAAGACCCCGCCCAGTGGGCACAGTGGTTCCTCACTCTCCAATTTCACAAAAAAAAAAAAAAAAAATAATAAATAAAATAAAAACACAAACTGAACAATTCGAACAAAACAAAGAACAGAAAAAAAAAGAGTATCCAAAATAGATTCGTGTTGGCTCTCTGTGTTGGTTCAGGAATTTTTATACGTCTTCATGGGGCACTGATTATATAGTGCACTCGATCGAGGGGCTATAGCCCCGAGTCCGACTCCCGTGGCTTTTATTTGCCGTGTCATTAAAAGCTCGGCCATATGCAGATACACGTTCACCAAATAATCGGAACACGGAAAGAAACGAAAACGATTTTGGGAAGCAATATATATTAATTATACAAATATAAATATTTAGAAAATCTGGTTGGGAATTTTGAGATTTATTTAAAATTATTTGTATTTTGTTTTGTATTTATTTCTAGTCAATAATTTAATTTCAGAAAAGTCTTGTACAAAAAAATAACTTGGTTTAAAAATCTATTATAATTCCACAGAAACCAAACTGAAATAAACTGAAATAAATTTAAACAAAAATATAAACTGTAAACTAATTAATATAATATATATATAAATTATTTCAAAATATAAATAAAACCAAAAGCAGTATGAGTTGTTGATCATTTATAATTATTTTCGTAATAAAAGCTTACTAACAATAAAATCAACTCTTTTAGTCCAATTTTGCTTTTACTTGTACATTTGCCTTTATATATAGTATACCCAATTTTATTTATAAAAAAAAAAAAAAAACAGTTCTATTTAGCTGTAAATTTAGCTTTAAAAAAAAATGTACTAATTTCTTGCTGTGCTTATGTAAATGTGGTTTACATTTTACATGTACTATTTGCCGTTGTCCGTGTGGTAAATTAATTTTTAATTATGCAGCCGCTGCGCTACCTGTGGTGTTTACTTTTTTTCTTCCCGGCATCGCTTTTATTTGTATTTAAATTTGATTTTATTTTATATATATATCACCGAGGAGGACCGCTTGTTAATTGATTTTAATTGATAATTTTAACGCGGTGCGTGCACGAGTTATTTAAAGGTTCTCTCACACCCGCTCGCATTTATCGCAATTTAATAGATATGTTTAACAACTTGTCAATTAATTGCGCCTTTGCAAATTGCGCGCGGGGGAAGGCGATGAAAAATTCTGGGAAATTCTGGCCACGCGTTGCTGTTGTTCGTTCGAGTCGCGGCAACGCACAAATTGCAACTGTCGAGTTGTCGTCGAACGTTGAATGTCGAAAATCTGAGAGACGGCGGCCGCTACGCCCAAGTTGTTGGCACACATTCAAATTCAACGGCACACACACACACACACACACATTTCCACAGTTGATATTTTTAAAAATTTATGATATTGAAAACATTTTGGCCACAGGTCCGGCAAGAGCCAGAGGAATGCCAGCACCGCCAGTGTATATCTGATTAAAAGTTTGCGCCGGCAATGCCACTGTCAAGTTGCTTTAAATTGCCCTGAAATGTACCGAGATAGAGTTCTCACTTGTCGCTGTTTTGCCACAAAATAAATCAATTTATTTCTGGCGGCTCTATTAAAACGCAAGCACAAATTGCAAGGCGATATCTGCATAGATATTGTTATAATAATAGTTTTTTTAAGATACTTAAGACTTAATTGCATAGGTTTTTGGGTCACATTCCCCTGGCTTAGTAGTTGATTGTAAATATAATTTAGTCTGTAGAAAAAATAAGATATGCTTTCATTGTATTACAACCTTACGAAACCTTGGAAGGAGTTAATTATCACTGAGTAAATAAGTTTTGATTTGTTCCGCAATTCAAAAGCACATTGAAATCCTTTGTTATTCCATTGTTCTGCTTATATTCGAACCTTAACCCTATTAACTGCATTACACTGTAAAGAAACTACCTTTAAATGGATAAAATCAGCAAAGGGAATATTTTTGAAAATGAATTTATGGTTTGTGAGATGTTTTAGACTATTTTAAAATATTTTTAGAGAATAAAGAATAAAATTAAAAATAAACTCAAGCTGCTGTCATCTCTGCCTTTCGCTTCTTTACCATTTTTTTCATGTGTATAGCAGTAATTCCAAGCAAATTGCAAACAACATTATAAAGCTGAGTTAATTGTAACAGCAAGTAAGTATTTTTACAGGGGAAACTGCCTAGGAAGAAATTTAAAAAAATTGTTATTAAATTATTTGATAATTAGTATAATTATTGATCTATAATTGTACACAATATTACATGATGTTACATGATAAGTGTTTAAATGAAATTAAATAGCTTACATTTATATTGTAATTATTTATTAGATTCACTATATTTCTAAAGAGCAGCAGCCTTATTTAGCCGCTCTTGACAGTAGTATGTCCCAGCCAGGTCTTAACTCTTACGTGCCGCTACGACTTCTCGGCCTCAATGTGAGTCTGGCTAATTTCCCTTCACTGGCTGCATTAAATGCCAAAATGGCTAGACAAAGGGAATAGCAATGAGTTTGGCAGGACATTATTGTAATAGCAAATAGCCATGGTCCACACATCCTTAGGAGTGCTCACGTGCATACGTCTGGGGCAGCTTAATAATTTATTTTCACCTGAAATCTGTCCGGGCGGATGAGGCTGCAACCTGGCCCGAAATTGGGAGGACGTTTTCTGGGAGCAGTTCTGAGGCAAAAGTGCAATAATAAATAAAATTGCTTTGCCCATGGCCACAAAACTCGGTCCAAAACTAAAGCCGACTTAAGTCAGCATCCTGTTGATATTTCCTACAAATTTTCCACCTCCCGATTTATGCAATTTTCCTTTTTTTTGATAATGTGTGCTGTCATCATGCCATACATATATGTACTTTGTAGCTCATTCGCCTGCTTCTTTATGCTACTGCGAGGGCATTTCAATTAGTTTTGGAAATGTGTAGCCAGAGGCGGCTTTTTAGTTGCCATTGATGTTGCTTCTTTTTTGATTTTAATTGTTTTTATTGCATTCGCCTGAGGTGGATCAAGGGAATAATTTACAACGCCCTACGTATGCCCTCTATGGGCATTCATTCGGGTAAGCAAAATATATGTTTATTTTTCTTTAAGCTAAGGCCTGTTTTTATACAAATTAAGCTTACCATGCTAGTTTGTTTCTACAGGAACAGTTTTTAATTAAAAGCTCATTAATTACCCATAAAACAAGGCCCCATAAAAACTCTCTGGTCAGCGTTTAGCTCGAGTTTTAATTTATTTTATTAAATTAATATTCATAAAAAAAAAGAAAACGAAACACAAAAACTGTGGAAAGTATCTGCAAATATTAGTCAACCAACGTTTTTTTTTTTGCCATTTTAATTTGCCATTTTGTGTGTTTGCCTCAAATGTTTCTCTATTATAAAGTTTGTGTTTGTTTGGGAATGCCACCTAAAATTAACTTTTATTGAGAGAGAAAGCAAACACAGGACAATATATTTTTCGCCAGACTTTTCGACTTGAAAAAGCATTTCTTTCAGAGAAAAGAAGGAGACCCTGTCGCTGGGTTGGCCGAATGCAGCCGAAAAGGGAAATGCAATGCCAAATGGCCGCAGGTCTACATGAAGTGTGGAAACGATGTGTGTGTGTGTGTGGGGGGGGGGTATTAAGGGTGCTGTTCGGTGGTAACCCTGCAGTACCACATTTCATCAGTAGGCTTTTTCATCAACAAATCATCAACGCGCCGACTGCGACGCCGACAGAATCGACGCTCTGCCGACTGCTACTTGAACCCGAACTCCCTTCGGAGACCCGAACTCCCTTCGAGTCCGATTTGTCGGTGCATGCAAAAAAAAACAAAAACAATTTGCATGGGCTTCGTTTTTTGAAGTCCGAAACAAAGTAGAAGACGCAATTAAAATAGATTCTCGAAGGTTCGACTCCATATTTTCGGAGCAACGGTTTTCGGTTTTGTCTTGCTTCTTCTTATTCCCTTTGCATTCGAAGTTGAAGTGCTCTGCACTGCAGAAGTGTCGTGTGTTTCATTAATTAATAAATATATTATTAAATAAATTCGTTCCGGGCCTTATTGGAATATATAAAAAGGTGAGTAAAGTGAAGTGTTTTTAATTAAATAAAAGCCTATGTGTATTATTTTAATTATTATATATTATATATTATATTATTTTTTTCTTTTCTGATCGCAGTAATGGCCAACATATTGAAACGAGGATCTTTTGGGTAAATTCTATTTAATTGTATTATTATTATTCCCTTGATTAATTATTATTTTTTTGTAGATGCAATTGCCCAAGTGGATAGAACTGAGCCTCCAGAGAAGTTACTGCGCAAAAAATTTGGTCTACGTCAATAAAAAGTGGAAAACCGAGTAGCAAACAGACCCTGAGGCCTTTCAATATATGGATTTAATGTTAATTGTTTATATTTGTGTCTTAGTGTTGGTTTAGAATTAGTAAGAATAAATAATATTAATAAAATCTCAAGAATTTAATATTATATATGAAAAAAAAAATCATCAATAATTCATCGAAGAATCATCATCATTTCATCGATCAAATATTGATGAAATGTTGATGAAATACTGATGAAATGTTGATGAAATACTGATGAAATGTTGATGAAATACTGATGAAATGTTGATGAAATAGTTGATGATTCATCAGTATTTCATCAACATTTCATCAGTATTTCATCAACATTTCATCAGTATTTCATCAACATTTCATCAGTATTTCATCAGTAATTCATCAGTATTTCATCAACATTTCATCAGTATTTCATCAGTAATTCATCAGTATTTCATCAACATTTCATCAGCCTTTCATCAGTATTTCATCAATAATTCATCGATGAAATGATGCTTAAATGTTGATGAATTGCTGTTGATGACAGCCTATGACATGCCCATGTTAAATTCATCAGTAATTTGTATGGCAATTCATCGCTTAATCATCAACAAAACGCTTCGGCTATTGATGAAACGTTGATGAAATGTTGATGAATGGTACTGCAGGGAAGGGTTAAGGGGTCGTGTATTGGTGACTTTACGGCAGAGAGTGACATCAAATTTGCATGTATTTATGTACATACACAGCCCCGCACGCGTTCGCTTTGTTTATGATCTGGAGCGGAAACGAGACGCACGGTGCCCACGAGGATTCGGAATCGGCAGTCACTCCTCCGGCGCCTCCTCCCACACCCGGCAAGCACTTGCTTCGCCTGGAGGCGCGCCAAATGCGCGACACCCAAACAAAGCGAAACCTTCGCCGAAACCCGGCTGAATCGGAGGCCCACGATGAAGTGGCAGTGGCTGTTTAGACGGCAGCCGACGAGAAGAAGGAGGAGGAGGACGAGGCGCTGGATCTGGATGCGATGGGTGCCCAGGGGCAGTGGCACAAGTTTGCCTATGCGGCAAATATTTGCCAGTCAGCAGGAGGCGAGGCAAGGAGGCGGCGCAAGCTGTTGCCACACTTTGAGAAAATGGTAGTTATAATATTTTTCGATACTTAGGCAAAATCGACCCTAAACTTTGAACAATGAAGCAAAAGTTTCAATGAATTTATGGCAGCGTACCATAAAATCAAGGCAACACTCAAAAATTATACATTCTTAGGTTTCATTTCTTTTATTTTTCTTAAATTTCAAGGCGAATTGTGCTTGTTTTTCATAAGAAACCATGGCGAACATCAATTTTCTTCAAGTGTATCTCTTTCGAAACTGTATATTGTTGTTGATGACTTTCGGTGTCAGCATAAACGTCACTCCACCCCGTCCGTCGCCCGTCTCCATTCCAGCCGGATTCCCATGTGCCGCCTCTTCACTTGCCGATTCAGTGCCTCCAAATCTATGCAAGTATGTCAGCTTGACTCCATTGTCTGGGCCAGGCCCAGTTAACTGCATTCCGCCCATCTGGCATCCTGGATCTGCACCGCCCACACACAAAACACCACATGCACCCACATCACTCATACGCACACACATGCGGGCGGAAGGACGAGAGTGCCAAGTCCAACGTTAAGTTGGCTGTAATTGACGCAGGTAAATGCATCCGCCGACTGGCCCAAATTTCGCCTCCTCGCCTTGCTTTGGATTTGGAATTATTCGGAAGGAGGAATCCTCTGTCAGGATTTGAGTGCACTCAGGCAGAGCTGTGTTTTATCCTAATTATTTAATTGTAGCTTCTGGCGACAAGTTTGTAATTATTCCGAATATTATCCAAGTTTCTTTGCGCTTTTAAAATCCCTGGAAAATGCAGTAAGTAGTTTTATTTTTTAAACTGATTGCTATTTAAATTATTTATAAACTGTTCTATTTTTTAATATGTACATATATGTTGTTATTATATATATTATATTAATTTCTTAGATTATTAAAAGTTTTCATTGATCAAAATTGTAAAGTTATTATTAAATGATTATATTTTAATTGGCTTTATTTTGTAAGCATAGCTTTGGCGACTAATTTTGTTTGATTTCCGCTTTCCAAAGCGATTTCCTGTTTGTAGAACTGTGCGCTCTACACTCGCCATTCTAAAACGAGCTCTAAGCTCTACACTCTCTCCACTCCACCAAGAATTCTCTATGCTCTCTACTTGCCACATTACTTGAAATTCTACACTCTCCACTTTATGACGAATTCTGCGCTCTACTTTACATGTTCTGGGCTCTCTACTCTCCTACCAATTCTACAAAGAATGCAAAGCCAACGAACAAGAAGAACAACCGGCTTTTTACAACTAACGGCGCAGCGGCAGAGCAACTGCAAGGCGCAAAGCTTGAGCCTGGGCCGAGTGCAGCCGAAGACCAGGCACGAGCCGAGCCGAGGTGCTGGCGTCGCCGTCGAGCCTTTATAACTCACCACACGAATGGCGGACGGCACAGTCGTCGACCGACCGGCTTCCGTAGCGCGTACCGTGACGCAGGCAAGCGAAACGTAACCGTGAGCGAGACGTAACGAGAGAACCGTAAGCGAAAGCGTTTGTTCGACGGACGTAAGCCTGGCGCTGTCAACACGTGTGGGCATTCCCCGTTGTTGCTGTTGTTTACGTGACAAGGATCGCTCGGCGGTTTATTGGATTTTGATATGGAACTTAGGGGGGGCGTCCTTGATGTTTCTGCCTTGTTTTTTTGTTGTTGTTTTTTGTTGGTTCTGTTGAGTGAAACTTGAAACGCTTGTGCGCGCGAAAAGGAGTGAAAAGTTATTAATCATTAAAGGACATTTATGTCGCGTGCTGTCACACACACAAACAAACACACACAGACACACACGCCTGGCAAACATTTTTGCCGCAAATTTAGTTTGCTTTGTTTCTCGTGGCTCCCCTTATCCTTTTTTTTTGAGGGTTTGTCGTCCTTTCTTGGGTGTGTGTGTTGTTTTTTGTGTTCTTTGTGTTGGGGTTTTTCTTTTTTTTTTTTTTTTTTTGTTGGTCCTGCGGGTCGCCGACGCTTACAAAATAATTTATTTGCCCTCATGCAGACAAGCAGCGTCGCATAATATTTATTTTCGGGCCTCTCCTCAAAATTCTGCGCCAAAACAAATTTGAAAGCCCAAAACGGACAGAGGAAAGTGCGGTTTTTTAAAAGGATTGACAGTTTGCAAAGGGAATCGGACATCTAACTAGTTTTCCTTTTAATGTATTCCATTTAACAAGTGTTTTTAGTATATAACTCAAGCTAAAGCTGAAGTTTTCAATTGGATTTTTAAAAATAAAAAATATAAAAAATTTTTTTAGAAAGGAGTGCTCAGTGAATTACACAAAATTTAAATTCAGCTACCACTTATCTCTTTTAAAACAGTATACATAAATATATTCTTTGGCCAATTTAGGGTCCTGCAAAATATTCTCTTTAATAGTGGAAATCAATTTTTGGTAAAATAGGTTAAAGTAAGTCTACGATACTTTCTCTTAAGGGCTAAGGCTATACAGAGACACTTTCCCAACTATTTATAGCTGGCTGGGAATTATTTTCCTCAATTGATTTCCCAACGTAATTCCTTTTCTTTTTCGTTGCCCGATTGCAATTCTCTTTGTAATGCCTTTAAACCCACTTGCACATGGCCATAAACACGGCCCGGGGAATCACTCCGATCGCGATTGAGTGGCGACTGCTTAAATCACCCGGATACACTGCATCACAGTGGAGGAGCAGGGCCACTTTGCGAGTGGATTGAATCATTCGGGGTCACATGGAGACGTGAAGGACTTACGGCGACACTCTACAAATTGCACAGAAAAAAAAAACAAAGAGTTCAGTAAAAGAAAGAATGTTTTATAGTTAATTTTTTATTTAAAATTTAAAAATTTTAGGCCTTAATCTCAGCTAATAATTATTGATTCCTTAAAAAATAGGATATCGATTTTTCAATATATTTTTTTTGGCTCTGTGTAGGCGCTGACACAGCTGTTAATATAAATTCTCGCTGTCTGTTGCGATTCGCTTTTGGCAACACGATTTATGAAAATTGAAGTCTTTGTTTTATTATCCCGGACACGGCAATGGCTGGAAGTTGGGAGCTGCGGAGCTGGGTTTAGGGAGCTTTGAGTTGGGATGAATTTAGCGGAGGAATGGGAACGCCATTTGCCCAATATTTTATGCAAAGCAGACTAGCCACTCCCACTGAAGTCACTTCCTACCCTTCGGCGGCATTGATTTACAGTCAAAAGGTAGCAGGTTGCCATCACCCAGCCACAGTCCTAGTGCTAGTCCTGTTCCTAGTCCTAGTCCTGGTCCTGGTCCTGGTCCTGGTCCTAGTCCTGGTCCCACTCCAGCTCCGTTTACGGGCGACCTACTTTGATTTCGCTTGCCGTGTTTAGAGTTCATATTTGTGCGTTGTTGATTTTTTGTGTATATTTTTCTTTGTTTATGTGTTTTCTATTCCCCGTTTGGTGTTTTGTGTACCCTGTTCCTGTCCTTGTCCTGTGTGCTCTCCTCTCCTTTGTTGGCTTCCAAATTCGCATTCGAATTGCCGGCCATAATTCAATTTTAGTTTTAATTTCCGCTCTTGGGCGTAAATTGCATTTGCATACTAATACGCTTAGAGCGAGTTGGTTTTTGGGGTGTGCTGTGTGTGTCCTGTGTGTGTGTTTGTGACAAGGACTCCAAAATCCGCAGGCCAAATCCACAGACTAGATTCGATATACGATAGCGATAATCGTTGGCAAGGATGTCGGAAGCAAAGACGAAGCCCATGCTGCTGCTTCTGCTGGCCATTGTCCTGCCGGGCCAGCGGCTGACCTTTGTGGCCGGCGGCTCCTGTCGCGAGGCTCAGCTGTGCTGCAATGGCCGCGACTCCTCCTGCGTGGTCCAGAAGGCCCCAATTAATGCCATCATCGAGGATCTCAGCGACAAGCCCTGCTACTGCGACCATGCCTGCCTCAAGCTGGGCGACTGCTGCGATGACTTCAAGGATCACTGTGGAGGTGAGTCCATATACTTGAAGAATAATATAAATATTTACTAAACAACAAAGTTATGGGAATTTTGTGCAAGTTCTTAAGAGTTGGTAAACAAAAACAAACACTACAGGTCTGAAAATGAATTGCAACTGGAAATAGTTTCTTTGTAATGTTTGAAATGTTTGACTTGAGACAGTCTTATTACTATTATATATAATAATATTACATTATATATAAGAGTCCTTGCTTTCAATCCTTTAAAAGTTGTTCAAAACGCTTAAATGGTTAAGTAAAAAATGTAAAGAAAATACTTTAAATTAAACTAAATTCTCCTCTTTTATTTAAAACAAATAAAAGTATTTTCTGCCAAGTCAGATTATTATTTCCCTGAAAACTTTTGCTTTGATTCCTCTTTAATTAAAGTTTTCTCTTTACTTTTCCTTAATTTTATTGAGTAAATTCAAGCAAAAAATCAATTGTAATTGATTGTTCATATTTTTTGTGTGACTTGCAAAATATTCGATGACTGAGCAGCAGCATTTCCGTTTTTCGTTCAGCGCTTTTCAAAATTAATTTGGCAAATTGCAAAACAAATATAGAGAGACTGACTGGCACACGTATATGATTGAGCCCAGGACGATGTAATTACCAGCTCAGTGGCAATTCATTCTGCTTTATTTTTTTTTTTTTTAGCTCCAGACGAGAGTTCATTATCCGGGCCTAAACTTAAGTGATGGCCGGCCAAAAACTTGGCCAACAAAAACACCAAGGGGGAGGGGGAGGGTTCAGGGTTCAGTGTGTGGAGTCAGATTTGGAAGGCGCAATCCCGACACGACTGCGGCTGCATATACTATATATATATATATATATGTGTGTGTGTGTATATGGCCAACTACGAGGATGGTCGTAAAAAGGCCAACTTAATGGCCATATCCCGGGCTAAGAGTCTGCATTCATGGCTCGTTGGTTGTGCGTGTGTGCGGTGCGTGTGTGTACAGATACAATTTGTTCTTCTGCCTTCCTCTTTTTTGTTGTTTTGTTGAAAGTACAATAGCTAAAGGGCTTTAATTTTATTACATACAGCAAATAAAGTCAACGAACATGCGGCGGCCTTCCAAATTAAATAAGACGCGGCGGCGGAGATATTCGGGGGGCTAAGAGAGTAAGGAAGGAAGGAAGGAAGGACTTTTGGGCTGAAGTTGGGAATTTTTCGTTTCGTTTCGTTCGTGCCAGCTGGGGCTACAAGTTGAAAGATGCAAACAAAAAAATATAAATAAAAACGCCAGCAGAGACAATTTAGAGAAGGTCCCGACCAAGAGGTACCCTGATTTTCTGAGAAACAGGGGAAGCCTCAGCTATTAATTAGTGATTTTTCTGGCTGAAAAATACATTTAAAAATTTATACAATTAGCTGCGAATACAACATACCCTTTACTACTCGGTATCAGAAGTGAAAGAAGAGTTGCTCCTGGAAGTGGGGATCCATGGACCGAATCGAGAGCCGCAGAAGGCATTGCCGAAAGTTTACTTAATTTTGCATTAAATTTGATTTTATTTCTCCCGGCGCACTATACGTAGTGCGAGATCCACCCCCCCGGCCCGCTCCCCAGTGGCAGCACATTTCGGGGAGCATTTTGAGGAAACAGCTGGCAGCGGAAGCTGCCATAAACACGGCCGTAGACAATGGCGGGGGAGGATGGGGATGGTTTGCCATGTGCCCGGCGGACAGCGACAGGCAATCATTGGGAAGAGGCAAGTGGCATTGGCGGGACAGCCCACGGAGAAAGGTGCGGCTAGAAATGCGAGATGTCTGCCGAAAAAAAAAAAAAAAAAAAAATAAAATAGAAAAGGGAATGCTACACCGAAAGGAAATAGGCGTGTATAAATCATATTAAAGAGTTTCGTGTTATGGAATATAAAAAGTTTAATTTATAGATTTACAAAATATAAAGAATTGGGTGTAAAAACAAATAAAAGTGCTTTACCGCTTGCTTTGGTCTAAAATTCCCAACTGGTTCTAGCTGTTAAGTAGTGATATTCAAGCGACATTTAGGGCTCCAATCTAATTCTTCATTTCTGCTTCCTCCCGAAACATCTTAGTCTCTGTTTAATTATTTTTGTTGGAAGACAAGTGCAGGAGGGCTTTACTGGATCTAAAATTCCCAACTGGTTCTAGATGAAATGTAGTGGCATTGGAGTAAAATTTAATGACCAAAGCTAAATCTTCTTTTCAACTTCCTCCTGCAACACCCGGAGCCCTTTCTAACTATAATCAGTATAATTATACCCAAGCAGGGTATTATAATTTCAGTCAGAAGTTTGCAACGCAGTGCCGGATTGGACGACTATATCATATAGCTCCCATACAAATGATCGATACATTTTTAGAACAAAAATTATAACTTGTCTGTTTTTCAACATTTTTGCACCATTTGTTTAATATGGCCATTTTATATTAATTCAGAATTTCGAAAATGTAAAAAGGGGAATGTAAAACTGTTAACTGTAAACATAATAAGTAACATAAAGGTAAAATGTATTGAAATAATATCTGCAAGGGTATACAAACTTCGGCTTGCCGAAGTTAGAGTCCTTTCTTGTTTATAATTAATTCCAGTGTATGTGTTTGTGTATGTGTATCTGTATTTTGAATAAATTCACTTTAGGCAGCTCAAGGAGGCATCCATCCTTCAGAGCTGCTGCCTTTGTTTCCACAAGTGCTAGGCTGGCCTCTCGTCTTCAGGTCTCTTCAGGACTTAACGTTGAATGTCTATAACTACCAATTAAGTTGGTAAATATATCGTCTTATAAACAGAAAACACACACAGGGAAAACCGAACCAAAGGTCCAAGAAAATGCGTATGAAGCGATAAATGTCAAGTTAAAAGGGAAACCGACTGAGATGGAGGAGGAGCAGCAGTGGATGCGGAGACGGGTCGTAAACTTAAACCCCGACCCAAGGATGATGCTCCAACTCCAACTCCAACTCAGACTCGGATCTACCACGGATAAGCCTCGCTGCGCTGGGCGGCTCAATCAATCAAAGTCGTCTTTGTGTGGGAATAAATGAATGTTTCGAATGTAACTATGGCAGATAACATTCACGTTCTCTGGGAACCAGTCCAGCCTCCTCCCATTACCATTGATTTCGAACCGGAATACACGTACATATATCCCTCGCGGCCATTAAGGCTGTGGTAGCATGCAACAAATGGTCAACAAAACTGTCGACCGACTGGCTGGCCATTCATTAGGCAACTCATCAAACTCCCATAATTCACGCTAATTAGTTCGACGAAAGGCAACAGGCGATGCTGCTGGGAGTGTCGTCTGGTCATGTCCCGGCACTGGACACTTTTCCAGGGACGCTCCTCCTGCTGCCTGCCCTTTTTACCAGTTTCTTTTTTTCCATTCTCATTTTTTCGTATTTCACGCGTAATTGATGACAACCATTTGAATGTGTCCCCGCCTGTCTCGGTCTGGGTCTGGGTTTGGGTCTCGATTTGTGTGACCTTTTGCCCTGCCCTTTGGAGGATCGGTGGGAGGGGAAACGGCATTACAGTTTCCTCTGAGAGAAAAAAAAGTTGTAAAACCAGAAAGAGCAGGTTCTGTTCTGGCTGTAGCGGCTTTGTTTAACCAAAAATACAAATTAAAGTCAGCAGGATGAAGTTTTTATTTGAAATTAAAATATTTTATTGTCAAGCCTCCTGTGATCATAACATCTTTAAAAAAAAGAAACTAAGAGTTAACATTCATTCTTCAGTTATTTCCGAGTCTCTTTTTTATAAATAAACTCTTTGTTCTTTAAAGAAAAAAGAGAGAAGCCCCATTAAGGGCCAGGTTTAGGGCGCAGGTTAATACCATATCGAATGACCAGGCGGCGGTTTCAGATTCCCGTCCGCCTTGATCAAAAGTTGGTAGCGACCACGCCATGGGTGGCCCTTCAGACTGGAGCCAGTTGAGGCCAGAAAAAGGTAGAAGAGCGTTAGAGGTAAATGAAACACATTTGCCTCAAGACTTCTTATCAAATCAAATTAATCAGCGGGGGGAACAAAAAACGGGAATAAAAACCTGTAGGGGATTTGCTTATCCGTTGTACACAGAAAGAAAAAAGGGGAGTTGCATAGAAAATACATATTATTAGTTGTTAAAAATTAACGTTTACTAGCGGTGATTTTATATATATATATTATTTATATTTTATATTTTAATAAAAACCACACAAATTTGAAAATCGACTGAAACAATGCGCATATCCTACCTCTTCTTGGGACGAATAATTGTAAAAAAGTAGGGTATATTCCGATTAAATATTTATAATATTTATTATTAGCCTTCAAGCTACTCCCTGGTAGGCTAAAAATTTCATTTTATATATATTACAAATATCATTTTATCAGTAAAACTTCCCATAGTTATTAGACGATGCCATCAACTGTTTTCCCAATGCGACCGCGAGGGCCCCATTGACAGGCCCATAGGCCGTAATGAATGAAATGGCTTTCAAAAACGGATTTAAATATTAATTATTATCAAAGTGCCGGCACTCATGCGGCGGATCTGACGAAGTGCAAACAATGGAGGGGCTTAGCGTGTCCCAGGGGGGCTCCTGGCTCCCTTGTATTTGGATATCTGGATATTTGGGTCGGGTTCGTGCTGACTGTGTGCGGGCTTAGTGATAATATTGTAATTATGTTTAATTGAAATGTTGGCAAATGCCCGAGCAGCACACACACACACACACCCACACGAGCCAATGGCTTAGGCCAACTAAATACTTGGCCAAGTCCCCCTCCTAGTGCCCTGGCAAACTTTGAGCAGCTTATTAATTTCATTTAGCGTGGGATTAATCGCACTTCTTGCCTGCCGAACCATCAAGTCTGGCAAGTTGACAAGCAGTTAGCCTCAGTTTTGAGCCTCCTGGGACTGGTGTTGCCTCTTTTATTGCAAAAACTTGAAAGTTTGTACAACTTTGCCTTTCCAAATTCCCAAAAATAAAACCAAGCAGGCCAGGCATTAGGCCT